GGCAAAACCACGTCACATGCCACAGCGTGTACGTCTGTGAGGAGGCAGCAGCTCCTTTGAAATGGTCACGATGGCGTTTGAAAGTTCTGCTCTGTGGAGCCTGCCATCATGGGGCGCTCGTCGTCTCATGATGCTCTGGTTTTTAACATTTTAGTGTCAGGTTGTGTCACATGATTCAAAAATAAAAATATATAAAATATAAAATGTTTAATATTATGAATAATACAATTCTAAAACCGGAGCAAATTCCTTTCACAGGTTTGTTGAAGCCCTAGTTGACGTCTTCGAAAACGCTTTTTTGGTTTGATCAAAATAAACCCATCAAATAATAAATAATAAATGATGTCCGGTGATCACGGTGCGCCGCGTGTAGGATTTGACGGCATCTATCGGTGTGGTTCTGGCCTTGCCAGGCTGCAGTACCGCGAGCAGGAACGGATGCAGGAACACGTGGTACCGGCGTCCGCTTGCCTCAGAGGCCTCACTTGACCCGATGACATCTAAGCATAAACGGAAGTCGGCCTGCGGAACCACAGTTTTTCACTCTGCAGCTCACGATACCACAGTTTACCAGCGTAAAGCAAAATGCTCTCGCTCGAGTGCTTTCGCCCGTCCTGAGCCGCTGTGCAAACATCACTTCCCTCTGTGAAAAGGGCAAATCTGGTCATCTGGCTGCTTTCTTGTCTGTCAAAAACGGTCCGATGTGTGATCCCTAAAAGGACTCGCGTTGGTTTTGGCACATGACTTGAGATTACTTACAGCGCGTGGGTGAAGGTCGCAGTGCATTTGTGACTGACATGATGGGTTCTCTACTTCTGCTGGCTCATTAGCAAAGAGGACGTACAGTCAAGCAGAGCCTTCCGCTCAATTGCTCTGCGTGCACACACATACACACACAAACACACACACACACACACACACACGTTGTTTTATTGCCTCCAGCAAGCAACATCTTTTGCCTGCTAAGTGACTGGTCAGCGCTTACGTTGTTACCTCCTGTGCAGAGTTTACACAAGAAGTGTTGAAGTGACCTGCGACTGGAAGAACACGTGCACACACCCACACAAACAGATCAGCATGTGTGTGTTTGTGCAATATGAATTATTGAGTGTGTTATTTGAGGGACAGCTGGCTGTTGAACACATTAACTCCCTCAGTTAGAGAGCCACTCGTAAGTCAGTGGTGGCAGAAGCGAGTCTGTAAACAGGGAGGAGAGAGGAATTAGAGACCGTTAATGCAATTTCCCACCGACTTTAGTATCAGTACACAACAAATTATAAAATATTTACATAAATTCTCTATTTAGTCAATTAATATAAGCATTAATCTTCTCACCAGAAAGAGAATAGGAAGTTATTCTTAGTAGACTAAATAGAATCACAGTGCAAACCGGGACGTATGAGAATCATTTTAAGTCTTGTAGACTCAAGCACTTGCACAGCATAACGTGTACATATGTGCATAAGCGTTCCTTCCTATCACGGCAGCGAAGCCTCAAATCCTATTTTACATGCATTCCTCCAAACCAGATGAAGATGAAGGGATTCCACGGATATTTGAATGGATGCTTTTATTATAGTGTAATCCAACAAGAGCGGTTTGTCAAACAAAAGAGAAGAACCCTGCTCGTAATTTTCACATCCATCACCGCACATCCCTTTAAGCCTCACCGCCGGTGGTCCTGCTGTGGCGAGCCCCTCCCTCGGTAAATTTGGGTTCCTTCCTTCCAGCACCACTGGGTGAAGGCAGGGTGCAAGCCTTTGGGTCTCAACTTCCCTCTCAGCAGGTGTTGTGTGTGTGCGTTTGCCTCTACTTATCTGACCTTAGAAAAACATATTCCTCATTGCGTCTCATTGTCTCACTCTTAACTCCAATGTTGGCGCTGAGACATCTCCATGGTAACAAGGGCCAATGGAGGATTAGGAAAGTAGGAGTAGGCTTTGGAATGGGGAACGAGGAGAAGGCAACGTATGGAAACAAAGACCAACGGAGTTGTTGACCGAAAACATTCAGGCCTTTCCGAAACCGTCGGATACAGAAAGGCGGTTCGTTACACCAGTGGCCGTGCAGGATGTCGGCAATCATCCTTTACCTTTCACAGCAGCAGCGTGAGCTGTAAAAGCACGTGCGCTGTGTTGTGGGGTTTATAAAGAGCCGTGTGGTGACTGGGAGGTAAATGTCATCGGTTTTCAGCCGGAAACCTTCACCGCAAGAATGTGACGGCGGGATACCAAGTAAATCAATATGGAAGCCAGGGGGGGAAATTGCAGGAGGGGGTGGGTTAAGAGAGAGGGATGTTACCGCTCCAAAAAAAGAGGAGAAGAAGCAGGAGAAAAGGAGTGGAAGGAGGGAGAGAAGACTTATAGAGTGGAGTTGACTGCTCCTCCTGCCTGGCATTTGCCAGAGAAATTGAATAAACGTCACTCAAACAGAAATAAACAGTAGATCAGTTGGAAACTGTTTTCAGCAGTGGATTAATAGATATTTGGTTTGTTTCGGGATATTTACAGAAGCATGTGTGTGGCATGGACTGAAAACATACTACAGCCCGTGTTCACTGCAATAAAAGAACATGTCATCCAGCTTAGTGTTGTCAGTAGATCTTGGATAACAATGAGGATAGTTCTGGTCATTTTGTAGGAAGTATGTGAAACACATGGTGGTGAGCGGATAAACACAAAGGAACACAAATGTATTTTCAATAAAAGTGCACACTTCTCCTTGACACACGACTATGCACGCACACAAAGTGATGTTCAGAAGCTCTCATTCCTCAATAGAAAACCATTTGGACTAACTCACTGAGAGGAGCGACAGACAAATAAAATCGGATCATCCAGATTTGATGGAATTCTGCAGACAGAGAAAATATTTTTGACGTTCCTGTTTCTTCTGCAAGTAAAAGAACAGATGAATCAAGATTTAGATAAAAAAATTGGCATTTGTATGAAAATGAAGTCAATTAACTGCATTTTGTGGGTAGGCAATTGCACTAATTATAAAAAGCTCCATCTGCTAGGTAGGCATCTTAGGAGATGTGTGTGTGTGTGTGTGTGTGTGTGTGTGTTTGTGTGTGTGTGTGTGTGTGTGTGTGTGTGTGTGTGAGGTAAGACAGAAGGGAGGACATAGCGAGAAAGATAAATTACATCTGTTTTGGGTCAGCAAAAAAACTTTGCAGCCTCACTTAAAGACGCAGTAATGTAGCTACCAGCAGGCAGTACATTCAGTTGGCCTATAGCACACACACACATCTGCAGTACGCAAAGATATAACAACCCAGCTCAGCATTAGCTGCACTCACACACACACACACACACACACACACAAAGACACACACACCTGTGTACTACCACAGTTCTCATCTCCTCCCCTGCAGAGCTCTAAACACCAAAGATCATGATAGATTGCCCTGATATCTGCATGATAACAGTATCAATTATCACAGTATCATGTCGATTCAGCCCACATTCCCTCAGTCGACTGAGGGTGAATGCAAATGAAGATGCAGATCAGCAGTTTCCAAGTACCAGGGGCCCTGTCTGAATGGAAAGTAGCAGTGTGTGTTGGACTGCAGGGCAACGGCGCCCCTCTGTGGTTCGTACAGGAGCTGCATGCACACACAAACACGCAGACACAGAAAAGTGGGACAAGTCGGAGAGAAGGTGGTGCAAGGTGACGTCTTAGAGTAGTAATGCAGCCCAGGGCAAGGCTCAGCCCAAGCATGAATCGTGTAATTGAGCCATATTCCTCGATTTATCTGCTCTCCGCACAGCGTTCGCAGATTCAACCCTGGGTTTCGCTGCTACTCAAAATGTTATAACAAGGCAGGATGTTTCTGACCTATAAGGTACAAAGCAATGTCCCACGGTAGAAATATGTTGTAACCAAACCTCTTTTTTTCTGATATAAGTTGATCATATTAAGTACCTTAAAGGTATCTCATCAGCTGGTCACAAAGAAACAGGTCTGGAAAATGAGTTATTATTGCAATTAAACATGAAGTCATAAATGTATTCTCCACACTTACTGTGGCTACTTTTATTATTCAGATTACATGCAGATTTCATGCAGCAAAAGAAAAAAAAAAGATTTCCAAAAAGGTAATTGTTATTTTAGTTTCAATGTCAGACCAAAATGAAACTTTATTAAAGCCACTGGGCTCCTCTATGCCCTTGTAAAAACTCTAGAGGCATTTCTCGATACTCCAACAGTAAAAAAAAAAAAAGAAGGACATATCAAGGACACATCATAGGCACCGTGCAGGTGGAGGACGACAGGAGGGCTCGTCGGAGGCGTCAAGTGTCCATTAACGAATAGGAAACTCAACTTGAAAGCCTGTCAATTACCGTTTTCATGTCAACACAGCCCATTGCTGATGAGTGAGCACAGCAGGGAGGATAACATCACCTGCACCGTCCATCTGAACCACAGTGTTTTTAATCCAGGAAACAGTCAAGAGAACAAAAGCTGGCTGAGCCGCTGCAGCCTGCAGCTGTTAACCACTGCGGAGGTCGTCACATTGCGTGAAATGGGCGTCCAGTTTTAATTGGAATGGCCCAAAGAAATAAGTGCCTTCTGCAAGAGGTAAGCAGATTCATTCCTAAACGGCAAAGACAAAAGCACGGTCCTTCACGTTATAAATAATACAGTAACATGAGGAAAACATGCAGTGGAAACTTTAAGAGGATGCAAAGGGAATCAATGCATGAACTAGATCAATACGCCGTGAGGGATAGTGCAGTCTTTTTAGGTGATGTGTTACTCTAGCTTACTCTACTCTTTGCATTCTCCTTTCAGACAAAATAAAGGATGAATCCTAGACTGCAAACAAACTCCAGATCCGCCCTGGAGGGATCATCGCCTCTGGAACGGATCCGTCACACGGAGCCCGGATTTGATTTGGATCAGTCCACAAAGCGGATCCATTACTTCAAACTAACCCCAGAAATATCTCAGATCAGATCATTTAATATGCTTCAAATGGAAGAATAATGCAACCATAAAAATCAAAAAGGTTTTATTTAAAAAAAAAAAGATCTACACGGATTTTAAGATTTGTACACAACACACATTTATTTTTGGTCAGTGAGTGGAGCGTTGGTAGTGGCGCGCCTCCGGGAGGTGCCGCGGTCTGCTGCCAGGTTGAACCACCGAATGGCATGTTTGAGAATGTCATCGTCTGTGGCGTCACGTGTCGAGCGATTCTTTCTGACGGCATCTGTAATGACACAAGTGGATTGTACAAAATCACACACGTAGCACACATGCACGTTTAAAAGCTAGAAAAGGAAGGACGTCTGGGAAACATGCAAATTTGAAGACCGCTGGGTGATTTCACATTGTTTATCAGTTAGTTACTTACGCAGGAGCAGCGTCTTTGATGTCATCTGGCTGAAGGCCTTTTTCCCATTCACCCCTTTCCAGTTGATGCTCTTACCAACATCATCGCTGAACATGCGGGCGAGGATGTTCCATGTAACCCGTTTTATGTCATATCCGCCGATGGTTGCCAGGGAGGAAATCTAAAAACGCATAATAAAAATAAAAAACACCATTATATCTGATATTTTACAGAATGGTTAAACAAAACATTTCCATCAAACAGGGCATTATCTTATAAAAACAAAACTCACCACACTCTTCTGCAGCTGAAAGTTGGAGGGATCATTGAGCCGTGCCTCAAAAAGAGAAACTTCCTCCACTGTGCTCAGTGGAAACCGAACCGGGTCTTCACTCCACTCAACCTCAGGGCCAGTTGTCTGTTGCTTATTGTGAATAAGATGGTCAAATCTTGCCAGCAATTGGTCTTGCTGCTGTTTCACTTGATCTAGCTGCTGTTTGATGTTCTCCATTACACCCAGCATATGAATTTGAGCCGCTGTTAACACAACATTAGAATTTGGTTAAAGAAGTAAGGGGACGCCTGATTAAGAAAGATTGCACTTTAAGCACTAAACATTGTGCTCACCACAGCAGGCAAAACCCTCGGATCCACGCCATCCTCCTTGGCCAGTTGGTCCACAACGGCTGCTTGTAGACGGCGTTTCTTCTGCTGGTCGTCCACTTTCATATTGCACATCTGATGGAGTACATGAAAGAGGTGCAGCAATAGGGAGAACTGTCCCTATAGTGGTTGAACCTCTGTCTCTTTTACAGGTATTTTCCTTCTTCTTGGCGTCGTCATCATCATCGTAGTCCCCAACAAAATGGCTATGAAGGGGGCTAGAAAAATAATCATTTGTCATAATATAACCCTGAAGGATGCTTTAAAAAAAAAATTAAGGTAAACATGCTCAAAAGAAAATTTAAAACGTATATGTATTTACTCACACTGTCATTGGCGCTCTCTTCAGAGGAATTGCCTCTTCTTCAGACTCTTGATCAGATGTGTCGGAAGACATATAGTTATTCGTCCTTTGCCTTGCCTCCAAGTAATTACCTAAAAATGTACAGTCCTCCCTAATTTGTTCCAGTCTTTTTTCAACATCTTGACGGACCCTCCGTCTTAGTGTGGAGCTGGAGACGGGCCCAGTCTTTCTCTTCATTTTATCTAAAACCAGACAAAAAAATACCATACAATATACATTTGTGTGTGATATATATTCATCTCATTAAAACTGTCAAATTAGTCTTTTAGGCTGCTGTGAAAACATTTCCCTCCAAACAGGTGTGTAATAATGCTGCTTACCCAAGATGCAGCGGGGGGTCCCTTTGTGGGGACTACGTGACAGTGATTCCTGTGGCTGGAACCAGCTTTACAGAATATATACTTTTTATTGACAATCTCTAAATCCAAACAATCGAAACCAAACTAAACTGCACCATGCGGGAGGTGAGTGTAGTCAGGCGGAATTGGAGGTATTTGTCACCAAACATGTAGGCACGTTATGACTACACCACTGCGCGCGCACAGCACAAGTGTACCTGCGCATAGCAGGTACGGTAAACTCAAACAACACGGTAAGACCCGCATGCGACTCTACTACCCCCCTTCCGCACGGCACAGTGCACACGAGAAAGAAACACAGGAAGCAAGCGGGGGGCTCTGGTTTTTGGGGCACTGGTTTTTCGTTAAAAAGGTAAACAAACAATATTTCCTACAAAAAGGAAACGTTCAACAAACATTTGGTAGAACATGGTAAAAGTTTTCATTTGTCCTTCTAGGCCACCGTCCTCTAGAAATCCTCATTGTTTTTTGCTATGACCTAAAAAGAACACACCGTGTTTTGAAAATGTCACTCTTAAAAAAAAGCAATTTCAACATAAAGGAAAGAAGAAAAAACCCTCACCAAATCAAGGGCTTAATTTGTCGTCGGCGGTTCTCGGTCGCGTGGGTCCTGATGGCGGGCGGCCCGCGTCCTGCCTGCGCTGGTTGAGCGAGCGGAGGAAAAGGCGCGTTCATGTGCGCGGCCAGGAGGCGGGGCGGATCCGCTGCGCGCGTGCCCCAGCACCGGCTTCAGGCTGTAGATTCGGGCGACCTGGCGGCGGATCCGCCGCTGAGCCGACTGCGGTCTGGGCTGCATTTTAGTTTTTTAGTCATTGCTACGAAATGTGTGAGACGTGGTCGATCATTTCTTTTGCGCGGACACACGTCGGCTGCCTCTTAAAATCACCGTAGACAGCCGCTGATCATTAAAATGGGATTTCTGTGATTTACTGCATTGATATTTTATTTTATTGTATTCCACAAGACGGCAGCACAGTCCATCCTGTCCACTACATGTTTCAGAACTGCTGTCCCTTTTAGTGCTCGTTTTTCCTCCCTTCTCTTTGCTCTCCCCGTCTTCAGAACACACTACCACATGTTGTTTTGTGTATTTATTGAGGATTAGAAACATGAAAAACATACAAAAAAGCCTGTGAAAACATGACGTAATTGTTAACATTGAATAGCAAAAGATGTATACAGAGCTTTGATAATACTAAGGCTATTAATGAACATCATTTTCACCGGTCGCGGACGTTGGCACCATGCTAGGAGAGCGTGTTCACATGTAGGGGTTCATTTTTGTGCCTGTGTGAGCGGTCCCCTGAGCTTTATTATTATTTACAAATGTGAATGTTTTGCTGCAGCAAGTACGCAGTGTTTTGTGTGTGTGTGTGTGTGTGTGTGAGAGAGAAAGTGTATTTCAGTGCATCCATGTCTGAGTTTTAGGGAGTGTGGTTTATGCAGAGTTTTAGTTTTCTTGCTCCTTCGAGCAGGCCGGCTGACATACTCCACTAGCTATGAGCATGAGGAGACAGGGTGCAGATATATATATGGTGCATGGATAATCTATGTTTATCACTAATAAAAAAGTTAGAGCCGCAATGGACATGTTGCTGAGCAGATTAGTTTAGGACAGATGTGTGTGTGTGTGTGTGTGTGTGTGTGTGTGTGAATACATGAGGCTCAAAGAGGTCAAGAGAGTGGTGGCAGAGAACGGGTGCTGACCGGGCTGTACTTCACCCTGGATGGAGATGGCGGAGGTTGGGTCAGGTGAGGGGTAGAGGGTGATGGACGAATGTGTCCACTCCGGGACTGTCTCCCGGTCCCAGAGCACTCTGGGCCGGGGCATTGCAACCGACCTCTGGGTCTGCGTAACTCAGGTGGGGTGGTGGAGGAGGAGGAGGTGGGCATGCATTGGTATTTAGAGGGGGAGTGATGGGAGGACAAGCGGCAGGTGGGGGAAGGATATCCACCAGGAGTAGAGTGATGCCCGGGTGACGGGTGGCGTCCGGGTGACGGGTGACGGCGAGGTGAGCATCGCCTCCCGGGCGAGGGTTCGTTGTTATTAGGTGGTCGGTCCTTGGTGCACTTGGGGGATTTGGGCGACTTAGGCACCATGGCGGACCTGGGCGTCTTGGGTGTTTTGGGCGATTTAGGTATTGGGTGAGAGCAGTAGGAGTTGGCACTGTGAGCGTTGGGCGCTTGGCTGGGAGGGGCGGAGTCTCCGTTGTTGGCAACCTTGTACAGGAAGACGTCGTACTGTAGAGGCGAGCTGGTCTCGGAGTGGAGCTTGGCCTCTTTGGGGAGGAGCACTTCCAGGCCGATGGTGACTCCATCCTGATGTTGAAATATGGAAAGTAGAAGGGTGGAAAAATGTAGAAGGCCAGAATGAAGAAATAAAATAAAATAGAAAGAAATATATAGGCATGGATGAATTATGAGACAACAAACCCCCGGGCACAGACACATGATCTTGGTAACAACTGATTTCATGGCCACTTTCTGGATAAACGACATTAACACGTCATCACCTTTTAAGTTAAAAACAACAATACGTGACTATTTACACATACAGAAAATGGAGCAACACGCGTTCACTTGGAGTCTTTTTTTGTAGTCAATGAATGAATGTAAGTCAAAACTCAAACTACAACTAACTCTCTTTGTTGGTCTGCACCGAATGTAAAATGTCGTCATGCTTTTCCCCAACAACAATACAGGGGTTTTAAGGAAAAATCCAGCTTAAAATATTAATGTTCTGAGAGGGAGGATTAAAAAAAGGGGTGTATTTCTGTGGTGGCTTCCATTCAATTTGGAGAGCTGTCCGTGGTGCTGAATTGGAACACAGTAACCATAGTTTGTGTGGTGCAATCTGCCGGCGGCCTAAGCGGTAACACAAAAGCAGGGTCAGCAGTGCAGTCAGTTGTTGTTAGCAGGGGAGCAGTTTTAGGCAGTAGTTAGCTTCATGATGAGCAGACATGCAAAGAAAGAGAGAGAACAAGAAGGAAAGTAGAGCTCAGAGCAACACACAGGGACGAGCTGGATAAAATTAAAAAGATTTATTCCAACAACTGTGAACTATAATTCTCCATACCCCCAAAAGTACAAAAGAACCTCAAGTACATTAAAGTATTATAAATCACATTGAAAACCAAGACACAGCGTGTGTAATATAAGTTCAAATATCAACTCCAAGCAATTATTTTTACCTCATGTAATCTAGACAAATCCACTTATTAGTAATGTCAAACATGAATGTTCCGCAAATACAGATTCACTTGATTTCCACTTACTTTTTTTTGCAAATATTACTTTTTCCGTCAGACACTTTGTCAATAACAACAATGCATGCGGGCAGAGAGGGAGAGTAAGGCGAGGGAGGCAAAGGCGGGGGGAGGGGAGGGGGGGGGGGGGGGGGGTTGGGAACAGGAGAGGAGACAATGAAGGAGCGAGAGTTCGTTGGCCAAAGACCAAGGCAGGGCATCAGTTGAGAGGAAAGTAAGTCATTAATTGGTCCAAGCCAGAGATTTTAGTCCAGCTTAAGAGGCAATAGAGGAAAGAAGGGAGGTGCCACTATCTGATCGGCATCGCCATGGCAGCCTTGTAAACAGGACTGTTGTGCTTCTCAAGTGTGTGGTGCTTGCTTTTGACATTAGGCCCGATTGGACTGTTAAAAATACGCAATATGCACTTTGCAACATTACATAACAATTTTCTCTAGTTTGTGTGCTCGTTAAATGGGTTTGCTCTGGTTCTCCAACAGCGCACCGTGGCATCCGGTGATGTTATACCAGGTTGTTCTGGAGCGAGTTTACCTCGGCGTTCTCCTCAGTGTTGTTAGGGGTGTGGTGGCCGTGGTCGTGGGCGACGGAGGTCGGGCGGTTGTTCTCGTGTTTGGGGGAATGCGAGTTGAGGATATTCATTGACCCCTCTTCCTTGGCTTGTGGGGGCTTGGCTGGGTATTCCTGCTTCTGAGGATCATCCTGTGGGGGGAGTTTATTACCTTTTTAAAACATACCATCAGTTTTATGTACAAACACACCTGAATACACACGCGCAGGACGCATAAGACAAAGTTACAATTTTTTGGTGTGGTTGCACCTGACAGAGTCTGGGTGGAGCCTCACATGCTTTGTTAATAGATATCTTTTGTAGATAAGATGTGAATTACACATCATTTGAATGAACTGGGTAACATTTCTTGAAATATCCAATTCACTGGATGAGGAGATCATTTAAAAGGGAACAGCAGAAAATAATAAGCTGGCTGCGCTCTCCCCCGATAATAGTAGAATAGAAGGGGCAAGTGTCATGTTGGGTTTCTTTAAGCTCTTATGATCGTTACTAAGCTGATACGGGTCACTCTATGGACTGATACTGATACTGTATTCGTGTACTTGTATTCAGCTCAGCATGAAAAAAAAAGCAATCCCACCGCTGACATTTAAAAAGCTGCATTGCAGACAAAGTGTCTGCCCAAGCTTTTTAGCCTCTGACCTGACATTCAGAGCGTCCCGAAGTCACAGACACACATAAGTGCATAACCACTGCACTGAAATGCCAGCCGAGCTCGGAGATTACGGGTTTTTATTAAAAAAGCAAATTACAATTTGTTCACTTAATTTAGGCCAGCCAGGTATCGCTAATGGACTGCAAATGAATACACAAGTTTTTAAAATCCATCTGCCTGCGCTTGTGTTTGCATGCTATAATCATTTAAAAAGCTGTGTTTGTCAATGACAACAAAACTATTGTGTACGTCTGCATGTGTGGGCTTGTAAATTACCAAGCCATCGATTGATTGGCATGTCACTGACATCTGAAGGTCGTGGGGACAGCAGGCCGTAAGTAGGGCACCATCGATTGGCCCCACTGGCTACTGCTGGACAAAAGTCGCTAAACGGCCTTTCACATTACACACAACAAGTTCAAAAAGCTTAAAGTTCTGGGAGCCAAATGTTCTGTTATGATATTATTCACTGCCCGTGGATAATCTCTGTTCATCAGCCTCTGTTAACAAGATTTTCTATTGTTTATTGAGGTTCAGAATATAAGCAAGCATCAGTAAACCTACATATTTTGTTGGTTTAGTAACCCAGTTACTAAGCGATCGTTGAACACAACACCAATGGGCACAAAACCCCACGAACACACAAACATGGATTGAAATGAATGCATGAATTAATGTGCTGAATATAACTGTAGAGAAGCACAACATGCACAACCTTTGCTAGAGGAAAAGGGGAAACCTGCAACACAGGGACCTTGAAATGGCTGACTGAACTTAATCGGTACAAGAGTGAAGCCGGCAGTTAAAACAAAATGGAGGCCGATCTTTCCCATAAAGCTTCTCCAGGAAGCTGCGAAGGCACAGGTAAGTATGCGGGAGCTAGCTATTTAATCACACGGCTTAACACCTATTTGCAGGATGCTTTGCGCGGGGGTGATCAATCATTTCTACCTACAGAGTTCCTGGAATGCAGCTGATACGAGATCAGCTGCCGAGAGAGTTTGCGGGGGCGGGGGGCTGAATGGAGGGCCAGAGGTGGCGTCTAGCAGCTGCACAGTGGGGGTCACAGCAAAGCCAGGGAGGGAAATTGCCGTAGCGCAATGTGGGGATTTCCACTGTGCTTACCTTGAAGTGATTATAAGAGTTTCTGGGTTTACATTCCCAGGTATAGCTGGTTGTTGATGGCCTCTGATGGGGACAGCATTAAACACACAAAAACTAGACAATTGAAATTGTAGGTGGGAATCCCACACGTTACACAGACGTTACGAGCTACAGTTAGCTGGTGTGAGAACTGTCTGCAGGAACAGATACATGGCAGTGAATAGAGACAGAAAGACAGATACAAAAATCAAATCGCAGGCAGAGCGAAAGCAGAGGAGTGGACATCATGAACAAAGAGGAAAACAGATGGAGAACACACAGGATGGACGAAGAAAGGACAGCGTGGAAAGTCATACACATGAACAAAAGAGATTGAATGGAAGGAGAAGAGGAAAGTTGTGGCGTACCTGACAGATAATGTTGTCATAGTACGCCAGGTTGTGAGTGTGAGCTTGCGGAGCGATCGGAGGGGTGTCGCACAGTTTTCTTACGTTTGGCTGCGAGCCGTCGGCTGTTGTGGAAACGGAGAGGCCGTCTGTCTGAGGCTCGCTGCTCTGTAGGCGGTACTTACTGCAGGAGGCAAAAGGTAGAGCGGTGTGTGACAAAAATATTTAGTTGCGTTGCTTTGCACAGTGTGAAACCGGGGTTAAATCCCCTTGTACATCACACACACACACACACCTGCGTTTGCGAAGGCGTATATTCTCACTCTTGAGGCGGTGCAGACTCTTGGCAAAGAATACGATGATCATGAAGAGGAAGATGACCACCAGGGAGGCCACGCCCACCACCGCACACATCACCTGGAACTCAGTGACCGCCCAATCACAGCGTGTGCCCTTGTTCCAGATGTAGTCCTGGACATTGCACCTGGATGTGAGGCAACACAAACAAGGAAACCATCAGAAAAGCATCATTAAAAAAACATCCCTCGCTGCTTCTTGCTATTTAAAACACAGCAGACGTTTAAACCCACTGAACGACCGTATTTCCCATATTTATAGCCACAGCATGTAAGCCGGGTAAAGAGTGTATATTGTACTAATGATGCATAATGGTTTGAGGTCTGTCCAGCAAAGCAGGGATTTGACCTGCAGCCGAGCCTTTAATAAGCTCAAACGATCAGCGTGCATGCATGTGCGTGCATGTGTGTGTGCGCGTATTTCCCATATTCTTTTAACTGTCTGCAATTGCATGCAAATGTTTGAACGTAGTCCGAATAAACGTGTGTGTGGGTATTTGAGATGAGCAAGTCTACCTCCAAGCTTACACTGGGTCCACCGGATAGAACAGATGGTGCAAGCAAGGCGTGGTGTGTGTGTAAGGGGTGTGTGTGTGTGTGTGTGTGTGTGTGTGTGTGTGTGTTAGTGTGTGTGTGTGTGTGTGTGTGTGTGTGTGTGTGTGTGTGTGTGTGTCCCTCCCTGACCTGTATTGTCCTTATTCTTCATGTGTAAATCTAATCCTTGCTGTGATCTTCTTGAACCCACACGACGCATTAAGCCAAGCATCTATGTGTGTGTCTGTGTTTTCAGTGTCTGTACGCTTGTCTGGAGTGTCCTAAATATTGTCTTTTGTGTTGGATGGGGAACATATTGGAAATCATACCGAGGAGACAATTAAAATGAGCAATGTTCTTGCGCCTTACAGCCCCCCCCCCAACACCCTTGCTGCCACTCACATACTGAACAGTACCATTACCGCTATGAGGAAAAGACGAAGAAAGAAGTGTAATCTTTGTCAGAAAAAAAAAGAAAAAAAAAGAATGGTTGGTTAAATTAGAAAATCAAAATTGTTTTGACCTGCAGAAGGCTCCCATTCCCGCCACCACAGTGCAAACTCCTCCGTTGAAGCAGAAATTGGGTTGGCTGTCACACTCAGACACACAAACCCCAGGTCCAGAGCGCACAAAGCCTAGTCTGCAGCCGTCGGCCCCCATGGCGCCAGCAAAGCCGAACCCGTCCGCTATCTCCATCCCGGGCATGAGAGTAGCTGGTAGGAAGGACCCGCTGTCCATGTTAGGCCTCCTGTTGGCAGGAGCGACAGGAGCGGCTGGAGCAGCAGGGGCAGCAGGGGCAGCAGGGGCGGCAGGAGCGGCAGGGGCAGCAGGGGCGGCAGGGGCGGCAGGAGCGGCAGGGGCAGCAGAGGCATCAGGGGCAGCTGGGGCAGCAGGGGCGGCAGGAGCACCAGCCAGGAGTGGATTTTCGTCCTCCATTTCAAGTGGGAATGAAGGCGTGTCCTCAAGTTCTGGAGTCGCGTCCAGCGCCGAGAGTTCGTCGTCAGGGGACGGGTAGTCGTAAAAGTCTGAAAGAGTCCATTCTGTTGGTTTTCCATCTTTTTGTTTTTGGGCTTTGGGAGCTTTGGCCCAATTCAGGGCGACATCAGAGGGCGCAATATCAGGCGCAGGGCTGTGAAACTCGACGGTGATGACGTCATCAGACATGGGGTTTCCGGGCTGGTCTGGACCCGCCCCTCCGGCTGTGAGCTCGTCCCCCACAGGTGAGTCCTCCTCTTCAACGTCTAGGTGGGCATGTTTATGGTGATGTCTGGTGGAGCCGAGTGGGAGTTTGGCCCCGAGCCCCGCGCCAATCAGGTGGTCCCTCTCAGCCGAGTCGTCACTGAGCACCATCCTGGTGTTCAGGGCCTCCTTGCTCAAAGATGATTGGTTGTGGTGGTGATGATGATGCCTTATCAGTGAATGCCTCCCTGTCAGTCAGACACACAAAAAGGGAATTTAAGAAGCAGGCCGGTAATTTAATGTTGAGGGACTCCGATTGAACCAAAAAGTATCCCAATGAGAGGATGATGTGTCAACATTCTAATGCTTCCCACAACTCATCTCAATCAAGTTTATATTACCACCTTTTCTCCCTTGTTCACACCTACCTCGTTATGGTAGTGATGTACATTATGGAATATAAATTTTGTCGCTTCCTCGAACATTGATAGCCGTGGTATGAAACTTCTCATCTAACTGTAACCAAAATGATGAACCAGTGCATAAAACGGCGTTTCTGTGGTGCCCCACGTGACCGGTAAACTGACCCTGACGTTTAAATAATTGGCTCACTTTCCTTTGACATAATCTTGTTGGCATCATCAGCGTTAGAGCACTGTGCGGGTTTGTGTTATATTCTCCTAGCATGTATCTATGAATATATATGAAAAACTGTTCCTATTTTTTAATTGGAGCCAGTCCCAAGGTGACTGTGTTTTGTTGGATAAACACTATGGCTCAAGGATGAAACGTTAATAATTTAAAAGGGTCCCTACGGTTATAGTAGAGATGCCTTAAGGCTGTATCAGGTTTAAAAAGCCAGCACGGTCGAGTCACAACATACGCCACCGTAAATTCCCCTGAATTTGACAACACGCAGTGCAATACAAAATATGTGCACAAAGCGTGTTTTCAATAAAAATTTGATTTGTTGTAACGTGCAGCCCTGCAAACAAACCTGCTGCGGTTTGAGAGCTAAGTGATTGATTGTCAAGGAAATAAGAACAAAGGCTGTGGCGTGATCAGACAGCAGTGATGTAGGATTAAGCCCCTTGAGTGACTGACTAATGTGCTCCGTTGATGGAGCGCGGGTCAGGATTAGATTAGGATTTAAAGCAATGGGTTAGAGGCCGACTGGTCAGACACTTCTCCTGCCCGTGGCAATCTCGCGTGAAAGATGCACACAAGAAAAAAGGGAAGAGACACGGATAGAAAAAGACAGCGGACAGGGAGGTTTTAAAAACGAGAGATTTTAAATGAACAAAAACATTCAGAGCGATGCTAATTTCTGGTTCTGGGGACAAAATACTTGGCTGGACGTCTTCTCTCCCACTGCCACCCGGACATCGCTGTGTCCTTGGAGATCACTGCCTTCAGTGTCTGGCACTTCATTCACGGCTAATAGCAAAACCATCTGAACGTGCCTCGAGTCACGCAGACTAGTCGCGGCGGAGGAACTGTGAGATTCACCTCACACACACACACACACACACACACACTGAGACGCACACTGCAGTTGCCATGGTGAGATGTAAAGGGGTGCCATGTTGAATGGAAGAGTGGGGCGAGGGAGCTGCAGTGGAAACAGAGAATCCAGTGTTGGTGCTCTCGCTCTGTCTCTTGTTTTTCAATCAATCAGCCAGCCAGCAAGTGTTATATGCCAACTCCGCTTCTGGGAAAGACCAGAGGTGGGAATGAACTTGAACGCTTCACAGTTTGTGAACGAGCTGGACTTGCTCCACCAGTTAAAACTGATTAAGACTGACTCCAATTTCATTTAGAGGTTCAATCTGCCAATTTGTTCCCTATTGAGACTTCCAGCACCATGTAAGGAGCGGTCAGTCTTTTGGCGATTACAAGAGCAACATGAAGCGTAACTCAAGCGCACACACACACACACACACACACACACACACACACGCTGCTACGCCTTTTTTTCTAACCGCCCTTCGCCTCCGGCATCACACTGAGAATGTCACCAAGAGGACATTTTATACCTGCAGTCGCTGTGATTGGCTCGAGGGCTGATTCCCATGAGCCTTTTCATCTAGCCAGCAAGACAGTTACAATTATTGATTAGTGAACTGCCTGCTGTTGCTGGATGGAGACACAACTTGTGACTACACATCCACGCCGTCATATTCAGTCAGCATTCAGATTTAGGTTGCAGTTAATACACAAGGAATCTAAATGAACACCAATCATGGATTTGTCAACCGACAAAAAGCGGCCATTATATTCATGCCTGCAGTGTGTGTGTGAGCGTGTGTGTGTGTGTGTGTGTGTGTGTGTGCAATTGTGGATAGAAAGGAGTGAGGGCGATGATGATGATGATCTGATCTAATGTGACTTATGGTGAGCTTTCTGGGGCTGCGAGGCAGATGGACCTCACAGTATGCACCCGCTCTGAGCCCCGGTGCCTGGATTTCATCCATATTACGACCAGGACAATCTGTGTCTGTGCGTTTCCCTGGATGGACTTATTGGTTTTTACGTAAAGCTGAAATGATTAGTTGATTAATTAATTACCTGACTAATCTGCAACCATTTTTGGGGGTAAATGCTGCTTTTCTTCATGCCCTTAGAAGTTGTGATGACCGGAAAACGGTCATCACATTCATATCCTCACATTTTAAGCAAAATATTGAATTGAAATAAACCTTTTGTAGGAATTTTCCATTGTGTCTGCTGTGGTTTTCCATTTCATGCTCGTTCTATTGTCATTAAACGTCCATATTCAACCCGGACGGACAGAAAAGTGAATACTTGTAATGGGCACAGCCCGCGTGGCCTCTGTGATTAAAACGCATTGACCGCAGTCTCGCGCTGGGTGTCCAGACAAAGACGGGATTAGGTGCAAAAGTGGCAAAAAAAAATAAAAAATGATCACCACCGCTGCCCGGCAACAGTGGGAGCGCGTGCCCACGTGAACCCCGGCGAACCTGCGCGTGCACGAGCCACCCTGTTGCTGGGCAGCGGTGGTGATCATTTTTTATTTTTTTTTGCCACTTTTGCACCTAATCCCGTCTTTGTCTGGACACCCAGCGCGAGACTGCGGTCTCTCGCTCCCTCTCCCCCCCTCTCCCCCCCTCTCCCCCTCTCTCTCTCATCCAGATGTTCCTTTTTTGGGAATTGCAGGATTGCAGCTTAACAAGTCGGTTACCTTTTGCATGTTAGTCGAGGAGGGTGATGTTTTGTTTTTTTCTCTCTGCGGGGTTCAAGTGTCACTAATGATCGATGCAGCAGCTCTGACCAAATATGCGGGCAGACAATATCAGATCACGCAATTGAATACGTCAGCACCTCTGTCGGTTGACAGTCTTTTAAATGCAATTGTAGTGCAACAAAATGAGGAAAATTTCTATTATTAAAAAAAGATTTTAAAAATGTCAAACATGCTATCTGCGTCCTTACTGCAAGTAATTCTAAATCAGCCCACCAATCCCCGCGTGCACGGTGATTTGAATAGCGAGCCCATTAAGCATCAACGCACACGTTTATGATCCCCATTGCGGCATGTCCAACATGGACAGTTGTCATTTGTTCCACACCCTGTGCCAACGCAGGTGCAATCCGAATCCCGCACGTGGTGCGCGCAGTTGCTCGCAGAAGCGCGCGGACAGGGTGGGACTCCGCGCGGTGGACTTACCGTGCGCAGACAGCGGGATGAGGACCAGCGAGACGGTCAGCAGCACCTGCCAGGTGCCCGAGCGACTGTCACCGCGCGCCATGCCGTGGGCCACCTCGTTGACGCGCCGATGCAAAGCGGGGATCCCGTTCCTCGTCTCGCCGGTCAGATTGCGGGGGCTGCACGATAAACCTCAACGGAGGATCTCCACCGCCCCCACCTGCCCTCTGCCCCCCACCACCACCACCCTAAAGTTCAGATCCTACCCGTTTGCGCCATTTCGCCGTTAACCTCCCCTCACAGCAGCTGTGTTCGTGTGTCTGTCTCGCTGTCTCTCTCTAAACCGTTTAACGGCTTGGGCTCGGTTCCATTATACCGCGCAGAAGCCGTCTCCTCCACACCTTTAGCGCGTTTTGGGGGCGGGGCGGGGAGGAGGGGGGGGGGCTATAGTAGTAGTAGTAGTGCGCGCCGCCGGCGGAGGGTCTGCAGACGAGGTTTTTAATGAGCCGGCTTTGTCGCTGCGTGCGTGTCTCTGTGCGATCCGATAAGCCTGTCCCCGTGTCCCCATGTCCCCCTGGCTGCACGGCGCGGCGCACAGCAATGCTAGTTGCGTGTCAAAGTGCCCGCACACACACACGCACTGTACATGTAAAGCGCGTGTTGGTAATGTTGGGCTGAATGGGGGATTTAAGCAGCAGTCAATATGCTCCATTTCCATCACAGCTAATGTGTGTGTGTGTGTGTGTGTGTGTGTGTGTGTGTGTGTGTGTGTGTGTGTGTGTGTGTGTGTGTGTGTGTGTGTGTGTGTGTGTGCGCGCCTCTCTTTTTTATGGGGGGTGTATATGAGGGGTTTATTTGGGTGCATGTTGCCTTTGGTCAGAGGGGTGTGCGTGTGCACAGTGGGTGGGTAATCCTCTATATTCTGACATACAAGACAAGAGCATGTGTATCACACACACACACACACACACACCCTGATCACTAAATAAAGTCCCCCCCATTTCACCTGCCCTCAACAGTTTAATAAGCTGACTCTCATTTTCCATCTGCAATTCTGCGTCCCCCCCTTCGCTCAAGACAATGATAAACATATTTTCTCTCTCCGCCTTTGCACCACTTGATTTCACTCTTTCTCTAAATGTCATAATTAGTTTCAAATACATTTATCTAATCACTCCTCTGTGACACTAATCCATTTCCCAACGTATCTGTTATCCTGTATGCCGTCACAAACCAACAGCCTGTGGAGAGCTGACTATCCAGCCTCCTCCCAAATGGGATTATGTCAAATATATAATGACATAATACTACCAAATGCTGTTCATTGTTGGGGCAAAAAAATGCAGTTTTACACATTGCTAATTGAATCCAGAGTAAATGGATATTAGCCTCTGCGTTCCGCTGTCCCTCGTCGTCCAAAAAACCCCCAGCAGCCCTGCATCTGAAATCCCAACTCACGAAGAACCTGGCAGAGTGACAGAGTGGGGAAGGTAGAGCGAGGGACAGCCACAAGAGGGGAAGAGAGAGAGAGAGTGTGTGTGTGATGAGTCTCAGAGGATGGACGGACATGGGGGAGTGTTGAAGAGAGAGAGAGAGAGAGAGAGAGCGGGGAGAGTGTGGTGGAGATGGAGAAACAGAAAAATATTCACTGATGCATTGCCAAACAGAGCAGAACGAAATTGCTTCCGGCCCCCCCATACATAGACACACACAAACACACGCACACACACACACACATTTCTGCTGTGATAAATACATAAGCTCGTAGGTTCTATCTTTCAACTCTCATCGTCCTATGCGACTAAATTAATTCAAATGTTCGGCTTTTTTTAATTTTTTTTTTACAGAAAGGATAAGAAATCCTCCTGTATGGTGACGAGAAATGAGTGTTTACTGAGAAAGGAAGCACAGCACACCTTAGTCAACCCCAAGCTCCGTATACGCACACGTGTTCGTGCATGTGTTTTTGTGCACGTGTTTTGTGCATGTTGTGCTCATCGGGCCACGCCAGTTTTTCTATTCTGTTCCTGTGTCAAACAGTGAGGGGGGGGGGGGGCAGGATGCCCAAATTCCCTCCGGGGCATTCCGGGGGTGGGTCCAAAAATGCAACTTACACTCTGTAAAAAAAAAAAGGGGCTGCTGACAATGAGCAGGTATGGGAATGGAATCTCATCTCGACTCAAACCTTTAACATATTTCTCTTTTCAACAAGCGCCGTTCAATGTTGTACAGTCACAGGAAAATGTTTGTTTATGTGTATTTTAAAATTCGAGCCTGCAAGGAATATGGAGAGTTACAGTACATGTACGGCAAAAGACACTCAAGTAGTACTACGGAAGTTATCTTGTTCTCTGTTGTTAAAAAAAAAAAAGCTTTGTTTGGTCCTTCAGCTGAGGCTGGTGTCCGCTGACAGAGCCCTCCGTACTTCCTAATCCTACCCAGATCTCTGTTTGCATGCAATATTTGATTGTTTTCTTCCTTTTTGTCTCGTCTGGGAATACATTTGAACACTGAATCATGTCCTCATTTTAAACTCCCATGACTTTAGATAAACCGGAAGCTTATTCATTGTGACTCAGTGTGAGATTCACATTGTGACATGATAACAGGGGGCTGCCAGTCTGCTGGATGGATACAGAAAATAAACCCTTTGCGCGTGGAGAGAAAGAAGCGGTGGCGTCACAAGGTGATGCCGCAGCTCATGAGTGTTTAACAGCAGTGTGAAGCACCTTATCTTTCCTGCTGCCCCGGCAAAGGCAATAACACCTCGACACACCCTCTGTCATCGGCTTTGAATGTACATGGATACACACAAGTATATTTTACAGATAAAGGGTATTTGGCATTGTGGACAAATGCAGTCTACTGAGTGCGTTATGTAAAGTGGGTTATTCTACTATACAAGGAGTCACTGGAGCATAATAAGCACACTAGAATATAAGCAGAGAATGATTAGATAAGATTTTGCTGTCAGTCTACGTGTATTCCCCTTGATATTTTAGCTTATTTTTATAGCCTATGACACATTCATGAATACTGTATACCTCATATTTAATTACTCTTTTTTTCTTCCTGGAGTATTACAAACATGGTGAGTGGAACAGTTACGCTGCAAGTCCACATGTGACGTCACGTACACAACACACAAACCGACAGTTTCATGTAAAACCAATTTAATGAGCAGAGTTCAATCTTGATATTTCTCAACTCTGACATCGGAGCACAAATATTTCACAGATATAAGACGGACCTACCCGTTAACCAGATACACGTTAACTGCGTCTATGTGCTTGTGTGTCTATAAACATTTGACTAGTACGGAAGAGTTACAAAGTTCAAATCCCCAACAGTTGTTCATGATCATCTCTATCACAACGTTGAACATGTGTTTTATTAGTTGAAGTTAGACCGGTGTGTGCGTGTGTGTGTGTGTTGATCTGGTTTTCGGGTCAGTTCAGCTGTGAGTGGACGCCGGAGGACCCGGCTGAGCTGGTGCCGTCCCATCGGGCTGCGAGGACGGGTCTGAGGGCGGTGACAGAAGAGGACAGTGGCATCACACCTGCGGGAGCCTGACCCCGGCCTTAAAGCTGCACAAAACAAACGTCTGAAGCTACCGCAGCAGTGAGGAATACTCACACATGCCATTGGGCGCCCCGGGGTGTCGGGGGGCCATCGCCTGGGCGTTTCCTCCACCCGGCATCATTCGGTTGGGCGCCGGCTGGCCCGCAGGAGGAGGCAATGCTGAAGCGTAATGACAGAAGGCCACAGTTTAAGCGTTGGAACAAATGACGATTTGAAGAACGGACAAGAAATTAACAAAGCGTGTGAGCCTTTTTTTCAAAAGCGGGGGGGTGGGAGGGTTTAGTTGCGGCCCGTGTGCGCATGGCTTTGTTCTCACCCGAGTGCTGCATAGTGAATCCCGGCTGCCCCTGCTGCTCCCTCTGCTGGCGAATCTTCATCTCGGCCTGTTTCAGCTGCTCAGTGTGGAACGTCTGTCTCTCTGTGAGGAGCTGCTGCCGCTGCTGCTCCAGCTGCATGGAACACACACATAGACAAAGCAGTAAGGACATGGGCTGGTTTGCAGATGTGTTCCCGTTGCTTCCGGATGCAAACTAAACACGTGCGATTAGAGCAATAGGCATTTAAGGGTTTTTTCGCAGTATGAATCTGGTTTGGGCTGCTGCAGATATTCATGTTCACTCACAGCCTCTTTCTCGCGGTCCATGATGGTCTCCAGCTCCTCAAAGTGCCTCAGTTTAATCTCCAGCTTCTTCATCTGGGTCTCCACCAGCAGAGCCACCAGGGACTTGACCTTCCTCTCCTCTACTGCTGCCAAGTGCTGCAAACACACGCGGCCAAGACGGATAAAGTTAGAAGAAAACAGCCGCCACAAGGTGGGATGTTCACGTGGCCATTGAAAGGTAGGCACTGAAAAGGGTAGTGGAGGTAAAGACAAAATGGGGAAAACACTGACGCTGGCAAAACGCTGAGGAGGGTGGAATCAATGTGGTGTGATGGAGCGTCGTAAGGGATAAGAAAATGAATAAAGAAACTGAATGAAATAAACATAAGCAGCAGGAGTGACAATTACTGATCAACTGACAACTCTAATACAGCTTTGTAACTCAGTGAGGGCTGAGTCTACACAATGAGTCCCCTGCATATTCTGAATGAGGTGCAAAAGCGGCTCTCAAAGGATCTCCAGGTCGGGGCCTGTCTTAGCGGAAATAACGACTGAAAATAAATAAATATCCGAGACCATTGACAGCCAACCAATGACAACCGTTTCTGCACACTGAAGCCTTGCGATTGGTCTATTTGGAGGGGCGGGCTTTACCTTGGCCTTTGTGGCAGCTGAGGCCAGAGCAGCTGCTGCTGCCGTGACGACTCTGCCCTCCACCAGATCCTGCTCCATCACTCTCGCCTCATCCACTTCTCCCCGCTCGAGGCTCTCGTCGTCATCTGTCCTTACTGGATCGGAAGATCATTTCTTTAATATAGACAAGACGTCTGCGTTTACACAGACCAATATACACGCACTGTACGCATCTGCATACCATCTCTCTCCTCTGAAAGTATGTTTTCGGCATTTTCTCTCTTGACCAGGACTCCCTCTACATTGGTCAAACTGGGTTCCACCGTGAGCCCATCTGCCCTTAAAGGAACCTGAAACAGATCCAGCGATACACACACTTGAGGTAAGCAACAACAAGCATAAGTAGATCTGATAAAACTCTCCCTGAGCGCTTATTGCTGTCTCACCTGATGGGAGGTGGAGTTTGTTTCAATTATCTCTGTATCCATTGACTCTGAAAGGCAGAATAAAAGACGCATTGTAGACAGCATAACTAAAAAAATATGTATTTTTGTCGTTATTTATTTATATATTACCCATTTTGTTGGGCTGGTTGGACGAGTCAGGGACTTTATTCACTGACTCTTGATGCACTCTGGAGAACTCCTCTGAAGACAAAAAAAATGGTCAAATGTAACCTTCTCACAGCCGTACCACAACGTAACCAAGACCCAAACCAACGCGCCTCCCTCGGTCCTCTCACCGAGTGCGGCCTTAGCTGCGGATGAAGCCACTCGTGGGTCCACCACGGACGCTAGGAACGCCACAGTGCTCATGACGGGGTTTTCCGATTGGATGAAAGGCACAGGCTGGAACGCCAGTGGGCCAAGGGAGGCCGAGGAGTCTTCTAGATACGGGTCTTCTATTGGCAGGCGAAGGAAGTGGAGGATGCACTCGTCCTGCGTTCTGGAGCCCACCTGCTCGGATACTTTGTTCCAGTCGTCTCTGTAGACCTCTAAGGCCTGAGAGAGACAAAGAGGATGGACAGAGGGAGAGAACAATTAGCAAAAACTTCAGGTAAAAGATTCTCACATATTGAAAATGAATAAACAAACGCTTTAGGAACGAAATGTGTGTGTGTAATCAAATTTATTTTAGATTAGTTTTACCTCTAATAGCAGGAGCGTCTCTTGCTCCGTCCATTCCCTTCCTGCACTTGTACCTTTAGTCTGAGGCAGATGGCATGAAAACATTTTTTTTTAAACATTTTTTTTTTAGAAATTACGGAAATAGTTTTAAGTGAAATAAATACAACAACATACGATTCGATAAGTTAATGAAAAATTGGGGATTTGAGACAAATATGTAATTGTTGCCGTGGGAGACCTTAGGGTGTTTCTTGGTGTAGATGTCGGCGCGCAGACCAAAGTTCTGGCAGTCTGGAGGCTTCTCTTTGCTCCTTTCTGGGAAAAACAACATGTGCTGCGAGGCTGACACCTGCGGGAGTGAGAGCAGTTAAGACACAACGGAGCACATGTCAACCGCTCTACACATGCGTTTCTGAACCACAGCTTGATGGACCTGAAATGGGATCTACCTGCAGGGGTTTGTGTTGTAGGGGGGCGAGCCCGGACGGCGTGTCAGCTAGCACGTTGAAATGAGGGGTGGGCGGGGGTCCCATGGGGAGGGGCCTGCTTTCTGCATCCACCTGGTAGTTAATCAAACCCCACTGCTCCAAAAATGCATGAACCCTGGATAAAAAAAATCATATTTTTGTTTTACTGGGTTGGAGCTGCAGCCTCCCCTCCTCCCAGAGACGACCAAACGTAAATACACAAAAAACTGCACGTGGCAAGCTGCAATTAAAAACAAGCGCCGCTTTTGAGACGCATTAAGTAAATCACATATAACATTTTCCTTTCCAACGTTCACTAATTGTGTAACACATCTGTTTCCAAGTACACCCACATACCACACTTGATCTAGCAGATGCAGCAGACACTTTATGGTAGCAAACCCCCACAGACTGAGTGTTACCTGATTACAGCACAGACGTCCCCGGTGAGGTTGCGTCTGCAGGATGTTGAGCTGAGGTATTCCTGGGGGTTGAGCCGGTACGTGTCGATCATGAAGTTACGGTACGCCAGGTAGCTGCATTGGCCAGTTAATACCATGTCAATACCAAATGGCATAAGGGAAACCATCTCAATCACCCGATAAGACGTCAATAGTGTAAGTTTGAATATCTGGAGTACTCACATTTCTGGCGATTTGGATTTATTCATTCCATTAAAGAATTCAGGCAATGCGCGTTTCTCTATTGCATGAATGCTGCAATACATGGACAGACAGGTTCTGAGGGGTTAGGACATACTGCAGAAAGCAAACAGTCAGTGCTACTACCACACATCTGTGAGTGTCTCCATTTACCTGTTGTTATTGAACCAAGACGTGTAACTTGGTATTATAATATGATGGGTTTGTTCTGGGATGTTGTCGTCTCCTTCTGACAGGCGAGCCATCTCCTCATCATCCTAGACACACACACACACACGAGGGGGCATTATGTAACACTTGTACACAAGTTCCCTCCTGCATTTAAAAACAATTGATGGGGATAAATGACATCATATTTACCCTTCCTGTGAAATCCTCCTCCAGCTCATCTGAAAAAGGAAACGTTATCTTTAATACTTTAAACTGGAAGAAACATTAACACATGCTAAACATTAGCAATAGCACTTAACCTACCCAGGTCAGCCATAGTCCCTCCTTTGACCGGAGTATTCTCACTGTCCTTCTTCAGGTTGACTACAAGATACATAAGACTCAGTTGAGAGGCAAATGGACACTTTCCTGAACACTTTCATTTCACTAGTTTCCTGTTGATAGCTTTTTAGGGTTTTACCATTCTTGGGTAGAACAACCTCCTCCATGTTAGGAACAGGGGTGGGGTCCTCCATGTCTTTGGTCAAGTCCTCTTCTGGCTCTTCCTCCTGATGTCCGCGCCTCCGCCTGTGCAAACAGACAAAACGTGATGCTGAGACCTCGCCCTGAAACCTGGAACTAAAAGTATCCCCTGCGGTTAAGTCGAAACACTTATTTCTCACCCCTTCTTTCCTTTCTTTCTGCCTTCGGAGTGAGGAGAGGGGGAGCGTCTTCTCTTTTTGGAGGGGGTGACTTTGGAGTCCTGGTAGAGTAGGCCATGGTTTAAAAGTTAATTATTTGAAAATTGAAGCCTCCTTGTTGCCCTAAATGTTCCTCCAGGTGAAAAATTGAGAACACCTTTTCCTTTCTGATGCCCCGTGGAACCCCTACAGCTTCGTACAAACCTGGTCGTCTCTGAGGTGTATGCGCTTGCGGTAAATGATCGGCACATTCCTCTCGTCCACACAATAGTCTTCTTCGTTCATCCACTCGTTGAAAACATCTGTGTCCAGAACCCAGCTAGCATGGACCTGGGATACACACACACACACACACACACACATAAAATGAGTCGTAACGTGGTGCAGAATTGTTTATGTCATCGAGTGTCCAAAGTAACCACATAGGATCAGATCTGAAACCCTGAATAACAACCATTCCCTCACAAAGAGTGGGCACACTGAGGAACAACACCGATCTGGATACCGACTCCAAACAATCTGTCTAAGCAGGTGGGCCAAAATGTTTGTATTCTAACATTATATTAACCACTGTGTGTTATACAGAGAGGTAAAGCATCCCGTTTTCTGCATCTGGGCTGCTGTACTAACCCGCCACGGCTTTTCTGAATGCGGTGGCTCTTCAACCTGTCCTTCCACGTCACTCGAGGACAACCAACTGTCATAACTGTGGGGAAAAAAAAAGATAACGGGTAAGTATTGTGTTTCTGTGTGAGCTTCTGCATGTGTGTGTGTTACTGTGCATCACCTGTCAGGGTGCATGCCCCAGTGTACCAAGACATGTTTGTCTTTCCGCATGACAGGACGCATCCAACCACCTGAACACAGATGTGTATGGGGAAATAAATTAAGTCACATACGTACCAAGTTTTCAACAGATAACACACCTTGCATGCAAACTGTGACTGACCTTCTTCTGCAGAAGCTGGCGAGGAGTAGAGGTGGTGACTGGCGAGCGTTCGGTCCTCAGTGAGAGTCCCCTGTGGAGGGACGAGCCTTCAGCACTGATTTTGAACTATATTGATAGCTCTACACACTTAGTTTCAGGTTCATCTTTTATTTTCTCTCCCTCAGTGTACGTCAACAAGTAAATATTTTCTCCTTCATTACTCCGTCCCACACACTGTCTGCTCATCTTTTGTTCTCTTCTGCAGCACTTTACCTTGTGTTTGGAGATAATATCCTTAAGTCTGCTAGCCAGCTCCGGACCCAGTGTCGGGTCCACATATACCACAGGCAGCGCCATACAGTTGCTCTGCAGAGGCACAAATATCGAGGTTGATCAGGAGTGTGTCCCTGGTAGGCTGATTAATGTATTTTCAAGTGTGTCTGTCACCTGAGTCAGGACTCTTTCAATAGCACCAAACATCTCAACATTTCTTTCAGTTCTTGACGGATTCTGCAAGTCAAACCTACGCCTGAAGGAAGGGGAGAGTTTTAAAAGGAAGTACCCTACTGTGAAAGGGCGACAGCCTCACGGGCACACAACTCACCAGCCTTGCTCAGCCTTAAACTTATAGGCAGTGCCAAGAATATGGCAGAGTCCACCCCCTGGCCGCAGGTCCAGGAAGCATTGTGTCTGCAGAAAAATGGTAAAATCAACAGTTTCTTTATTGTTTATTAACCATATTGTCGGGTTTTCAATTAAATATTGTTTATTCCTCACATATACAGTCATGTAATGAAATCTGTTTTTGCCTAGAAGCAACTAAGAAAAAATAATAATACCGTTATATCTATACTGAATGATGACATTGATCTACAAACATTAGGGATCTAAACCCTGAGATGTCTTAATTAACATCAATCATAAAAGATAAGAGACTTTGGACACTGGATAGCGTGAATTCAGGCAGTGAGAGACGGACTCACAGGCAGTTTGGTGAGAGCAGGACCGGTGGCTTGTCTGCCAAAGGCATCCTCTTGGAACTGGAGAAGCTGCAGAGTCATTCCAGCCAGAGCCTGACACGATGGAGGATCCACCAGCACATACTAACGGACAAACAGATAGAGATGTGAAGAGGATGCAAATTGCCACAAGGCGATCCAAGACCCACTGCATTTACCGATAGTCTGGCCAGTTTAACTGTTGTGTTTGTAACGTCACTGGTAAACCTCTCCGATCTGGCTACGTTGCACTTCTTATGTGTTTGTTAATTCAAATATAGCACTCGTTAATTGGATCAGAGTGATCTCACTGATCGGTGTAGACGTAACGTTATCCAGCACGAGACGTTTGTTTACACTCTGAGCCATTGGACATGCTAGCAGGGGGCGGCTAGCTAGCTAGCTAGCTTCGCAACAAGCTAACCACCTTTTTGTAGTGCTTCCCGATCCACTGTCGCACCACCTCCAGTTGGGCTAAAGTATCCGGACTCTCCCAGAACCTGGCGGACGGACTGCTGTATTTTTTACGGTGTGCGGATGTCCCGGAGCTGGCTTGGTTTGTCCCGTGCATGCCGAGGTTTGTTCCACCGGACATTGTGGCCATAATTTAACGGGATTAATCTCAAACAGGAGAACAAAACTGGCTAACGCGCTCGTTAGCTTTTGCATTCTCGCTTTCTCTCGCGAGACGCAGCGCGATTGTCGCAATTCGGAATAAAGGTTTTCTCATTTTTTTGTGTGCTACTGCTTTTCATTTTCAAGTATTGTATTATTTAATTAGACGTGGTTTTAATTCCGAAGTATATGTTTAAAACAACACAAAGTGTCTATGTAGAATACACGTCTGTTACAAACAGGGACTTTTATTTTGAAAATGAAGAACAAGGAAATAACTACGCAAGACTTGTAAACAGAAGAGAAGCCACATTGGTTAGCAGCTTTGTTTATATTTTCACAATAACTGCAAGCTATATTTTAAATAACTTCTGTAAACCTTACTTAAAATACGATGTAGGTGTTGTTGCACTCATTTACGTTTAGTCGTAACTTTCCAAGAGACATTCACATGTCTGTCTCTCAGTATTAGCAGCGAATTACGATTATCATCTGTCCCACTTCACAACCGCACTATGCGCGACGCAACACATTTAACCTTTTCTATTCTCCTCCCGTTCACCCAGGCCCTGAGATCCAATGGGTGTCCACGGTCTGACCACCTTCGTGGAGGAGAAGAGAAACTTGCTCCAAGATGTGAGGTTCAGGGACAGTCGGCTGGTCATTGACGGCTGCAGTCTCTATTTCCGCCTGTACTTCACTCAGGGTTTGGACCAGCAGCACGGTGGGGACTATGATGCTTTCGCTGGCTTGCTCACCCAGTTCTTCTCTGCGTTGGCGGCATGTAACATCCAGCCATACGTGGTGCTGGATGGAGGTAGGAATGTCTGCCATCATCACCTTCTGCACTTGAGGAAACTTCTTCACAATGTGTGATGTTTCCTGTTACATGTGTGTTTAAGTCAATGCCGGTTTTTTTGATTGATTGATCTTTTGGACACATTTGTAAAAATGTCTTTTCTGTCTTTTTCTCTGTGGCTGTAAGGCATTGACCCGAGTGACAAGAAGTTTCCCACTCTGCGTCAGCGGCTGCAGTCCAAGATAAAGGAGGCAGACAGTCTCTCCCGTGGTCGCAATGGCTCCATTCTCCCCATCCTCACAAGAGATGTCTTCATTCAGGTCCTCATCCAGAGAGGAGTCCCACTGGTCCAGTGTCCAGCTGAGGCTGACTGGGAAATTGCATGTCTGGCCCGCCAGTGGAACTGCCCGGTTCTGACCAATGACAGCGATTTTTACATCTTTGACCTGCCAGGTATGGGTAGCAGGGAGGATTTATATACTTGCATCCAAATCTGCCCCAGTAATAATGGTAATTCACTCGAGGCCACGCTACTGTTTCACATTGTTGTTTTTGTGCTTTGTTGTCTTAGGTGGTTACCTGCCGCTGAACTTTTTCCACTGGACCAACCTTTGCGGCAAAGCCTCTGACCGCTACATCTCGGCCCGCTGCTACACCACTAACAGGCTGTGCCACTGGTTCGGCGGCATGAACAAGGAGTTGCTCCCCTTGTGTGCCGTCCTGGCCGGTAATGATTACGGCACTCCAAAAGTTGCAGAGAAAATCCTAGATCTGCTAGATGCGAGTGCATCACGGAGAGGTGGCGGCAGACGCAGAGCGCCCACTTCCCGCGTTGAGGGCTTCCTCCTGTGGCTGTCCTCTTTTTCCAATTCGGCGGACGCACTGGAGGAAGTGAGCATGCTTATGGGGGAGGACTTCGGCAACAGAGGACAGGCGGGTGGGTTGAGCTCACAGCTGTGGGCGGGTATGCAGGAGTACCACATCGCCACTCAAAGCCCTTTGGCTCGCTGGTTCGCTGAAGGCAAGGCCGCCCCTAGAGGGCAGACCTCTTGGCTGCCGGGGTGCCTGTCTCTGGCTGCAGCTCAGGGACTGTTGGCTCCCTTGGTGGTGGATGCGGCGGTGATGCACAGGGTCCTGCTCATGCCGCAGGTGGAGAACAGCAGGCTAGCCAGCAGCCATTATTGTGCCGGCGCCATACGCCAGGCAATATATGGGATACTGCTGCAGACGGGCCAAGACGTCCAGGGATGGGACGGGAGGGCACAAGGAAACGTTAGTCGAGGTATGAGAGGAGGGCGAGGAGGAAGAGGGCGGGGAGGTGGCGGAGGGAGGAGTCAGGTTAGTGTTTTACCTGCACAGCAGGGTGCAGCTACAGAATCGGCCCCAATGTGTGTGGAGGAGTACGACCGCATGGATCTGAACTTGAGGAAAGTGAATGTAGAGGCACATCCGCCAAGTTCTCCCTTACTGCTAAACACACTGGGACAGGTATGACCACAAAACATCCTGTGTTTAGTTTTTTAAAAAGGCAATTAGTTAATTTGATTTATTCACCTCTCCCAATGTGGTCCCATCGTTTTATCCAGGCCCCTGTGGAAGTTCGTCTCGGTGTCCTGTTAGAGGTCCTGGGTTCGAAGGAGTCGGCCTTGGCTCGTGTTCCTCTGCATCTGAAGCTGGCCGTGGCAGTGACAGCCTTCTGGCTACGAGAGGCCAAACCGACGCCATCAAAGCCCCAGCTCCAGGCTTTGGTGCTGGGCATGGTTTACGGAGAGCTGTCCCTGAACAACCAGCCTGGAGCCGCCCACTACCAGCATACCGGTTTGTTGCATTGTGACTTTTGTATTGCTCCACGAGGTCACACACACACGGACACACACACAAACACTTAACGAACCATGTTGCTGCTGCTTACCATCCAAGTGTCACAGCCAAACTGGGCTGCAGAGCGCGATGCGTGGGCAGGGCTGGAGCGACAGCGCGTGAGGCCGGGGGAGAGGCGGGGCCTCGACATCGGAGTGGCCCACAGCTTCAGCCAATGGCAGGCCTGCCTCTGGAGCGCGCTGTGTCTCAATCAGCTATTGCTGCGTCCACTGCCTGAACCCCACCTCTCATTGTAAGGCACGTGCAAGATAATACACCGCCCCCTCCCCCACCAATAACAACCAACAGTGTTTTTCTCCTTGTCTGTGCGGGCAGGTTGTACAGTGGCACCTTGGTGCACGGCCTCCTCGGGTACCTGAAGGGAGGCCGGGCTGCTGAATCTCTCCTCGTGGAGGGTTCCATGTCCGGACCGCTCTACTCATTCCTGCTGGACACTGTGAGGAGCTGCAGCTCCAAGACCCACCCCCCCACTTCGGCAGCGGGGAGGGGGAAGAGAGGCGGAGGCCGGGGAAGGAGAGGAAGAGGGGGAGGTGGAAGGGGAGGAAGGGGGAGGGGGACCGAGGAGATAAACAATCGTTTTGCACTCCTGATGAGCGATGAGTCTGACTATTGATGAAGAGGTAGAGAAAATGAGAAAAAGTGTTCAATGTGAAGCACACGGGGGGGGGTGGGGGGGCAAATGAGGGAGGACATTCCAGTGTTTTATCAAACACACTCATGGAATGCTACAAATAGTCAATTCACAAGACCACAACAAAATGTGGTAATGTTGACTACCAAGCTTCTGTCTGTGTTGCACTAATTCAAGCCTCATCAATGAATCGATCTTCTATTACGGATTCCCAGATTCCCAAATGAGGTTGTGTCAGTTATCGCAATGCAACAGACGTATTTTAACGCGCTGAGTAATGTCACTATATTTTATGCATTTTTAGCCGCTATTTGTATTCAGTCAGGTCAACACAACATTTTACAAGGTGAATGCAGAGTCGTACTTCATCAGCTTTGTTGCAAAAAGAAAAAGTTGTACGGCAGCTTGTATCCTCTTAATGAGCGACTTATGAAATCTTCTGTTATCGCAGATGCTTGCTTACTCATGAATTTTGTACTTTGACGTACACATTTTTCTATAATAAAAGAATATACATCCAACAGACTTTTTTTCACATTTCAGCTAGTTTTCCCTTTTAATCACAACGCTAAGAAAACAATGTTTCACCCAATTAAATATGTACACAAAACAAGTTTCAACTATTTATAATGCTGTGTATCTACACTTATTTCCAAGCAATGGGACGGACCATTGCATCTGTACCCACTTATCCAGTTTTCTAATTTTTAGTATCCAACTTAATTATCCTCTCAAAATTCTCCTCGTCCCATTGAACATACTGTTGTGGCACAAAGTCCCACTGGCACTAAAAAATAAAAACAATAAAATAACTTGGAACAGTTTTCTGCATGAATGCACACGGGAATATTCACTTTACTAGTGGAGCTCAGTCTCACACAGTAGCCGCCGTCCTACGAGGACGATGAGGCCGGGGGAGACGCGGAGGGGGTGGCTTGGGCGTGCGACTGAGAGTCTATGAGCTCCATGTCTTCGTCTTCGTTGACTCCGCACGTGTCGACCACACAGATCAAGCAGCTTGTGACGGGGAACGCTCGCACCTTGCTGCAAGTCACCCACCTGAAACGCGGAAGGAAAAAGATTATTCAGCGGCAGCGTGAATTTGAGAAGTTTGATGAGCAGCGAGGTCATTAGATGAAGGGGTTCAAACACGCTATTTAAACTTTGACACTGCGTATCAGTGACAGAATTCAATGTCTACTTCCTAATTCATTTGGTTTCACTGATATTTATTCAATACACGGACCTGTCAGTTTCAGTGTCGTACTCCAAGACGTGTCCGAGCCGGCCCACACCCTGAAACCCCGCCAGCACATAGATGACCTCGCCGACCGCTGCACACTTCACCGTTAAGCCTCGCCACGGCATCGCGGCGGCGGCGCGCCACTCATTGCTGGCAATGTCATAGTATTCCACCGAGTCAAGTCCGCCTACAGAGAAAAACACAGAATCAAACCGATGCCACAGATGCTATAGTTTAATATTATTGTCATTATTCCAATTTTAGGAATTTCATTTTTTTGTACCCAAAGGTCCCTGTCCTCCAACGGCGTAGATCCTGTTGTTGACCACCGCCAGCCCATGGTTCTTCCTGGGCTCCCTCATACCAGACAACTCCCTCCACCTGAGGACAGAAAGGTGGAGACAGAGACAAGGAAAGCGTTGAGGAGAAGCAGCAGCAGCAGCTCTTCAGTGTGAATGTGCAATGATTGTTGTCAGGTAACAACTTTGAAGCTCCGGTTTTTACGTCTCTGCACTTTTGGGGAGAATTTTGACCTCTGGGTCTGAAAAGCGTTATTGAATAAAACAACATTTCTTGCCTATATAAAATATTCTTATGCCATTTAATCCTCTTTCAAGAGACATTTTGGAGATGTTTTTCACCAAAAATTATTATGATATACCGGCTGTAAATAAATAACAGAAAAGACGTTTCCTACTGTTAAGTGATAACGCAACATTGTTCCTCGTCACATTCCTCTCCTCTTCCTGACCCCATTCAAAAACACTGTAAACAAACCACTGACTGAAAGATGCATAGTTCTAAACCAACATGTAATGAACCAGCATGTTTGTGTGACTCACTTTTGAGTGCTGGGGTCGTAGACCTCACAGTTGTTGAGGACCCTGCCGGACACGTTGTTGCCCACCGTGCCGCCACAGACGTATATGAGCCCGTTGGCCTCCACCGAGCCGTGGCTGCAGCGAGCCAAGAGCATGCTGGTCTTCACCTGCCAAGACTCCGTTCTCGTATCGTAGCATTCAAAAAGGTTGAGGGCGGAGCTTCCTGCGAGCACACACGAGTACAGCACGGATCACCGCGATGAAATGTTTTCACAAGGGGAGAGTGTTTATGCGCAAACCCCCTTCCACCTCTCTGTGCTCACCCACTTCTGACCCGCCGGAGGTGTAGATCTTGCCCTGGGCCGGGCAGGCAGCGAGGCTGTCGCGAGGCGTGGGAGGACCCAGCTTGGAGTACCAGCTGTCCTTCAGGACGTTGTAGCAGTCCATGCGCTTGATGGGGAAGAGCTGTGAGCCCCCCAGGATGTAGACTACGTTGTCCCAGAAGACGGCTGTGGCGTCCCGGCGCTTCTCGAAGGGGCAGCGGATGTCTGCCCAGGTGGAGTCCTGCATGGAATGCAAAATAAATTGCTGTAATATTTGTTTCTGAAATATCTGATCTCATTTTTTTTACGATAACCCAACATTAGAGTTTAGAGGTTTCACACTTTTATATGAAACATAAACTTTAGTGACTTGGGCCCAGTACCTTGGGGTTAAAGTAGCGGCAGGACTGAGGCTGGGAGCCTCCGAACAGAGCGATGCGGTAGTCGTGCTTCTTGCGCCGCGGCCGGCTGCTCTCACCCAGATCTTCCCGGTCCTCCAGGGACAGCAGGTGGTAGCGCATCCCACCTGGTACAAACATCACAGGTCAACCCAGCAGACGGAAGCACGACGCCGCCGCGTCAGTTTGAACTTGAACTTGCTCTTGCGAATCTGAATCTAGAATACGAGACGATGTACGCCAAGTTGATATGCGACTGGAGACATGAATCCAGGGTCGGCAGTTCACCCAATTTGCAGTACAGGCTTAGATGTTCTGAATCTTGTTGAGTTCTGCCAGAGACTTGAATTTAGTCAGGAATAATTCAAAAGTTTGAATCTTTACTATTGGGGATAATGCGGACAGGTTGGTTCCAGAGTAATGTAATGTAATGTAATGTAAAGTAATGTAAGTTGTGGTTTTACATGCGTGTGTTCCTTTAAGAACTGTGGGACCGTTGCACCATGGGATTTAGTCAGGAAGTTGAATGTGATCAGGACAGCCTCACGTTTTGTGTTATCTCTCCATACTATCCACGTCAATCGTCCACGCCTTTGGCAGCGTTCTCGGTATGCAAAATAGATGCCGACATACTGTTCTTGTATATAAGTATTGTCAGTAAGTTTGATGTGCATATTGGGCTGAGAATGAAGGGTTCGCCTCTGCTATCATGGGTTGTGCTACATGTAGGTATATTTGGGTTTATTTGGATAAACAATGTGGGTTATATTATGTACATTGTATAGCAATGTATTACATATTTCCTTTGTTTCAGCTTTTATGTTAGCTACTGTATGTACTACCGCATTGCATTGGTATGTAGTTATATTGTTTTTACAACTGTCATTATATAATATTTGCGACTCCTTAATATGTAAGTAACAGGTAATCATTTCCCAGTTTCACCCTTTCTAGTCAAATAAACGGAGTTAAGACGATCCCAGTCTCCAGTGCTTGATGGTGGAAGGTGTTTAGCCGCTGGTCAGATTGCACAGGGTTACGTGCATGCAGGACGAGACACTAACTATAGAAATTATATAAATTGAAATTTGTGTGTGTGTGTGCATGCTTTTCTCCTCCCACTCACCGATGACCATCTTGAGACACTGTGGGTTGTCCTGGATGAGGGGCTCGGCCTGCACCGTCTTAGAGAGGAAGGTTTTGGAGACCAGAGGAAAGCGAACGCACCCCAACACCTCCACCATGTACTGCTGCCTGTTACACACGTCATACTTCAGCCAGCGAACGGCTGCGTCATATATCTGAAGAACACAAACGCAACGACAAAGCATGTTGGGAGCATACAGATTTCAGGGGGCAATAATTTTGGCCATTCAGCTTTGTTCGGAAATTTGAGTTGGAAAAGTATTTCTCATAATTTGCACATTACACTTCCCAAAAAGTTAGTTGTATCAAGAGATACTATTAAACTCCCCAGACATGTTTTTCTTGACCACATTCTTTAAAAAGATAGCAAAAGAAAAATAAAGCATAGGGTCAATGAATGTGTGTGTGTGTGTGTACCTGGGCCTCAGCACGGACTGTGAGTTTGTCGTGGTGGAGGAGGTGTGTGAGCTGTGAAACATTCAGTTGCAGGAACTCATCCAGTTTGTAGACTTCAGTAAAGTGGAGCTCGAAGAAGTCCTCTGCGGCGGCCTTCAGCTCGGGGCAGTCCATGCAGTCTGCCAGGGAGGAAATACCTGCACCATTACAGGACAGGGATCAGTCAATCGAATGAGTCACATGATGCCACCCAAACCCCAAATTCCATTTCTGAGTAAACTAAAAAAGCCCTGAAATGGAGATACAAGTAGCAGCTAAGAACTGTTTAAGTAGTTTACTTTACTAGTAGATGCTGCTACCTCAATCAATCGTGAAAAGCCGATAACATTCAACCTTATTTGTATCATTACCGAGGCAGTTTGTTGCATCAATTTGTGCTTTGAGGAATTCAACACACATCTTCTTCACAGGCTCAATCTGGTACTGGTTGGCTGCATCCAGCAACGACTGGACGTTACTGCTGTTCACCACAATCCTGACACAAACACACACACACACACACACACGTACACTTTATCATTAAAGATTTTTGATTAAATCAAGTGAAAGTGATTTACAAGAGATTGATCTGATGTTTGGCAGCTTTGGTAAGCACGTGTCATATTTCCTTTTATCAGGTGCGCTGTATACCTCAAAACAACCCCTTCGATAGATGTTACGATCGACACACTACTTTTAGCCAGATTTCTTACCGAGCTGTGTAGATAAAGTCAATCAAAAGCTCGATGATCTCCGCCTCTGCACTCCTGAGCTCCACCTCGTGGGACATGGACTCCATCATCCGGGCTGGAGGAGAGGAGGAAGAGAGGTCAGAGTTCATAGACGGCGTGAAGCGAGGAGAGCCCTGTGTAACTCATACTGTGTTCTGATCCCACTACAGCACACGTGTCCATCCCGTGGCGTCCTTGTGTCTGTACTTACTGGTGAACATGAGGCTGAAGAAGTGGCTGGCGGCAGCCAACACTACTCTGTGGGCAGGAAAGTGTTTCCCCTGAACCACCAGTGTCACATCACAGAGAGTACCCTGAAGAAAACACACCAGTATGAGGACAAGGAGGGACAAGCCCCGTTACACACACACACACACACACACACACACAGACACACACACACACACTTGTCCCCCCTCTCTCTCTCACCTGTTTCCTCAGGTTGTTCATGACTCCCATGATGCCGGACAGCTGTCTGAACTCCTCTTTAATGGCCCACTTCTTCTCGCTCTTCTTCTTGGCGCTCGCCTCCTTCTCTGGAGATGTCCCCCCCGTCATGTCGGGCCCGATGGACGCGAGGTGTTCGTTTGAATCGGAGCGGTTAGCTCAGACGCTGGCAGTTGGCTAGCTAGCCGCTATAGCAGCTTATTGTGATGTTATGAACTAAAATGAAAAACACCAGTTTTTTCCACGTCAGCTTCTCCGTGAAGACTAAAAAAACCCAAAATAAAATAAAGAAGATGGACTTTCTAGAGTCAGCTTAGTGTATTTTAGAAGCTGTTTGCCTCCAGCGCTAGTTGTAGTTTTCTTTTTCTTCTTCTTCTTCCTCTCTTCTTCTTATCCTTCTTCTTCTACGTTTTCTTCTTTGGTTAAAAACAAATACTCGCGATCGCCCTCCACCGAAAGATGCCACAGATAACTGAAACAGCGGAACTGATTTAAAACTTCGGAGCTGTTAGTACGTGTGCGGTTAATCTTTTTGGTAGTTATTTGTTATTTGTGTCCCGTTTAATCGGTGACTTTCAACTATCAGAGAGGCGTCGGAATACGTTTCGCATCGTCGCAGCGCACATGTGTGGGGGACACCTGTCCCGATACCTTCACATCCATCCAGAAATCCGGTGTAAACATAAACCAGGAAGCGACATGGGTCATGAACCGCATGACGCTGACGTCACCGGGAGTCTGCAGACTACAGATGCATTGTCAGAAATAATTGAGCTGAAAGTAAATTGAGAGCGAGCTGCAGAAGAAAACAAATAAAATGCCCCGTTTTCTCTGCTGTTGCTGCTTCTCAAGTGAAAACTCCGACACCGAGGTAGGATATAAGTGTTTGTTGACTTTCTTGTAAATATGAACGCTTTCTGTTCAAGCTCAGGCGAGACACTTGATCCCCGCGTTGCTTCGGTGAGATTACAGAATAGTTATGACATGACACACGGTTATCACAGATTAGTCCCTTTGACCGTGTTTGGTCTCACGGGACAAGAAAGGGTTATTTACAACGTTATAATTGTGTCGTTCTGTCAGAAACACAAACGGGCAGAGGTACTATAACCTTGAATTATAGCAAAAGTTCTCCAAAAGAAGTATGTGACACTGGGATCGCTGTCCGAGTTTGTGACATTGTTATTACTTGTGTCCAGGTGAGCGACCGTGTGTTTGCCCTACATGTTTTTTATACTTTATTGACAATCTAGCAGATCACAGCGACTTGCAAGTAGCGCAGCGTCTTAAATAAAGTGATGTATTTCTTAATGCGGCTTTAGAAATGAACACAATGGGATTCTATATTTGCTCATGAAGTCTCCTATAATATCGTGAAGGTGCCTTCAGATCATGTGACCTGCCGTCCATATCATAGGAAGGTGGCGGCAGGTCATGTGACCTGCCTATTGGATGATGGGAACATGGCGATGATCATAGGCATGGCAACGCTAAAACAATAGTGGGACCGTTTCAAACTTAATAAATATAGAATCGCTTTGTGTTGATTTCTAAAGCCTCGCATTAAGACACACATCACTTTATTTAAGATGCTGCTTCTTGCAAGTCACTGTGATCTGCTAGATTGTCAATAAAGTTATAAAAAACATGTATGGCAAACCCACGGTCATTTAACTCATTTAACGTTACATGGTATTTGCATGTCGCTGAATACCCAACTGAGATCGGCTTATGCAGTTCCGAAACAGGATCCGACCACCGCAAACTACCACCGACCACGCAACCTGCCGTCAGGCAAAGGAACCTGCCACCGATCACTTTTCTCACTCGGCCCTAATGGGAGTAAAGGCTACTCTGCTATTATTTTTCAGAGGCAGCCTCTCCTGCACCCCAGACCTTCTGACCTGAATGGAGCTGGATCAGCCCGACAGACCCGGCCAGCACATAGTGGTATAACTTCTCTAAATCTTCACGTGTCCTTCTCGCGGTTCACCATGAATTGAAACTACCTGTGTTCTTTTGTGTGTGTCTGACTTTGTGCTTGCTGTGTGATACTCCCTCCCTCCCTCCATGGACCGACAGTGAAGCAGATGGGCCGGCTGGTGATGAGGCGACTGTGTGTGCCAGAGTTAGACCAGAGGTTTTCAGACATGGCCGAGACCTTCAACGACCAGCACCAGCGCTACGAGGCCATGGTCCGACATATCAGAAACCTGCGTCAGAGCTCTGGGTGTAACCATGATGATACACTTTCATTAGCAGAATGTCTGGGGACCATCAGAGCTGAGCATGGTAAGTGAGAGCTCCTTGCCAGGACCGGCTGGTTCCTTTACTTCCATTTACAGTTTCCTTGGTTTGTCTGTTTCAATCTTCATCTCTACCCACTTCCAGAGACCAGGTACAGGGTCTCCCTTAAGATGAAGGGCTATGACTTCACCCTCAGTGTGGTTCCTGTGGTTGAAGGGGAGGAGGAGCCACCACCTCCTCCACACCTGCAACTGGCTCAGAGTGAAATGAAGAGCACCTCAGAGTGCGCCAAAGCCACCATTTCAAAGGGTACCACCCTTCAAGAGTTAGTAGGCTGGCTTCTCCGTAGCAAAAATGAAATGGCTGAGCGAGTGAAAGAAGCTGCAGGAACTTTACAGGAGCAAGGAAGACTCAATGAGAACCTGGAGAAGAACCTGAAGGAAGTGAGGAGGGCCAAGGAGTTGTCGCTGGGATACAGACAACGGGCCGGGGAGGTCCTCACCGAGGCCGCTCAGATAGCAGGAACTTGTCTGTAATGTATGCACATGTTAGACTGCTGGTTTAAATCCACCAAATACAATACACAGGTACAGGATCAAGTTATTCCCAGAGTTTATACACAATTATGCACAGGGAACATCTTATAAATGTGGCACATATGCTCTCTACTTTGCCGGTCATTACAGCCTCTGCAGTAAAAAATTCTGTTATATCTCCGTTTTACATGTTAAAATACTCACATTAGCACTAAATCTGTGTAAATACATTTTTTTTCCCGGATTGATGTAATCTTACCAGCTAACACTAGGGGGCATTGTAGCCTTACTTGAACGTTTTAGCAGCTGCCTCTGTGTTTAAATTCCTCAGATTGAGTCCGTTTCTTAGAAATCCCACTACATGAATAAATATTCCTTAAATTAAAGAATCAGAAATCAATAATAATTTATGTGCTACTGTTTCCTTTTTTTCCATAAGGAAATATTTTTCTAATTTCTTCCATAATGCAGTAGAGATCGGGATACTGTCTTCTAAAGCAGTAATGGCACAGGAATTGTGACTGTCTCTAGTGTTTTGCTAATGTAACATTAGGAGGGAACAGATTTGCTGATTGTCATCCACAAAAGCCCATGCGTTTATTAATTAATTAAAAAAACAGCTTCCCATCTGCCATTAATGTGAAAGCAAACAACCATGTTCATATGCCATCTTGATAATTAATTTAGGAAAATCCATTGTTCCCGAGGTCATGGTCAAGTGCTCATGCATTATTTAAACTGTACAATTTAGATTCCTGCTTACACTATACAGATGATTGTGGCCTAATGTAGCGAGTAAAATCTGTAGATGAAAAAGTTAGAGGATTAAAGTAAATTCTAAATATTTAAATATTATTCTGTTTATTTTAAATAAAGGCTATATTGGGTATGTCCTACAAAACTTTTAAATCCTCATTTGTGTGAGAACATTCTTATAAAATGGTAACTAAACTGATCATAATTAAAATTGCAATATATATACTGTACACGGATGAAAGGCACTTACTGAATGATAGTTAATTTGCTGCAGTGTGATCAATTATGAGTAGAATTCAATCATAAAACAACTGTCGATAAATTACTTATTATTTATTTATATTATTTATGTGACTCTTTAAAAGCGCCTGTGGTAAATAACTGCTGTCAAAGAGCAGTGACTGACAGCGACAACCTACCAAAGTCGTTAAAGTTATTAACAAACAGCCGACAGTCTAACTTGATTGGATGCTACTTCTAGGGGGCGCGGCAGTTAGATGATATACTGCTCTCTCATTGGGTCAGACGCCTGTCACTCTGCGGTTCCGCGTCTAAGGTTGTATGAGTAGAGAAAGTAATGAAGATGGAAGGAGCTGATGCTGATGAATTATTGAGGAGATTCATGGAGTAGCGGAGTGATAGCAGTGTACTCGTCTCGCCGGAACGATAAGAGGACATCGATACCACGGAATTGACCGATAGCATGCCCGTGAGTAACAGCAACTTCCCCAATTGACTTTGTGTCGCGCCTTAGCCGAGCTAGCTAACTAGCTAATCTAAAAGCAACCGCGGTGACAGCTCGAAGTCATCCAGCAAAGGCGAGACGGTGGGGGGGGGGGGGGGGGGGTGACGGCGGAGGATTACTTCACGTTCTCTGCCTGATATCGCCGAACAAATCCACCGAGAGGTCCGGCCGGGAGAGATCATGTGCCGGTGTCCCGACACACGTCTGTCACGTTGTTTTCAAACGCAGCCCGTTACTAGTTGTCATTGTGGGAAATAAGCGGGCTAGCACCACAGTTACGACTCCAATGTGCTATAACATATACAAGGTGCTATAACATATACAAGGTGCTAAGCTGTCCAAATGTGTTGCCATGTTCTGCTGCTCTGATAGATTAAGTAACATTTGTCGTGGATACAGACTTTGTACCTGACTTGATATTTATTAACAGCTCCTTGTGTGCGTGTGGTCTGTTAAGTGTGTGTGTGTGTGAGAGTGAGCGAGAGATATTCTGACATTGTACTTTTAGATAACCGTGTCATTGCGTTGACACCAGTCCAGCAGGTCCACACAAACTACCACTGCAGCCTGGTGATGATGGACGTGAGGTTTCTCTCCCAGATGTCATGTGGTGCATCTTCCCTCCGTAGCAGCCAGCCGGCTCAGGGCTTTCCTGTCTGATGGGTCATCACTAGAAACATGTTTGCCTTACAATCTGTGTCCTTCACAATGGCTGCGCTCCTGGTGGCGTGCCAGATGCCGTTTGAATAAGATACTGTTTTTAAAGCCTGATTCACAGGTTGTCCTCGCCGCTCATGTACTCGCGTGTTCCTCTTTAGGGAGAGGCTCGTCCCTTTTTTTTTTTAGACAGGTTTGTTGTGACGGTGACTGTGCAAATGTGTGGTGTTATTGGGATGTGAATGTGCGTGCGTGCGTGCATGCGCGCAGGGCTTGTTAATGTGTGGCCTCCGTGGCTGCCGGCTTACGAGGCCTCTTAATGTTTTTTGACAGCGAAGCCCGGCAGGTCGTAAAGCAAGAAAAGGGTTCGTGTTGCCATCCAGCATCACAGCCGGAGTCGCCCGTGCCTGTCGGTCATGAAGTACAACGAAAACTGTCGCAATCCTTTTTCATTTCATTCTCTTCCAATGTCAAGTACAATATCGGGGACATAAAGTTTCATTTTACATCAAAAGTATATATTTGTAGGCATGGACGCCTGCAGATGTAGCATGTTTTAGCTCAACGAAAAATCTAATCAAAAGGGGTATTTCTACGGGACATTTCAGGGCTGAGAATCAGTAGATCATGATAGGCTTATCCCATTTTTAGCAAGAAATGCAGAGACAAGTGGAGGGGAAACAAGTGAGCATTAAGATCTGTGAAGTTAATCATTGGTCCCTTCGGGCTCACCGCAGGAAGAGGAGCGAGGAGTTGAAGGGGCGAGACGAGGGACAAAGATGCACCACTGGCTTAGAAGCAGAGAAAAGAGCGTGGGCGCTATAAGAGGATTCCTCCCTGGCAGATCTCTGTATCCGTCTCCCTCTGCGCTCGAAAACCAGGAGTCATGTTGGCTTAGCTACCGGCAGTTCCTCTGCTGCTGTGTGTGTGTGTGTGTGTGTGTGTGTGTGTGTGTGTGTGTGGGTGTGGGTGCATGCGCGCGCGCAGAAGGTGAGAAAATCCGATGTGGTTTTGGGGTAAAACTCCCACCACTTCCTTTCAGGCTCTAAGCAACCTGCTGTTGAAGACGACCATGAGTGGGAGGCGGGGGAAGGGGGGTGCGACGGAGTTAACATCAAGCCAAGGAAGTCCAAATAAAGAATATAGCAACAGATAGTATTAAAGGCAAAAAAAAGATGTGATTTATAAACTGAAGTGCTAAATGTGGCAAACGGGAGGGGAGCCACGTGTGAACTACTATTCTGAAATCTGAACATGGGTTCAGGTGGAGCTGTGAGGCGGGGAGACTCAGGAAGGTTCGCCTACAGCTTTTTCTCCCGTTCATCTTGAAGTGATCTTGGAGTCACCGGTCCAGCTTGTTGTAAATAGTTGACTGTTGACCTAGTTTGTAGACTTTGGGTGGAGCCGCGTTGCTTTTAGTTCCTGGTTCTGAAGTCGGTGAGTGCAGCTAAGCAATTTATTTGTGGATTTGGTGGGTTTGCACAAGACATGTGTGAGCTGACGGTACATTGGCTAGTTTATGTTCGTTGATCTGGTCAGATCTATTTTACTCTTCGTCTTCATGTAGCTTTGATCTATTGAGGCAGTTGTTGGTTTCGTTGATGTTATAGCCGCCTAACCTGTAGTCTTTGTCGCCTGCACCTTGTGCCAAAAAAAGCAGCTGGGGCAGCTCGGTCACTCAAAACCACCCACTTTGTCTCTCTCTCTCTCTCTCTCTCTCTCTCGGCTGTCTTTCTTTCTTATTGGTCGTCTCTCTTCCTGGAAAAAAAGCAGGTTTACCAAAGCGTAGGCCATGTGAAATAGGAAATGAGGTAATCAGCGAGGAGTGGTGTGTTTGGGTGTCCCCTTGATTCATTCTCGCTTGGACTCGCTTCAGTTCTCCACCAGCCTCCACAGAAAGGTATGTTCTAACTTCACTACCGAGTTTTCATATTGCTGCATTGGCTGTGGGGTTTTTATGAATTGCCACAAAGTTTGTGTGTGTGTGTGTGTGTGTGTGTGTGTGTGCCTCAAATGTTTTTTTTTAAACTCTTGTCAGGACAGTCAAGCACACTCTCGATAAGGATTAAGAATCCAAACCTAAAGGATACCTGCTTGTGCTGTAAGAAGTCTCTATAAGGAGGAGTTGGATGTAAGCTCATTAGACCGCCAGCTCCGTGTGTGTGTTAGAAAATGTATCGCGTGGGTGTAAATTCAGAGGGAACGAGCCGTCAACTTTAGCTGGCTCAAGGGTTTTGTCACACCAGACAGTAAACGCATGCACACACACACACACACACTCACATACACACTTGTGCAACGCATGACACATTCTCGCTCCATGGCAAATAGTTTGCTGTATCAGAGCTTTGCGTTGGTGAAAAATCTCAGGGCTGTGTGTGTGTCCGTGAGGGTTCCCTGGGGGGGGAAAACAATTTACAACCTAATGAACTCTTCCATTATTGATCCCGCTGCCTCGCTCCTTTTCTGAGTTATCAACCCCTTGGGTTTTTCTCCATGGCTTTACTCCTGCACCCCTCCATGCGCTCAGCTCTTCCTTCCTATTCATCCATTCCCCTCTGTCTCCTGTCTCCTCCCACTTGCTCACTACTTCCTCAGATTGTAACTTGTGGAGCCTCCTCGTGCGGCTTGTGCTTAACTGGGGTTCACCCGTCCATCGCCGCGGTGCGGCTGCGTGGAGGAGGCTCACCACTCAATGCACCCCCACCCCCCCCCCAGACCAGGACGGAAGAGGGTCATCAACGGGATGATGACATAATTACCCCTGTAGTGTCGTCCCAGAGCACTTAGTCGCCCACTTAGTTTCCCTTCAACGGTTGCTTAAGCCTTTCCGCATTGTCTGTAGAAAATGGACACCTTAAAAAGACGCAGCATTTGGTGGTGTTTGTGAACACCGTAGGACGTAAATATGTTGCAGAGTAAATTCTCATGTTTATTAGTGTGTAATGAAATGTAGCGTGAGCCTGACGGATCAGTGTTCTGGGGAGGGAGAGGAGGGGTGTTGTTTAATTATTGTTTGATTATTTTAAAAACATTATATTTTAATTTGTTTTCATCGTTTAACAATTTGATGGTGTTATCTTCAAAATTTCCTAAACAAATTTATTTATTACAACTTACTGACATTTAATGGAGCAGCTGGAGTTAAAAAAAATGATTGCTTAAATTAAAATAAGCATTTTTGACTGTTTATTTATTCATGTTTACATAATTAAAATCAAATCACCATTTCCTAATACAACTGCATCCCGCCACTGTCTTTTTGTACTGTCGACCCCTCTGCCGCTTGCCTTTTGTGTCGCTGAACTTGCTTCTCAGCCTCTTGCTGAGCCGGGAGGTAAATATACCTCATGGGTGGGCGGCCCTCCGATTTTAGTCTTCAAGTATTGTTTTCTGGATTCGGATGAAGCCGATGACAAACCCCAGATGCCAGCGTGGACAGAGTTGACTGGTTGGAAGCGACTCTGTAGGAGGAACCCTTCCATCGAGGAAGACTGACTCACCCGCACTGTAATCGCAGCCTCTACTTTGTGATTCGGTGAGCTGCCATTTAAACATACTCGCTCTAGATATCACTGCCGTCCTTGTAGTCTCCGCCAGCGTGAAAGAACGGAACAACAAAGGACTAATTTCTCTAAATGGAGGCCTTTCTGCAAAATAATCCTTCCCCCGTTACATGAGTCACTGGCTCCTACCCCCCTCCCCCCCCTTGTCATTTCTGTCATTGGTACGGTCCATAAATAGACACCTGGCTGCTATGGAGGGACCAAGGACCAGAATAATGCAAAATGAAGCATTTGGATGTGTGAAAGACCGATTAAAGAGAAGTGAAGATGGCGAGAGAGAAAGAAATGTCCGTGTTGGAGGAGAAAAGCTGAAGTGAGGATGTGAAAAACAATCAACATATTTTTCTCCATTTCTAATGACACACATGCACGAGGCATGTCAGAGGTTTTTTCTTTTGATAATCCTGGTGATTGAAAATCAACCCTATAATCTTTCCAATCTTTTTGTCTGGTTTGAATTCATTAAGGGGATATTGTGTGTGTGTGTGTGTGTGTGTGTTTGAGCGCGAGAGAGAGAGAGACGCATTACTTTTTAGGTTGTTGGGAGTGCAGGTTTTTTTAAATGTTTAATTCTGCCACCTTCAGCTCAAATCTAAGCATGCATCTGCATGACAAGTGTCCACATAGAAGGATTTCCTCCTCCCTCTTATTTTTCCCCTCAGACTCCGTTAGCAGACATACCAAACATGGACCGTTTCTGAATTCAACCGCCAATGTTGCCTTGTCCGCTCAGAGCGCAGGCACGATACCCAAAACAGATAATTCATCCTTTGCAACGAGGCTGTTGGGAGGCGAAAGGAGTCTTCATCAGCAGAAAGCATGTCCTATAGTGACCGGCATGATTTATTTTCCGTCCTTTATTCATATTTGGTCCTTTTTGAAATGTTATCGTAGAAACTTGACAAACCAAACTGCCGAGAGAAAACAATTTCAGTTAATCAAGAAAACTGACAAAGTTGGACTGCCTCGCATTTTTTGCAGAGCAATCGGCTCTAGAGAGGGAAATATATGGGCAGTCCACCACTTTGATCTGTATTGACGAGTCATCGAATTGTGTTTGCAAGCCTGAATGATTAGCCTGAGCTACTCGCTGCTCGTGTGTGTGTCTGGAGAAGGAAACCGAAGAGCAAGAGGGGGCGAGAGACTTGTGCTTCCCTGGAGTATTAAATTGACGCCTGCAGCACGAACAGTCAGTGATTTTAATAATGTTATCAGGACACCAAATAATGTGAGGAATGCAAACATGGAGGAACCTTTGTGCAAGACGTGTGTGTGTGTGTGCGTGTGCGAATACACGTTAATACTGTTTTTTGTGTGTTTGAATAATAATGCAAAGTGTGTGCTTATATAATATCTTTTTCTCTTTCAGGTAGAGGTAACCCCACTGCAGATGAGGGAACATGTTGGCTATGGACGAAGGAGTGGTGGAGGATTGGCTGTCAGAATTTAAGGTACTGCTTTACTGACGGTGTGTGTGTGTTTATTAGTGCATTTGTGCAAAAAGACAGGCCTAAAAGACGTTCACCGCAAGCCAGCTTTAAAATGATACAATTATAAGTTTAGGATGTTCAGTACACACTTCTCATCTTGACCTGCTGTGATTTATGTTCTGTGTGTTTGTCTTGGCCCGTCAGTTAGTGTATTAAACTGTGTGTGTTTTTCAGACCCTCCCTGACAGTGCGGTTTCCTCCTATGCTGCCACACTAAAAGACAAAGGTGCCCTGGTCCCTGCACTCTACAAGGTCATCCGAGAGAACTACAGCGATGTACGGACACACACTTTTAATACGTTAACCACCCGACTAAGCTGAGTATTTTGTTGTGTTTCAAATGCCACGTTAAAACTAATATATTTTTGCACCACGTGCCCACGTTTTTTGGGGGGGCTTTCATCTCAACAGTTGCTGGAGCCAGTGTGTCACCAGTTGTTTGAGTTCTACCGGAGCGGTGAGCCGCAGCTGCAGCGCTTCTCGCTCCAGTTCCTGCCAGAGCTCCTGTGGAGCCTCCTGTCCGTCAGCGCAGCCAGAGACCCTCACACGTCGGGCTGCATCGAGGCGCTGCTGCTGGGCATTTACAACCTGGTAGGGAGGGGAGAAGAGCGGACCAAGCTGTCCGTCTTGTGTGTTTTCCAGGCCACATTTTTACATCGCCGCTCTCTGCTACAGAAGGAGGGCTGTTTGTGTTCACACCAATAAACCGGTGCAGTGTGATGGGTCCGCGGTAAGGAAAGACATTAAAGAGAAGAAGAAGAATGTCCTCGTAGGCAGTGGGTGTAATCATACGGTTCCAGAAGCCGGGGACACTCTGTTATCTGCGATTATGTTCCGTACTTTCTGCATGTTCTGCTTTGTTAGACAGCGCGGTAGGAAACGGAGGAATTGAAACACAAGTGACTTTTCGATACACAATATGGAATTGTGGCTCCTTGCAAACACCCTTAAGCATCCCTCAAAGATGTCCTCACTAGTCATTATTAAAGTCTGTTTGAGCTGTATTTTCATCTGTTTTGGCTGTCCATGTTCTCTCCATCAGCTAAGTGCAATGTCCCCTAACTTCCTCTCTGAATAGCAGAGTAGGTCACCTGTCACTCAAAGCACTGGCTGGCTCCTATTAATCTATTTGACATTAACATGCTCACCGGGGGCTGGAAAATCCCGGGGTTAGTGCGTACACAATACACACACCAATGAGTGAACACACACACATAATAGCAGACTAATTTGGGTAACCGAGACCCTGAGGTCCACACACAAACCCCCACATTTAACAGATGAGTGTGTTGAAGAGATAAACACACATTCTTTTGTGGTTTAGGGCGCACGTCCGTTTTTAGTTCGGCCACATAAACATTTTCTCATCGTCTTCCTGTCTTTATCGTTCACAGGAAATAGTTGATAAAGATGGACAAAGTAAAGTATTATCTTTTACCGTCCCTTCCCTCTCCAAACCATCAGTGTACCATGAGGTGAGAAACGCATACAAATGGAATCGGCACTTTTTTTAATATTTTGCTTTTGCCGAAATGTTGAGTTAAAAAACCAAAAACGTCATCTCCCCTCCAGCCCTCAGCCATCGGCTCCATTGCCCTCACAGAAGGGGCACTAGCCAACCACGGGCTGAGCAGGGTGGTGTACAGCGGGCCGCACCTCCAGAGGGAGACCTTTACGGCACAGAACCGGTAAGAGGCCTGATGGGCAATCCTTGTTTTAGAGTCTGCTGCATGGGTGGTGACGTGTTCAGCTGGGTGGAGGCCCCGCTGTTTTCTTTAAAATGTCTTTCTCCGTAGCAGGCATCCAATCTGCCTGCTTGGAATTGGCAGGAAAACGACAAGCCAAGATATGTAAACCGATTTGCCTCATCAGCCTTAAAAGGTCAAATGCTCTACGTCCTGTGACCATTTCTCAAATTCCACTGTAAAATGTGTGTGATACAGATTCAGCCACCATATTAATCATGGACAATACCTGTGCTTAAATGTGGATTCACACAAATTAGATATTTACTGTAAACCGCCTTCTACAAGTGTGATATTAAATTGTTTCCTGGATAGTTTCACAATTACTCCAGCCCCCCCGCGACCCTGTGTGCAGGATAAGCGGTTTGACAATGGATGGATGGATGGATGGATGGATAGTTTCACAATTAACATATGTATTTACTATTAGTTTAGTCTGACGGTCTCATTAAATGTGGTAGTTTCGGTGACTCTGGTTCCTCAGACTCTGGTTCCTAGGGTCAGTCATGGCTAATTGGACGGATTATTTTAAATGTAGAAGAATTTTTAAGTGCCAAAACTGGCTTTGTTTTTCAGCATCAAGCAAAGATCATTTTAGTGAAACCTATAGGGGTGTAACGATTCATTTTAATAACGATTCGATTCGAATCACGATTCATGGTTGCCGATTCGATTCATGGACGATCTGGGTTAATTTAGAACAATTCGATTAAGTGACTTGAAATCGATTCAGTAACTTTACTGGACAGTGCAGGCAAAGTTTCTGAGATCCCTGTTGTTTCTTGTAAGAAAATCAGGTTTAAATTAATTATGGATTTTATAAACAAGCAAACAAAAATTGATGGCAAATGTATTAACCTTTTATTTTCAATGTAAACATTAACAATAATTACACAATGTTTGGATCAATTCACAGAACCCCGGATTTTCAACCACATTGTGGGGTCGCATGTCTTTACAGATAAACTTGGCAATTGTTACGTGATGTTGAGTTTGGTGCTGGCGAGGCCTGAGGTGTCTGCAGAGCTGGAGTTACCTGCTGCTGCTGCAGCGGTGACGCTGCTAGAGGTCCTGACTGTCGGCGTTGTTTAATCCCACGGCGCCTTAGTAGATGGCCGGAAAGATTCGTTGTGTTTCCGTGTTTTTTTAATTTGTCTTCTACATATTCTACAAACAGCGACCGACTCATTTAGAACACCTCCGTGTTAGCAAAAGCCAAAATGTTTCCACGCGCTGGATCGATAAGTTGGTTTGTAAATGTCTCGCTCGCAGTCGTCTCCTCCACGCTGTGTTTTGTTGTTGTTCCGAGTTTCGCGCGGCTGCCGCTGCGTACTGATGACGTCACAGACAGGCAGACTGAATCGAGTAACGTTTAACGTGTCTAAAGTGCTAACAAACAAACAAATAAACACACATCCATGGGTTTTGATGCAGAATGCATGGTATTAAAAAATCTCAGATTCTCAGAGGTTCAGTACCGCCTTTGCAACCTTTTAAATCTCTTTGATGGCGGTATGTCTACCTGCAGAATTCGACCTGATATGTTTAAAACTTTGCCATGTTATGCTGTAATGCTGACGTCAAAAATGATAACGGCATGTTTGTGCCGTTAAGATTTGACGTGCTGACCTTCCTGCTGCTGTGCTACAACGCTGCTCTCAGCTACATGACCTCCACCTCCCTCCAGTCCCTCTGCCAGCTCAGCTCCAGGTAAAGAACACTTCAGTTTCCCACTGTGTAATGATGATCATGTCCTTCCCGATGGTGTTTTCTAGGAGGCTACTTGAATAAGGCTAAACATACATGCATGCGCTTATCAGATCCTCTTATAGACTTTACCAGTAAGAACCAAGATATCGCTATTCGGCGAAGAGCCGAAGCGTTCGCACACATCTCCGCTCAGGGACTCTGGCAATCTGCCAACTGTAGCTGAGCATTGCTCTAATAAGCACGGCGCGAAAGAGAAGTCATGAGCTTTGACGTGTGTCCGCTCTTGTGCAGTACACAGCGGCTCCTACAGCTTCAAGTGTGCAGGTGTTACCTCAGATTTAGTTGAATCCTCCGCTGTTGCAACTTGTTTGGTTGACTGTTTTGAAAATGATAAAATATTGCCCTTAGGAATTATTCAGCACTTTAAAATGTTGTAGGTAATGCAGTACATCATTTCTAGATCATTATGTAGTGTGTGTTGTTTATTCCCCAATTTGCTCCTTGTGTTGTTTATCACCTCCCTGCAGGAAGTAAATTGCCTCAATGGAGCTGCAGCTAAGTGGTTCCCTCTGGTTGACGATTCTGTTTCACTGATTCAAACCCCACTATTGTGTTTCCTCTTTGCTGCCCTGCAGGGTGTGTATATGCGGCTACCCGCGGCAACAGATCCGGCGCTACAAAGGCATAAGCACGCGGCTGACGGTCACGTCAGAGTTCCTGGTTCAGCTCATCACGGGGATACACTACGCCCTGTGAGTGTACACACATTCTGACTGATCAGCTCTTCCTTTAATGGCCTGCATTTTATAGAGGATCTCTGTCTGCCCTTTTTCGACCTATGACAATAATGTAACGTTATTTTTATTTGTGACCATCATTGGGCATGCTCACTTTGTATTTTGTGTATTTTTATCATCAAGCTAAAAAACGTAACGCATTGGAAAGCCACCCATTGTTTACATTCATGTTTACAAGCGTACCTGCAGACCTACTGAGATCCCTCCACAGGGAACCTAACGTGTATTTCCATTGACTGTTTTGGTGTGCAGGTGTAACGGGGAGGTTGAACTGGGATCCAAAGCATTGGATGACGTTCTCTATCGGGCCCAGCTGGAATTGTTCCCTGAAGCTTTATTGGTGGGTTTTTTGCTTCTACAATCACATCTCTCCCTTTTCACCTGCAGTCTGTGTGTGTTTGTCAGAGAGAGAGAGGGTTAGAGAGCGAGCGAGCGAGCATGTGATTTTGCCGCACATCCTGGCCCATAGTTTGATTCATGCACACTAGGCTGCATTGTGTTGGTCTCTCGCTCTCTCTCTCCCCGCCTGTGTGTCAGAGACTGCGAGCAGAATGTAATCCCACTAGATTATTTACATGCTTTTCACTCTGCTCCGTTAAGCTATAATCCTTCAGACCCAGGAAGTAGAGGATTGAACCTAAGCATGCAGTGTTACTACACAACTTAAGGTGTGCTTCTCCACAACAATCAAAACACACAACCTTTGATTTCACATTAATCACAATGCTGATCATGCTGATCATAAAGAAACAAGCTTTTTGGGACAAAGTGTAGAAATGTTAAGATGTCACCCTTTGTAGTGTGTATTTATTGGAGTGGAACACACCTGCAATCTGCCCTCATAACACCAACGTGTTGCAGCCTCACGGACAAAGAACATGCTGTATTGTTTTGTGATTACAAAGCCTTCCAACTCTGGTTACGTACGGAACTGTTACGTGATCAATAGCGCAACTTGGGAATACCCAGCCAGTCTTAACCCAGAGTTTTGTGAAATAGTGTTATTATAGAGAGCGACATACAAAGCCTTTTTGTTTAGTTTTTATATCACTGGTCTGTGTAACTGAGTCTGTTTGTACTAAGCTCTTAGCTTTATGCCCAAATCTGGTGAAATGGGATTATTGATTTTAGGAGAAAAACATGTCTTTGTTACATAAGGAATGTTTTGCTTTCGGGTATTGTGTGTTTGTTCGCTGCCGTTTCACTTGGATCGTGTTTCCGTGGTTCTGCCTAATCATTTTTTCTAAAAAAACATATTTTAGTTCTGTAAAACGTTGGAATAAATATATACTTTTGAGATTAATATCTTTTCACATATTTTACATTTTAACAATAACAACATTGAACTGTTGAATGTTATTGTGTACGTAATGAAGAGTACACATTCATACAGTACACATTTTGTTGTTTTGCAGTCTGGTCCTGAGACATTTTAGTGAAATGAATGTCAAGGTTGTTTTTGCTTATCAGTGTTTTTAAAAATCCGGGCAAATGCTCTCCGAAGGAGTAATATTTGTTGCCGTGTGTGCTTCTCCTCGCCCTCAGGTTGGCAATGCCATCAAGTCATCGCTGCACGGCGCCGCGCTGAAGAGCAACAACAAGGAGGGTGCGCGGAGTATCCAGGTGGAGATCACACCCACCTCCTCCAGGATCTCCCGGAACGCTGTCACCTCCCTCTCTATCAGGGGACACCGCTGGAAGAGACACGGTGAGACCATGAAACAAATCGAGTTAGAGAGAGAGAGAGAGAGAGAGAGAGAAAGAAGAGCTCTCACAATTTGTATTCACATTTTTACGGGGTAATAAAAATAGAATTTTTTTTGACTCAAGAAGAAACTCACACCAAAGGAGAGAGAGCGGTGTTTAGATCTCTTCATTATTCACTCAACGCACCATCTCATGTCCTTCCAGTCACTGTGTACATCAGACCCTTCCAGTGCTCTCTCCCTCCTTTTGGAGCAGCTCTTCATTCCAGACACTGACTTTCTGTCCAATTTCACAGATGGGATAAAACCAGAGAACAGAAAGTTCATTTACAGAGTCATTCAGATCAGCTGCAGCGTGTGCGTTAAAGTTTTGTGTAGTTTCAACTCTGCTGCAGAGAAAATGAATAGTATTAAGATTAAGTTGTGGAACAATGAGGCTTTGGGTAAAAGCCACTCTCTCTCATAATGCCGGTAGTTGATTCTAAACCACAGAGTACAGATGTGGCAGGCCAATTACAGCCCTCAGCCTAGTGTAATGAGCAGGTTTCATGTTGAGCCCAACCTCCCTTGTCCAACTTTGGTGGCCGTCTCCCGAGCTGCTGCTTTATGTTTTTGTCACGAGCAGACGATGGGGAAAAAAAATACTATTAACTATTAATTAGTATATAGACGTGACCGTTGAGTCCATTTCATTTTTGTGTTCATGTTCGCCTCCAAATTGCATGTACTTTACCATGTGTTCTGTTCTGATCACTATGATTTTGTCTTTTTATTTTTCTGCCACTACATTGATTACCTCTGTTTGTCTTGTGTCACCGTGGTTGTGTGTGTCTGTGCACACGGCCGGCTTTCTTTGTGTGTGTGTGTGTGTCTTTTGTGTTTGCATTGTACATGTCTTTCTGTCCATCTGTATGTGTTGTTACATCCTGCCCCCACCCAATGCTCTCTTTTGGCACACCCCGCCCCCCCCATCAGAGTCCCAGGAGGTGAGTGTAGACAGTGCTGCAGCAGTGGGGGGCGTGGCCATTCCGGAGATCAATGTGACAGGTGTGACCGGCGAGCGAATGCCCAACGGAGAGTCCTTGCGGCCGCGCACTGACGGCCGCGCTCACCCTGACTGCGACCCGCTGGGCGCCGCCTCCGAGGTCAGCATGGATCCCCGCGCTCATGACTCCGGCACGCGGGGTCAGGAGGTCAGGAGGCAGAAGTCCGTGAGGCGAATGGTGGAGAATGAGGGTTCTGGGTTGGCCTCCACAGGGAGGAGCCAGTACTAAGGTCCAGCCTCTCCTTCCCACTGCCCCACTCCAGAGGTAACCTAGGTAACCGTGTGTGTGGGGGCGTGGTCTCAAAAGCAGCATGACGGCTTCCCCCCCCTTTTCTTTTTTTAACCTGTGGCGTTGGGCTCCACCATCTTCTCTTTGCCTAATTGCACTGTTCCTCTCATCTGTCGATCCAACGTCACTCATTCATTTACTCTCTCCTTTGTGGCTAAAGCTTCCTCACAAAGATCTTCGACTGAGATTCCTTAAGTTGACTATTATTAGTAAAGCTCTAACTGAATAACCGATCAATAACCCAATAAAGATGCATAATGAAATGCGCAAGTGATGTTTTTATGTTGAAATGAAGTGGATCCCGTTCAAAGCAGTTAAACGTAATGGCAAATGTTTTACAGTAGCAATGTGTAACATTCAGGAGGATTGATACAACATTCATATGTCTTTAATGTATAACCACAAAAATAATAACCTTTTTGAATGAGCTGTTCATATCCACGTAGTTGTCCTACAGCACTCGGCACAACTTAATGCTACACACTGCACGTTTAAAAAACAAAATACAACGCTGTAAACTCTTCTGCTGGCTGTACCTCGCTTAATAAATGTCATTCTCAAGCTTGAGGTCAGCTCACCGTTAACCAAAAGGCCCGTTGACCTTGAATCATATTTTGCCCAGATGTTATCTGTTAGCTGCGCCAGTATGAGGAGATTAGATGCGTACAGTGTTGTTTGGGCAACATCTTAACTCCTGGGTTTCACCGGAACGATAAGTAAGCCTGGTTGTCTCTCGCAGCAGACCTCGGTACGCCTCAACACATTACTCCTGGGTTGCACCTGGAACAGACGACTTCCTCCCGAGTGGTAGCAAGGAGCTGAGGAAAGACATGCAGGTCTTCAGTCATTAGAAGCAAAAGCTGCTCGAAGTGTTAAATGTTGACGTGAAAATGACCCTGAAAAATCTGACCATGAAAGAGTTTAATGGGACCTGCCTTTCTATCCGATTACCAGCTGTTTACAGGTGTTCCGTCTCAGTGATAGTATCAGATTAGAAGTGTGTATTTGTGAATAAGTGGGTGGTTGGCCACTTGCACAGCGGGACAGATGTTTAAATGTGTCGCACAGGTGTTACGTCTTTGGCTTTTCTGTACGCCTTCCTCTCCCTTTGTGGACTTTCCTCAGTTTACGCTCTTTGACTCTGTCCTCCTCCTGCCCTGGGGACAAAAACGCACTCTCCTCAATGAACCTCTTGCTGTTGTCTCGCAGCGCTGCTGGTCAAACTAACCTGTGTTCTTGGCTGAAATACTGAAAGTGGCAAGAAGTTTACGGCTGCAGTGTGAATGTGCCACCTGCTGGGCAGTGAGCGCTCGTCTGTCATGCAGCCCGACGGGTTCTGCCCATCATCCAAAATACTTTTGTGTCTTTCGTATTGTTTTTAAACTTTGTTAATCCTAGTAATGAATAATGTAGAATATTATCGGATCCTATGGGCTGGATGACTGATGAGCTTATGTTTTCATCTGCAGGCTCCTGTTTTCTTATTTTGGTGCTTCTGTTTTGTGTTCCTCCCTCTGTCTGTCTCAGACGCGGTGGATCTGGGTTCCCCGGATGAGCTGATGGATATCTCGGAGTTGGATGAGGGGGTGTGGCCCGGCAGGGTGGGGCCGGACATTACCCCACCCACCATCACAATTAGCAACAGTGTCACCACGTTGAACCTGGGGGCCAAGGCCATGAAGAAGTGTCGGCTCGGCGGGCGCACCAGCAAGGACAAGGAAGCGGGCCCTCTGACAATAAGCCGGGCCGCCAGCGAGTGCGCAGAGCTGTCCGTCAAGCGGCTGACGCTCACCTCCAGCCAATCGGTGCCCAAGGCCGGAGCTCTCACCAGCCTGACGCGCACCGCCAGCGCCGTCTTCTCGCGTTCCTTCGAGCAGGTGGTTAGCAACAACGCCCCTCCCACCAGCAACCACGTCGCCTCCGAAGTTGCCCGCTATTCATGCAGCCTGCAGGAGGATGGACTGGGCTACTTGAGCCCGGCGCCGAACCACACGCAGCGCTCTCCGACCATCACCGTGCGCCTTGGCGCTGACCTTTGAACCCTTTTTGCGACGACCCCGAACCCTCTCCTCTCAGACCCTGTACCTGTGACCCGGAACTCCAAGCCATGCCAACTGCAGCAGGACAAAAACACCTACAGACACACACAACTCTCGCCGCTAACTTTTTAACATGTGATTGTGCTGTAAAGCCGCACTGCTCCCCCCCCCCCAGCAGAGGCTCCTCCGGGCCCGATGGAGGCGGAATGACGCTTCCGGCTCCACTGCCAGTTGTGCACCGCTCGTCGTGCCAGAAAATAAAAATTGCAGAGCTGCCTGTCTGTAAAGGGGGGCACTTGAAACGTATTACTAGAAAAAGAAAAAAAAAAGAGAGAGAGCGACCGTGTGGGAAAGTATCTTAATTGGCATTTGTTTGCCCTGCATGGCTTTCCATACATCCATCCTGACCGTGGCCAGGTTTCTCACAGGGCAGATGTTGAGCGTGTGTAAGCATGCTCGAGTCTATGTACAATTATTTATTTTTTTTTAGAATAAAGGCTGCTAATTGATACAATGAACAAGGTATGATTCTCCAAGTTGAAGCAACGTTCAACTAATTTAGAAAAAAAAACATTGATCTTTTCCCATAGCAATACAAATCTCCCCTATTCAGTGTTTTTTGTCAACAGTTACAGTTGAGCTTTTTTTAATTTTTTTTTATATGTATATAAAGAGAATCTGCATTCTTCCTCAAACCATCAGGAAAAAAATGACCACTCCATAATAAACTAGTATGCTCAGAATACCTTTTTGTTTACAATCGCACGGTATTGTCATTGTGATGGAAAAGCAATATTTGTCCTTTCCTCTCGCTCTTTCAGTACCTTCCTGAATTTCAATTTCAAAAATATAACTCCAACTTCGACGAATATGATTTTTGGGGGGAATGATGGGTGTGATTTGATTTAAGCTTTGCATTTTGCACTTGAAAGAGCAAAAAAAGTTGTTCCAACGTTGGTATTTTCTTATGATGAACAAGAGAGGTCAGACTCTCAACTGTGGTATTTTCCTGTGAGACATGTGATTTGTTGTCCCTACACGAAGCCACCTACTTCTGCAGAATTGAAAGAATCTGATGCCCCTGATTTAAAGATGAAAAAAAGTGAACCACAACTATAACCAAATCTATTCCTGTGGGACATTGTTTGGGTGCAATGAGGCGTCTGTTCTTTGTTTCTGTGATCCATCCACCACTCCAGCTGTTTGTAGTACTTTGGTGATGTGTTTCCCGTGTCCCTCATTCTTGTTCGCATCTTTATCATCACGTCACAAGACGCGGTGAGATTCTCTTGTACCAAAAATGGAATTAAACTCCACCCATCTGCTACGTTTGGTTTCCTAAATCAAGCTACCCCCACCCTCAAGCAAAACGTACTCGGTTGTCAGTGTGCTCCAGCTGTCGAAGACCCATAGCTTGGTGGGACGATAACAATCATCATGTTTCTGTATGTGAGTTTACAGAATGTGTTAATTGGAAGCTCTTGTTGTACATCAAACTGTTGTACTTAAGTTGATTTATATTGGCCTTTCTATGTCTGAAGATAACTCATTGCTACAACATCTCGAAATAAAGTGTTTCTATATTTCACAAATGTGCATTGTTATAATTCTGCTGGACAATATCAGTTTTCAAATTCAGAATACTACTCAAAACACAATACCAGAAGTCTTTTTTTCTGTTCAGGCCTTCAAGTATACGTTTTCGTTAAACACTAAAAATACGGACTTAATACAGGCAAGCAGTTACTCTATATTGAAAGCTTGATGTCCTACTCAATAATTGTTTGGTACTTTGTGAATATATTTATTTACATAAATGTAAATAAATATATTCACATTCTTTCGAAAGAAACCTACAACAGCAGTTAGGCTTCCGCACATCTGCCTGCAGAAAAATGCAACATATTGAAATATACGTATTACGTAACATATTGAAACATTTCTTTCGTATGTGTATACTAATGAGATGCTGTTGTCCGCATGTATTTTGCACTTCACAAGTAACTAAACCTCTCGGTTTAAACTGACCATTTATTAAATTCAACCTGTCGCCGGCGCGCAGTTCCATGTCTCTCCCAGATATGGCGCCCTACGGTAGATGGAGGACCTCGGATACCAGCCACATCCCTGACGTCACTTCCTGCTCTTTCTTGTCCTTGGACACCGCATCGCTACCGTTCCGGATAAACACATGGCTAAACTGAGCAAAGAAACCAAACAGCGGCTGCAGCAGCTGTTCCAATGCGGACAGTTTGTCATCAGATGGGGTTTCATACCAACCGTGTTGTACCTCGGTCAGTATGCGCACACGAGCAGGTGGAATACGGCCGGTGGAAAAGACGTGCCCCTCGGACGTTAGCAAGTTAGCTTAGCCTTAGCTTAGCCCTCGCCTCGAAATGAATTACCTTTTTTTAAAGAGTGCTCTGGTTGCTCTGGTTTGGCATCCTACAAAAACTATTAAATACGATAACACCGCAAAATTCCTAATCCCTTGTAATATTAGTTTTTTTACTGGTATCGTGTAACGTTGTAACATGAGCACTTGGGGCTTAACTTCGTTGACATGTTAACGTTAGATGGTAACTTAGTAAATCATCATCTACCATAGACAAGATCATTTCAAATGTATTTCTCCCTCTGTATACTTTCTGTGTTAAGTCTCACATCCTTCAGTATTAAATTCATAGGTTTTATCATATCCATCTGGATAATCAGCACCGATTAAGCATTGCCCTGAGATTCTTAGTTTCAAAATGAGACACATCATGCATTATACCTCATGAGGTTAGTTCATAAAGTTCGTGGTCGCTCCAGAGGAACATCGTTAAAACCGCACATGCCTGTGGTATGTATTAAGGCGGTCAACATTAACGCGTTAATCTATGCGAATAATGTGGCCTAGCAACAAAATATTTTAACTGTTTACTTCCGCTCCCGTAAATTGACCGCGGAAACGAAACGGCCGCTAGCTGCAGTCAGTTACATCAAGATGGAGAGAGCTTTTTGCACCGGAAGTGAAACAAACTGGTGCGACATACAGATGTTAAGCTGGCTGCTATGCTACTTCCATCTCAACATCTAACGCTACCCTGCACAACGTCTGCAGAGGACCACCACTGTGTCCCTAAAAGACCGTGGTTTGAAAAACGTTCTGGCTAAATGTGGGGAGGTTGTTGGCACTTCAAACACAGCCGTTAAATGATAGAGAGTTAAGAGCACGAGGACAACAGGAAGAGGCGCCAGTTCAATGTGTTCCACCTGCGAGATTAAAGAATTTCAAGATGTGTGATTAATTTTTTTACATCACTTCATCAATTGACAGCCCTAGTATGTATGCGTCATGTCATCTGGTTTTGGTTTCTGCAGTAGAGCTAAGGAAGTTCAGACGTGTGACCTCAGACATGCTTTCTTCCCTCTCGTGTATCTTCCCTTTCTGGGTTCTCCTTTTTCGATACGTGCATTCAGCTCATCCATTTCCTAAAGGCAGAGTTTCCATCAGTTGAGCATGCCATTTCTTTGTCGTCTGGTAAACCAGCTGTGATCTCATCACATTGAAACCGTTAATTAGGTCGTTGCCCTTCAAAGTTAGAAAGTATCTTAATCAAAAAATGCTTACCTGTCCTGGTTTCATCCTTTCTGATTTGAGTTTTTAACGAACCCCGTTGGTTTGGTAAGCCTCTTTATGCAGTGGGAATTATGCTTCTCCCTATGAACAGAGAAAAATTAAGGGATGAATTTTGTATTTTTCTCAAGAATCTGTTGTATCAGTGTGGGGAAATGTGTTCTTCCTTTCTGTGCCTGTGGGAGGCTGTGAGTCAGACGTGCCTCTCATTCATTCATAGATGTGTAATCACAAGTGCCCCCCTCACCCAATTCCGCACAAAATGTAACTTACTGACAAACTAACTTTCTTCTGTAAAAGTAAACCACAATGCTTCAATGCTGCTTTATGGTTTTCCTTTAAAGGTTTCAAACGGGGAGCAGATCCAGGAATGCCTGAGCCCACAGTCTTGAGGTACGTAGAGATGCCTGATGCTAAAGGAGGTTTTCACAGCTTTGCACCAGGGGAATGGATTTCCTTTACTGGGATAACAGATGTGTAAACTGTCAACTAGTTGTACGTGTTGATTCAACAATTGGCAAGAAAGTGAAATCTGCAGTTCTGTGTTGTGGTCTATGTATTAAGATTGCAGAAACTCCAAACAATTGAAGACCTATTGTCCTGTGACTTCACGCTGCTGTTTTAGAGGAGTTAAATGTTTTTAGCTCTAAGTGTGCTTAGTAAGGTGAATGTAAGGCGTTGCACAATTAGTCACCGGAAGTTCACCATGATAAATATTCCAGTGACGATGCGTCTGTGTGAACGATGGAATTTCGGGAGTCTAATTGAACCTCGTTTTTCCTTTCTGCAGTTTGCTATGGGGCTGAAGAACGCCTCCACACAGCCGGCGCCCTCCCTTCATCGGGACCATGTGACCCACCTCTCATTGGAAATCCGGGACATTATTTTCTCACTCTCAGCCATAACACATACTGTCCGATATCCGGGGAAGCAATGAGTGCATGTTGTGTTTGGCTGTGATGTTTATGGCCTGATGCATCGAGAGTGTCTGCTACATGGAAAGAAGATATTTGGATCAACAAGCTGTATTCATGACTTCATTTTTGAACATAAATGGACTTCATTATGCGTTGGTGTTTAGTTGGGAATGTGTGACAGCGATGTTTGGATTTAACATTCATTCCTTGTTTTCCTTTTTATTTGTAATTTAAGATTTCTGAGAATAAATCCACAAAGAGATGAATCCTGTGATGCATAACAAATGAACCAAAACATGGGTTAAAATAGTTTTAAAATGATTATATGTCATGTAGGATGAGTCAGAATGTTTGATTGTTGAATGTGTAATTATCCCTGCAGATTAGAAGTTTGGGTGTTCTGTTTTTGCGGTTGGATGGCGTATATTTCAAAGTCTCCTTCAAATGCACTGTGGATGGTGGAAATTGACGGAAATCTATAATTCTTTCTGAGGAAAAAAATCTGTTGCAGCTCTGCAATGACATGCGAAGTGTTCCAAGGAAGAAACGTCATAATGGATATTTTTTTATTTCTGCATGAGTACAAAACATTCCTTCCAGGCACTTATTGGTGATGTGCATTCAAAACAGCTCATCACACTATATTCAATTCAACAAAACCTTGTGTTGAACTACTTACATAAATAAATCTAAATAAATAAAATGATTCTTTTAATATCTATTGCTTTTGGTTTTATAAAACGTAATGCATTCCTAGAAATGCTCAAGTAAAAATAAAATACAGGGCAAAATTGCATTTTAGTGCACAGAGCCCACCATAGATTTTTCTGTGATTAATAAATAACTTTTTACCAAGTATAAATAGTTTAAATAAGTGGCACAATAGTGGGCACTTTTGAGAAACATGGACCCTCGACATTCTCCCCTCACCAAAGGCAGCAGCAACAACCGCTTTCTAATGATCTCATCTTAAACTTTGCGTTACAGAATCTGAAAAGAGCCCACGCTTCCGTTCCTCCTCTCCCTTTTAGCGATGGCTCGCCTGCCATCGAGCAGGAAGTAGTGGAGCTGGCGCAGGACGCTGTGGGCGGCCATCTTCCTCTGGAAGGCGCTGGGTAGGTTGAGGCCCCTCAGCAGCTGGGCCTCCTGGCGGTCGGTCAGTGCCGCCACCTGGTCCGGGTTCCTCATCTGCGAGGCAATTAAAATTAAAAGCCGAACAAATGTATTTTTAATATATGAGCTATAACGTAACTTGGTACGTTTGCTGAGGAAATTGACTTGAGTAATTCCATTTTGTGTCATTTTCACTCACCTTTTCTTTGCAGAGGTTGATCAGGAGGCCGCTGTAGTATTTGGCCAGTGAGCAGATCAAGCTGCCGGGGTACTCCTTCTCCACATGCTTCAGGAGAACTGTGTAGACAAGAAGGCCGTGGGCCATTCTGTGGAGACAAGCCTCCTGGAGAGAGGAAGAAAACCTCGGTCAGAGCTCTAGAACTTCACCCAGTTGTTTTTCATCGCTGCAGGAGACACAGTACCTTGCTGAAGTTGGAGTGAGGGCATCTTTCTGGGACTGAGAAGACTTTGTAGTTCTCAAGAAAATTATATTTCACCACATTTTCAAATTCGTCTTCAAACTGAGGTGGGTGAGATAGAGAACAAGCGACGACGGTCAGATGAGCAGTTTCCTTAAAACGTTTTCAGAAAAGCCCACTCATCTATTCAAAAAGAAGAAATAACTTACCTCCTTCTTGTGGAGCTTGGTCACGCCGAGCACCGCGTGCCAGACCGGTGAGGCGCTCAGAAGGTCGGAGGGCAGCACCTCCACCTCCTCACCTGAGCTCTCACCTGTCGGGGCCGCGGTGGGCGTGTCTTCTACCGCAGCCCCGGATGCGTGCGGCAGAAGAGCGGCCAGCGTTGCCGCAGAGAGAAGCAGGTCTGCGCGGAGAGGAAGAGGAGGAGGAGACAAGAGGGGGTGAAGGGATGAATGAAAAGAGGAAGAACCCGAAGGCAACGTGCGCACCACGGACCGCAAATCGCTTACTGAGGAGAGAGCGCATGATGAGCCGCTGGGAGCCACTTGTTGAGTCTGCACTGATGATGACGCTGAGGGCCAGAGGAGGTGGATGTGTGTCTGCCGTGAGCTGTCATTTTTATATTCTGCAGAGTGGAGGGGTTTCCCGATATGCCCCCCACCTCTACGAAATCCACGGGTGCGTCAAACATCCGCTCCGGCATCCGTCTGTGGTCATAAAATGACCAGCGGGAGCAGGAATTACTTCCAGGGAAGTCATTATTTGAAAGAAAGTGAAACAATAATGAAACACGTTTCCAACACGTAAAAAATTCTGGAGGGGAATCCAATGATATTATTAGCCAAATCGTTTTGAGGGAAATCCACAAAGGTCTGATTTGCACATCGGGATAAATGAAATAGATGCAGAGTGATTATAAGGAAAGTTTTTATGAGGATTTTTTTGTTTCAGTCCCACAGTGAGAGATTGGCTTCATGTCGAGTAAACTCTTAGGAGTATACCATACTTTCCCCGCTAAAATAGCCACACTAGTTGCCCACATACTGTCCTCATGAAATATGTCCACAATGATATTAAGCCAAGTTGAATTAATGGAGGTTGTGTCTCAATCAGTGCTTTTCTTGTTCTTTCGTCACAGTGATACGCAGGTTCTTTTTATTATTAGTCAAGAAAGACTTTGCATTAGTGCGTTCCTTGAAAAAAGGAAACTACACTCAGATCACACAGCCTGTAGGATCATATTTATTTGAGTACAACAATGATCAATTATCATATATACAATCAAATATGGAATTTCTTCCCAAGTCAGTTTTCCCTTAACTAAACTTGCCACAAAACCATTTGGAAAAATGATAATATGACCAGTTTGTACATTTCTTCACTTCAAATCTACGACACATTTGAATCCAACTACCCTTCATTTCATCTTAGCTGATATTTCTGGCTTAGACGTTTCCCTTCTGTGCGCATATTTCTCTCAATAAAAAGTTGGTGATTAGGCACTGACGTTAAGATTTCATCAGAATAGGCATTTCAGAATTTCAGTAAATTCCATGGAGCAAAAAGCTAACGTAACTGAGGTAAGCCCTTATCATTTGACAGCCAGACAGTTTTCTGTGATCAAATGAAGTATTTTCCTGTGTCTCAGTGACTGAATGTTATAACCTCTCTAAAGTCCCTCTATAAAACAAGATCTATAGCAAAACCAACACCTACTTGGTAAATAATCCAACACTTACATGCTGACTAAATACCGGCAAAAGAATAAACAAAAAATATGAAGATATATACAAATAAATCAACTAAACACTTTTGTGTTAGCGTTGATATTGAAGCATCGAGCATTCAGCTCATAATGGTGCGTAGATTCCCTCTTGGTGTCTTTTGTGCAGGATTCGAATGTTTGGTTGCGGCCTGAATCTGGACCGCAGTAAGATAAGTAGAACTATCGTAGATGTCAGCTGTCTGGCACTTAAACACAGTTCATGCCAGATATTACTATGAGGTGGTTTTGATAAGATTTGATATATAAGACGGGCTTCCAACATGCGCTATTGCAACTATTGGTTTTATCACTTCCTCCCTCCCGTTCCTGGAACACTCCCCCTGCTGTGATAATCAACGCAGTGTTTTCATTGCTGAGAATTCCTTTTTGAAATGTTCATATCGTATAATACTTCATATTTCATGATTTATGTAACGTGTGGCAGGAATAGCTCACTGGTTTTTGTTCCTGCTCATTTTTACACGATGACTTCTTTCCTATCAAGTTGCTCCATGATACGAAACCTGGAAAGTATGCCTTACTTGAATGGTTTGTCAATTACTCACTATCAAATACATTTTCTTGTAATCCCTGTAATGTGGATTTTTAAAAATGTTTTTACTCTATTTTTACTTTAATCTACTTTTTCAAGCAATCAAAAAAACCTCAACCTCTACTGACAACCTCTGTCATCATTACTGCTTTACTCGTCATAATATTTTGTTGGTATTAATTCCCCCTTCTACTATTTTAGATGCGTAACTTCCCCTATTCAAATGACTCAAACTGGAGAACTCCCAAATTGGGTTAAACTATTTTTGATGCCTTTCTCTGCTCTGTGAAGGATGTTGTAAGAACGGGTTGGTGTCCACTCAAGGAGTGTCCTGGTACTTTCAGTGGACTATTATGAGACTTAAGAATAGCCTCGTCTTTGCAACGCCTGAGTTTATCGAGAAGTGCTGATCCTGACTGTCTCAATGCTTTTGAGCTCAAGACACACTTTCAGTTTCCCCTGTGGACATCCAAGGTTCTGTTTAATACATCAGTTCCATTTCTCCCGAATCCTCTGAGATCACTCAGGTACTGAAGGTTTCCTATAACACTGGGAAATGGAGTCTGACGTTGAACTTGTTGAACTCTGCAGTTCACTCTGGACGCTGCTAGATGGCAATCACGCAGCATCCACGACGAGAGGAAGCCGAGTGCTCTGAAGCAGTGGTCCCCAACCACCGGGCCGCGGACCGCTACCGGTCCGTGGGCCATTTGGTACCGGGCCGCACCACAGAGAGAATATATATATTATATAATATATTTTTTTCTGAAAAATGTTTTATTTTGAAAATTGACCGGCTTTTCTACTAATTATGTGCGCTCGTCCCTCTGACATATTCCCCACGCGTCACCAGAGCAGTGCAGCTCTTTCATAGTCGGAGCCTTGCTTCTGTTCTTTAATACCTGACTTTATCCATCAAGCTCGGTTATATGTATATTTTTAATTTCAGTGTGCCAATCCTCTCCTCACTTTTCTTTCCCTCTCAGTTTCTTATGTTGGCTCTTTATGCCTTTTTCTCAGGCCACAGTGTTCTGGTCCCTTCCTCTTCCTCTTCCTCTTTCAGCGGACAGAGAGCTCCAGAAGGGAGGAGAGGAATTGTATCTCTGCTCTGTTTGCCACGGGCACTCTTCAATATTTTATCCGGAGTGCATTTGTTTGAAGAGAGCCCTGAATATGTGTGCGACTGAGTGATAACGAGAGACGTGTGTGCGGATTCTGTATTTGTATGCAGGAGGGATGCCGTTGAAAAGTGTGTATGTTTGCGCGTGCGGTGACATTTTTAGGATGAAAGGCTTTCTCCACCCCGATGGCAATTGGTTTTCTCTCTCTCCGGACTTCGGCCCTCTTGTTCCTTTTGCACTTTCTTTCGCCATCTCCTCCTTCACTTCCCCTTTCTTCTCCCCGCGCATCATCATGTAACACCAATGTGCTCTACTGTGTAGTATAGCACAGCTATGTAGGGCTCGTTCTTATTAACGCTGTACTTTGAGGTTTGTTTGATTTTGCTGTGTGTGCATATGTGACCGCGTGTGTGTGTGAGTCGGCATCGGGTCTCCGTGGTCCCCGGAGGCCGCAGAGCAGCGCATTTCATCATCCTCCCCCAGACTCGGAACGAGAAAGCCCAAAGTCCCCTCCTCTTCTTTTGCTTCTTCAGCGATTCAGCAAACACTGAGTGTTTCCCTCCTTTTGTTCTTTCACTTTCAGGTGTATGCTAATGAGAAAAGTCTAAATAAAAACACTGAAGCTTTCTTTGGATTTACCGTACACTTTAAACACTAAGCTCCTGACTGCAGTCCTCTGAAAATAATCTTGCGGGTTTGCCGATGTTGTCTTTTACGTGACAATTCTGCAGAATCATGTCAAAAATGTCCAATGCCTTCGTTTATCGTCCGCGGCATCTTTGGCAGCACTTCTCGCAGCTGGCAGCGGTTCCACGGCATCTTCTTCGGCAGCTATCCGCTCGATGTTCTGAAACGGAGTGATGGGGGGGTTCGTGGCATACAAGCGGCTGTCTACAGGAATTCATTTACCAATTGGGGCCGCACGGCCGCAACCCACTCCAGGTCATGAGATTCAGGGAGTTCCGAAGTGTAATAAAGTATTAATGATCTGGGTTGAGCGGTTAACTTTGTGTCACGCAGGTCAGAGGAGACTGAAACTCGGTGCATCTCTACCTGCGTGCATCCCTCTCCTGGCTTTGGGATTCCGGACGTGTGATGTCAGTATTAGTTCACACTGACGGCGGGAGAAAGTCATAATCGCGTATTCCACTTAGAATTAACATAATCTCATTTGTCTGTGAATCCAGTGACAGATTTGCAATTCACTTGTCAACGGATGTGTGTGCTCGTTGTTCAGATTCTGAGCAGAATGCTGGCACATTACATGTGACAGCATTGTCGCTGGTATAATCACGGTCCCTAAAAGGGGCCAATTATCCCAGATTACAAATCCTATCAGGAGAGCAGACTCGACATCGCAGTGAAACAACCAAACCCGCTGCACTCCAGCTGAACTCAGATTTATACCATCTGGCTGCTCTCGGATCTACAGAATTCAAATGAATTCTCTCTCTCAGACCATTTCATGTTGGATCTGTGATCTGATTGAATGCACTTTGATCAACGTCCCGGGAGAGCAAAGGGATTTTTCAAGCCATACAGTGAACTCCAGATGATGCCAACGCCGATTTCTTTGCTGCTGCGAAACGCATGGTTTTGCTTTGCGTGTTGCAGGAAAAAAAAAGAGCTTCTTATTTGACTGCAAAGAAGAACCTTTTAAATGTTGTATACTGACAACACAACAGTTTAAACCTCCACTATTACCAGCATGTTATGCAAACACACACTGCCTCTAACAAAGGAGGAGGAGCGGGTTTCACAGTACCGTATGATGATGACAATGTATAGGGTGGGGAACCACAAGGGGGACAAAGTGTCTCACCCCCCCCCCCCCACCCCCCCCACAAAGGTGGGAAGGGTGAGCCCCCTCTCATGTTTCAACTCACCTCCCTTCTGCCTCAAGGTAAACTCCGCTGAAAAAACTTCTTGCTCCACATAAATTTGTCACACAGTCGGTGTAAAGTACGACTCCCAACCGTGGAACACAGGCTTCGCCCATTGCAGCAGAGGCGCGCGCTCAGTGGCGGCTCTTTGTTTACTTTTGGAAATTTGAGCCAGGTAATGTGGTGACGTAGCTCTACCGAGTGCCTTCATTGCCCTCCCCCCCCCCTCCTTATTTAGAAGTGATTTTAGTTCACAACGTATGACATAAATAACGTAAAAACGTCAACTGAGGCTGCAACAATTTCCATGTGGTTCTCTATGTGGTTCTCTATGGTCGCACCGGTGAAAGGTGGAAGTGATGCAATGATTCTATGCACCTGTGACCCCCCCCCTCCTCCTCTCTCTCACAGACACAGACACACACACACACACACACACACACACCACCCTGGTCGTCGGCTGCTGAGGAGTAGGACGCGTCCGGGTGGAGCAGCATCGTGGCGTGTGAGCGCGAGGGGCGGACTGTGGAAGAACGTGCGCGGGCGGCGGACTACCTCATGCGGACACCGTAGACACGCGCAGCGGCGGTCGGGGGGGGCAGACCGGCAGGAGCGAGCGGGAGGACCGAACGAGAGGACCGAGCGGGAGGACGGGGAGCGGGACCCATGGAGGACTCGGAGCCCGCGGAGGACGGCTTGCTCGCGGGCTTGCGGTGGAACCGCAGCGCACGGGACCAGGCTCAGCTGAAGCACAAGATCCGGGACCTCCCGGGGCTGCTGAAGCACGGGCTGCACCTGCGGAAGAAGAGCGTGAGTGTTCCGGACCGATACACATTAACGTCACCTTTTCAACCGTGACACCCCCCCCCCCCCCGAACCCCCCCAAGACGCCGCTGTGTGCCGCGAGCCCGTTTCGTAACCCCGTCACGACTCAGGTCACGAGCATTACTGTCGCAGAGGCTGTGTGTGTGCGTGCGTGCGTGCGTGCGTGCGAGCGAGCGCGTGGGTGCGTGTGCGCGCTACATCGAAAATAACTAGATTTGCTGTTACACCTTCACACTCAGGTCGCCAAGGCAACACCACCTGCACAGCGCATTCGCCACACGCGCTCTTTTATCTGATGTTTTATTTCAATTGGTCCCCATTTTGCTGGTAATTCACGTGTAGAAACAGTGAAAACGCAACTAGGAAAATCTCAAGGTGATGCCTACCTTCGGGTGTCCGTTTTTTTCAACCCACCATCCAGAACTTGTGTTTTTTTCTCAATACGAATTCATATAAAGGAGGAATGCCGGAAATCCTCACATGCCTCAAATGTTTTGTTACGTATTCATGTAACAACTAATTAGTTATACAAATTGTTTCAGCTCTACCAGTTAATAAAGCTAACCTTCCTGTCCAAATGGGGGGATTTGTAGAACTATCAACAACAAAAAAATCCATCTCAAGGGCCCTTTGGTTGTGTTAGTGATCATTGGTCTGGTAAGCAGTAAGTGTGAGTGCGACTCACACGTGTTCCCTGATGTGGAACGAACACTCGTGACAAGCCAAACATCCACCTGCAGTGTCAGCGCTGCTCGTCTTCATCATCACCGGTGGCAGCCGGGAGAAGATGTGTCCCTGACGGCCTCTGTGGGAGTCAGGGACAAAGTGCCGACACTTCCAATCCCACTCGGGCAAAACGTGCTAAATTTATGCCACATTTGTGATGAAAAGACACTTTGGGAGGTGAACTCGAGCAGTTTATGTTGTGTAGCAATTTTTTATTCTAAGCGGTGCTTAAAGGACTCACATTTTACCTGTCTGATAGATGCTATTAACAAATTAATCACAGGTAATCCTATAATAAACTGCAGAACAGAATATGCAGATATGAAAGTCTAAATGAGATCAGACTAAAACCATAACAGATTACTTCATTATTGACTATTAAAAGTACGTCAAAAACACCAATCACGTAAGGAACTGGCTCCCTCTTAAAATAACAAGTAGAGAATACAGAGTTGAACAAATGTTACTGTGCATGTGCACGTGTGGATGAGTGTGATGAGGCGTAGGGAGGTGGTGTAAAGGTATGGCTGTTCTGTGCACACTGCTTCTCTCCAGACACTAGCAGCTGGCTACGCTTCACCGCGCACGCTCGATTTTATATGCATGTACCCTCCAAAAGGATGTGAGAGAGGAACTGTCATGGACGGTTCGCCTGCACACATTTGACCTTTTCTGCATGCATAATATTGGGCTTTTTTGGAGGCGGGGAGGGAATATTTGGGGTGAAAAAGCATGTGACATAAGCAAGTTTTTCGCATTACCTCACGTTCGCCGACAGCTTCTGAAGCGGATTGAGTTGCACAGGGACATCGACCTGCAGCAGCCTCACCTTCTCTGTTGTGACTTGCTCTGGCAATCAGCCCTTCGTTGGCCGCGATTGAGAAACGAAGGAAATCACTTTTCGACTCTCAGTTACACGTTCCAGGATGCTCTGCAGGGAAAGCACCCACGTGGAAGATCACACCAGGGAGATGTTGGCCAGTTTTCTTTCCTCGGCCTCACCGCCGACACATTTGACAAAAGCCAAAGTCACTTAAGAGAGACGGATGCTGATCTGGAACCCAGAGTCGGCCTTTTGAAACCGGTTTTACTGGACACTGTTAGTTCTTCTACACCATGAAATAAGAAAAACCAGTGTGGGACGTGAGACTGAACATATAGATACATATAACGTTGCCAAACAGAGAAAAATAGCCAAACACGAAGGCATTCTCCAGCATGACGCCGTGTGTGGGTTTGTTGGGCAGCAGTTGCTGGTTCAATGTGTCTGCATTTTGAAATGCGAGCGAAGAAATGACTCATAAACAATTGGAATTACGCAACGGCACATTTTTTTTCACAAGCACCCGAATCCTTGTGCCTCCTCGATGGAATCATGCCATTTTGTTTGAGTGGTTTTTGGTTTTCAAGGCGGCCCACACAGTGGAAATTCTACCGCTGCCTCCAGATTATATCAGATTCTTCATTTTTTTTAATGACATTTTACAACACACTTTACAGTTCGTTGCTCAAAACATACAATTTGGGGCGTCTGATGTGATTGTTACAGTTATAATGTAAGCTTGAAGACTTCATGGACACTTGGATGATCGTTGGTGGGGTTCCTCTGAGGATTATCTCCTTTTTCGCGTTATGCAGTCAGCAAAACAGTGGCTTGTGATGTATTTTTTAGGTCTCCGAGCAATATTTCACATCCATAACTGCATTATCCATTGAAGTGAGGGGTAGAGAGAGATGTTCAAACCTTGTTTAAACAACACTCCAACTCACACACATTGAACCTGAATGTGACTGAAAGGATCAGCATCGAGAGACGTACGCTCATACTACTTCAACAGGCTGCATGATAACGCAACTGAGTTTACGTAGAATTAGTACGTAGATGGTACATGAAAACATGTTAGGGATCCGAAATCATTAAAGTATCTAATAACGGTCCCAATATTCATTTTCTAACAAGCAAATGGTGAAACAACACGATACACTCCTGAAAGGAGTCTGTTAACACCGAGTACACAAATCACTGACGTGTTGAGAAGGCAAAGGTCGTGCGCGCCGGCAGGTGGGTTAGTTAACACCTTTAATGTGTGTGTGAGCGCGTGTGTGTTTGTCTACTTGTGTGTGCGTCCATTCAGCTGCTTTGATGTCTCCATTTTGATTTCCTTGTATGACGAATCTGTCGAGGAGTCGACAGGAGCTTAGTGTGAGTTAATGTGTGTGTGTGTGTGTGTGTGAGAGAAACCGTGCTTCAGCTCTTCACTGCTCAGCAATCTAATCTGAGCGTAATCCATTTCTTGCAGATAATGACCTCTCTCTCTCTCTCTCTCTCTCTCTCTCTCTCGGCACACTTTAAAGTCACCACACAGAGAAGCCTGTCAGCATGCTTTCTCTCTCTCTCTCTTTATCGCTCTCATTCCTCCTCATTCACCTCCTCTTCCCTTCAGCCGCTCTCTCCCGGCCTCCGGTGTACTGACAGCAGCAGTAGACCCGGTGATGGAGGAGCGCTGAGACAAAGAGCAGCGACGTGGCCGGAAAGACACGTCTTTCGTCGCGGGGCGCAGTGTGAACGAGGCTCCTCCGGAGGTGCTGTGTGTGTCTCCACGCCTGTTTGCGAGGAGAGACGATGGAGAGAGCTGTGTTCAGCAGACCGGGAGGCAGACAGAGAGAGAGAGAGAGAGAGATGGAGGGATAAGATAGGGCGACCAAGACAAAAGGGGGAAAGAAGGAGAGGGAGACAGAGAGATAGCGAGAGTCAGAAACAATCTATTTAGTCTGCGCGTCTCGGCTGGCTGGTGTGCTCTACTTAACCTCCAGTCCAAACACTGCCGTCACACACACACACACACACACACACACACACACACACACACACATGCACACACACACAGACCAAAAAGAGCTTTCATCTTCACTGATATCTCGGGGGCCGTCCACCCGGAGCTGCTGCTTTTTAACAGCCAAAAAACTCCGCTCTTTTGAAAATGTTTTCCAGCGTGGATTAATCTGCAACCCCAGCTGTGCGTTTTATTGCAAATGGGAAGAAAATGTGTTTTTGCACTCTCTGTCACCCCGAGCTCTTTCTGTGATCTCCCGCTTTAAATAATAAGATTTGCGCTGCAACCGATGATGACTTTCTAGAGACGTGCCTAGTCGAACATTACTCTTTCTGACTTAGCGCATAATGCTTCAGGTATCGGATACCATTATTTGTAGGAATGACCTAATGTAAGGTTTATCTAAAGACATATGCAGAAAAAATAATTCACAATATAGATATAATATATATATAGTTACCTAAGAGCCACAGTTCTCATGCTAAGCTGCTTCAGCGTTACATATTTGATGCACACGTATGTTGCGGGCCGGGGGGTTTGCTGCTGTGCATTCCTGCACACTGATACAGTCACTCGCCGCTGATGATGATGATGTTCGTGTGCCTGCGCGTATCCTCGCTTGCGTCTGCGTTTGTGACATCCCAGGCGCTCTGATGAGGATCACACACACACACACACACACACACACACGGCTCTGCATACCCTCTAATCATCTCGTTCAATTAATCGCAACTCCAAAGACGCGCGTTCCTCTCGCTCTCTGTCTTTGTCTCGCTCGCTCTTCCTCTTCGGCGCGATTACAGTGAAAAGGGTTTCACTGCCTCGTTGCCTACCCGCGCTCATATCCCCTGTCACAAATTCATAGGCCGTTGTGATTTGTTCATCGTCCCTCCCCTCTTTCTCCTCTTGCGCATTGACTTATTCATATTTCCTCATCTACATCTGTCTCCCTTGGATGCCGAGGTGCTCTTCATTTTTTGTTTCATCATTCGATCTCTATCTCGCGGTTCGTCTTTGGCTTGGATTCCCGCGAGGGTTCACCGACTGGGCTCGCGCACCTGTTGCACTCTTCTTGCATGAGGCTCTCGCTGGTAGAAGTTGAATACCTCTGCATTGCAAGAGGGACAGACATTGCTTGCATTCAAGCTGTTAAAAGGGTTTCCTCTAGCTTTGGTGGAGGTTTTGGCAGAGTTTTCCTTGTATTACATGAATTACGTCATAGATTTCGGTCCCCGTCATTGTGTAGTGAGTGTGGTCGTGTTGCCTCTCACACCCGACTGCATCACAGCTCACTTTAAATGAAGGAGAGGGCTCAAAATGGCTTAATGTAGCCCACACAAGTCAGTTAAAGATGCCGATTGGTGAGATGTACAAAATATTTGCACTGTATTGTTAACGTGAATAAGTATTACCTTTGCTTTGTTGTCTTAATGAAGATTATTCTGTATTTTGCTGCCTTTGTTCAAAGTTTCAAGGTCTGCTTTCCAAGGTACTTTTCAAAAGCACCTTTTTACAGATTTGAAATATGTCCCGGTTGGAAAAAAAAGAAACGGTTTTAAAAAATCACACATTTTGCGGCGGCCGAATTTCCATGGATCTGCCTGCGTTTCGGGGTGCTGCCGGCGTGCACAATGGCTCACTGTTACGCTGGCAGTGCTCATTGGGCCACTTGAACAGAGACACCATTAATCAGCACCTGTGTCTTTTCTACTGCCGACGAGAGGGAGAATGTCTCCTGGGAAGAAGGAGAGCAGTCGGCTCGCCAGCCACTGATCCTTTAGGTGTGTCGGGTGTGAAGGTGGTGAATATTCATGCCGCAGTCATTCTCTGCTTTTTTTCTTTTTGTTGATTCACTTTACATTCAATTGGGAATTGTTGTGTTTGACTTGAAAGAGTCTTTGTCCGTTGATCGGTGTCATAAAACCTATTCAACCATCCAGTGGATCGGTGTTGTAAAACAATAAAACAAGGAGGGAAAATATTTTTTGGAGACTGTAGATTTCCTTGCATGGCTAACGGCTTTTTAGAAAGATTTAAAGGACTGTAGTTAAATGTTTAAAAAAAAGTATCTTACATTGGTGCAGATGCTTTCAGCTGGTACAACATTAGTATGATGCTGGAATGTGTGATTCAGCACTAAACATTCTGTCAGTTGCATAAAAGATGTTAATAATTTACATCCATTTTGTGGTTGGGTTGAACAATTTTTGAGTCGAGTTTGTCGCCAAGAATTATGATCTCGTGAATCATTTGGAGCAATCTTTTATATCATCGGAAGACAAGCTAAGACAAAGCGTCAGTAAACCGCATCACACTCACTGTGACGCTGCGGTGAAATAAAAAACAGACGTGTGCAAGGAGGGCTGCTTCCGATGTCATCAAACGATCAACTTTCATCTGTTTTCCGAGAATGAGTGTGGCGCCGCATCCAGCCCCTCTGGCACCGTAATAATCCCAAAAGATTATGAGTGTATTTCCTGGCGGGGGAAGCAGAGGTGTGGTGACGACACCCAGGTGAAAGATCTACGTATTACGCTGACTGTTGTATTGAGACACTTAAACTGACAACTCTACCGGTGTGAGGAATTGAATAAATGAATGTTGACTTTTTAAGTGGTAATCTTTAGAATTAACCATGAAAGGCCGGGTTCTTTAAGGTTTGGCAAAGTCTCGTGCAGTATGAACATTTGAACAATGGTTGCTGTTGAGCAGAACCTGACTGATGGTGAAACTGGTCCTTCGCATCTCAGAGTCTTGTTTGTTCAGTGTATTTACTGTGTGTGTCATTGTGTGTTGCCGCTGACAGCTTGTGTGTATTGCGTTTCAACAGCAATCACCTGACACTATCCCGGGACCGAGCAGCGGCCCTCCAGTAAACAAGGTACGGAAACACACACACACACACACAAGTGATGTCATCTTTTCAGCCAGTGTGTGTGTGTTTGTTTAGCCCCAATATAGGTGACATCAGCGGCGATATTATCGTGGGTTTTTCATAAGCTAGTTTCCCCTACTGCACACACGCTGTAGGGAGAGTCTTAATTAGACATGCATCACCATAATGCGGTTTAGCAAATATCTGGTGCCTCAACTTTGACAAGGCCTCAGGGTGCCAATGTCTTGCTGCGGCATATTTCTCTTTAAACACGGAAAACAGCTTGAGAAGTGTGAAGCGGGTAAAACACCTGAGCACGTTTTGTCCGGCGCGTTTGCACGGAAGAAGCAATTTATGAATTCAAATCACATTTTCTGTCATTATCATTCGTGCAAATGTTGGTCTGCATGCTGTGTAGCGAGATAAGACCCCTGAGTTTGCTCCCAAAAGGCTGTTTAAACTTTTGTTCATAATTGCCAACGCAGCCTGCACAGCAAAAATGCTTGCAAGAAAAATAAATGCGCGCACACGATGCAGATTTTGTACGAGACTTATACGCTTGACCTCTGCGTGTAACACAATACAATGCAATAATTTGAAGGGTAATTTCTGCTTTAATTATGGACATGGCAGCTTCACATTTAACTACGATCACAATCAGGTTCTCAGTCCCGTCGGCATACATGTACCTGGGAACATTCATCACTTGTCTTGTTAAACAAGCGTCAATGGCGGGATTCTCGCAGGGAGTGTGGACACGGGCCGTGTTTCAATCCTCAGGGGGAAAGAGACGGAGTCGCCCTTGCGAGCTCGTCAATGACAGCACGCAAGCGCTCTGCGCTCTCACGCGTTCTAAATAATGTTGGTTTACAATTGTTGTCATTTTACTCGGGTGTGTTTACTCGTAGTGCTCAGATTTTGATTCAAATGCTTCTCTGTGTGTGTCAGTCGTGTTCCCAGAGTTTTCCGTGTGCCGGTCGCGCTGTGAGGAACGCCTTCCTCTCTCACGGGCCGTACCCGGCTAAGGGACAAGATACACCTGGCCAGAATCATACGGTACGCTGGTCTCTGTGTTTGTGTGTCAGAAATGAATCGATGTATCTGGCTAAGCATGTGCACTGCCCCCCCCCCCCCTCCTCCCTCCGTGCCGATTGACCGGTCCAGTAGTTTCATGCAATAGGCCGAAGCACCATGGTGCTCCAGGAGGTACCTGCCCTCTTACGCAATATCTACTGTGCATACAATGAATATCTGGACACAAAATATAAATATATAGTCTTAACAGTCATCGCATGTACGGCCACACAAACATACACACCCACGCACAGGCACAAGGAGTTTATCCGGTCGGATTCAATGTACTCAGAGGAAAAGGCTTAGAGAGGACTAATGAATAATCAATGGGTATTGATCAAATAAAAAAAGACCCGCTTTGTGCTGAGGAGGAAGAGTGTGTGCGTATGTTTACCGTAACACTGTGTTAGTTTGCTGGAAATGTGAGTGTGTGTGTGTGTTCTAACAGGCGCAGCTACGTGGGCGTGGAGCTGGTGCAGTGGCTGTGTGAGCAGTGTGTGTATGTGCGCTGCCGGACCACCGGTGTGCGCGTCTGGCAGGTGCTGCTGGAGCTGGGAGTCCTGCTGTCGGGTAAAAACACGACCCCAAATAAAAACACACACACACATTCACGAACACACTAACATGACTGGAGGTTGTTCTTCGGAGTGCATCGTCCCCTTCCTTTGACCTCGGCCTCAATTTCTTTAAATGTATCCGAGAGCCCCAACACTAAGTTAACAGCCAGTATAGACGCACTAAATGATGATGAACTGAATCTACTATCTCTACATGGCTGAGTGTGCTATGGGTGACACGTCGTAAAAACATTAACAAATATATAAACATTATGACTCACTCGCCATGTTTCACGTATTGATTATGATGGCTGAGCAGAAAAGCATAGATGTCACTGTAACGACCTCTTTATAAACAGTGTACGGTCATTACACTCGTCTTCTGTGTGTCTTCTTTCTCCAGTGGACCAGCGGGTGATGTTTTCAGATTCCAACTCTTACTACCAGTTCAGCTTTGAGGAGTGTGACTCCGCCTCCTGTGACTTTCGCTCCAATGAGGGGGAGTGGCCGGAGGCGGTTAGGCTCCTCCTTCAACTCGCCCCGTACATCCAGTTCCGCTCTGGGGGCGGGGCCAACAGCCCGTAAGTGTCCAATAAATTCAGATTGTGATGGCCGTCAAGGTTGAATAAACACTTACACTGTTAAACACTGATTTCCTGTTGTAAAATGTGTTGCGCAGCAGTTTAATTTTTAAAATAGAGCACAACACCTCATCCTGAGGTTGTTAACAATGTTAAAAAAGCACCCAAATACAAGCGTTCTTACTAATATAAGAATTATATATTAAATATAATAAATATTTATAGAACCAAAATGCATAATAAATGTATTGTTTGTATCATTTTGTTTTAATAAAGAGAACAACAGCACCGTTGACAACAACCCCCTGTGGAATGAAAGCACAGCCTGTTTGGAACATATTGAATATTCAATAACAGTTTGATTAGTTGTTTGAATTTTAAATAAGTAGTGACAGGATGAACATACGGATGGACATTATTAACAATATTCATATTTTGTAAAGACAAGTTGATGGTTTTTACTCCTCACTGGGTCCCTGTCATAAGAGCCAGCATGTTAAACTGTTACAGAACAGAGCTCAGTCGAGGGTGAACGTGACAAACTTAATAATAATAATATCTGGATGATCTCCATTGACCTGAAGTTAAAGCTAGTTGCTCGTATAAAATACCCGAGCAGCTAATGGGAACAGCGTTCCCATTTCGATATTTGATTGAGGTCATTTGTCTGTCTGATGTTTTAACGTGACAAATGACAGGGTGTTGTGCAACGTAATATACGCTCCCACATGCACACTATTTCCAAAAATCATCCCCAATTCCCAGCTTTTAATATCTATTCCGTCTTTTAAATCCGGAATCTAATGCACAAATGCACACACACACACAGACGCACGCACACGTAGACGCACACATTCAGCATGCAGAGTGGTGTGAGCCTTGGTTTCCTGTGTGTGGGATTCCAGCTGAGGCTGCCACTGAACTCAATCCGTCACTCAGAGAGAGAGAGAGAGAGAGAGAGAGAGAGAGAAAGGGAGAGGGAGACGGGCAACAGAAAATATAGCCCACATATGGAGATTACGGGAACAAGAACACACGTCAACTGTGTCAACTTGAGAAAGTGTATTTGCAGACACCAGGGAGAGAGCACGACAGCGAGGAGAATTGAATGTCATGCTTAATAATGTGAATCTGCTGTAACCTTCTGTACGCACCTCAATGTTACTTTCTATGGAGTGGAAGCCAGGATAGTCCACCCGAGAGGTTCCACAGCGTGCTCAGGATTGGGGGGAAGAGGTGGTTGTTCTTTGCCTCATATTAGCACGTCAAACATTTGGTAGGTTTTTCGTCCAACGGAGACTAAGGGATTACGGGAAAAGAAAAGGTGCAGTTCTATTTCTGAAGATGAGACACAGAAAATGTCTCACTATCATCATCCATCACTTCGACCACGCGTCTCTCTGAAGCCCCGCCCCTTCACGATGCATTGGTTGATTAAATGATCCATTAGTTAAGAGCTAATAAAATGCAGTATTTAAAATAAAAACCCAGCAGTGTGCACAGTCAAATGTTTGTTTAACCACATACATTTTTAGTGCATTTAGAAATACCTGATATATGGTGTGTGTTCGTATCGGCGCTCTTCTTATCGTTATTAGCTTGCATGTTGGGTTGTTAACCATTTTCTTATTTTGGAAGGGGGCTGATGAATTATGTCTCTCTGTCTCTCGCTGTAGTTTAATCTAATGAGGCAAGCTATAAATTGATACCGAGGACTTGATAGGGCGACATCGCTGACTGGCCTCCCGCCGGTGATTTCTACTTTAGTGAACAAAAACAGCAACACACTGCTAATTAAATGGCTTATCTCGTCTGCATCATGTGTAGAAGTTGTTTCAGTGCGAGTGCCGTTATTCACTTAGTGTCAACACCGCCGGCGTGTCTCAACGGACTGCTGTGTCTGAGGGATGGGATTTGGTACCAGTAGGCGCAACGTGGTCATTAAAGTTGATTAGTTTATTGTTCAGGGTTCAGCGTTCTCATGGTTTTCTGAATCTTAAAAGTTAACTGAGACTTGAGACAGTATCATATATAATTATACAAATACAAAAGAGTCTCTCTCTCCCTCTCTCCCCCCGTCTCCATCTGAAAGCAATTCTGTTTCAATTTACTGAGCTTTATTGGCAAGTGAGTGTCTCATTCTTTCTGTTCCTGTGTGCCTCGCATTACAGTAAGGGCAAAACATGCATATATAGTGCTTTTTAGAAGTGCTGTATAAGGAAAGGGCATTAAAGTTTAACTATGAAAAGATGTCCAGCACACTGCCCATGCAGCAAAAATCTCCACATTTTTTAACTTTGAAGTGAGTGTAGTTTGTCACAGCGAGAATTGGTCACTATTCAGCACTTTAAACTCTCAACGCACTGATTTAAACACATAATGCAATTTAATACAATTCCTCTGTAGCACTTATTAGCCAAATTACTTACGGCTAAATATTAATCCTTTCTACCATCTTATGCAATAAACATACAATACAATAACATCTTTGACTAAAGTGTCAGCTTCGCAAATGCCAATTTTCTGGCAGCACTACTGCTTAATATTTGATCCACAGATCTTTTTACTTTATCTCCACATTAATGACGCACCGCTGCATAAAATAAACGGTACATTGACAGTAGTAGGCGGTGTTGTTAAACAGCATCTAGATTGCAAGTTGTCCTGCATTGGAAACACGGCGTTCTCTGATAACGTCGAGTGGGAAGTGCGGCACACAATACGACAACCGCAGCTTGGAAGGACACAACAACACACCTGCTCGCTTTGCATGTTGTCCTGGTTCGACAAAGGGGGAGGGAGGGTGTGGAGGGGAGTGGGGGGTAGAATGCTGATGAACATCTGGGGCTGAAGAGGAGAGCAGCCAACCAGTCACTGGTTGTGAAGGAGCTTCCATCCTCCTTCTCACGTGTGCATTTGCCTTTTGTAGGCGCACACTAATTCTCTTTCAATACTGTTCTGCACTGCCTGATGAGTGGTGACACACCTCCCGCTGGGCCCGTCCTCCAGCCCTGATGTATTCAGGCTCATGGTGAGTCACCAAATTGCCAAACAAACGGCGGCCAGAGAAACCCTAATGACCCTGATGAGAATAACTGTAGCATGATGAGAAGACACTTTGTTCATCTCACAATCCGCTAATGGACAAAACAAAAAAAAGATACAAATGCTCAGCTTTGAACCGTAGACGACTTGATCATTTGCCCTTTGTGAGATGTTTGAGCATCAGCGTGGAGCCGTTTTCATTAGAAAAGAAAGCAGCAAACCGCGTCTATTGCTACTCTGAAAATGTGGTATTTCCACACTGGGTTAAGGCAGCTGTTGGTCCGCCGCTCTCTGTCCGTGTCAGAGCCGATAGCGGAAGTGTCAGGCTTCGGGCTACGTCTTATCGCCATCTCCCGCGCTTCTGCATCTATCATTACCTTATCAGATCACATGCGCACGGACACGCACTCGCACACACACTCGCACACAGTCCGATATTCTTCATCTTCTTTCCTCCACACTTATCACGAGTGCCAATAGGATCTGTTGATACAATCCAAATTGTATGCAAATTGATGTAGTCGAATGTGTGTGTGTGTGTGTGTGTATTTGCATGACTGAGAAACAGTGGGCGTATATCCTGTGAAGGTGAGGCAGTGTGCGGGAGACCGATCCAAACATGCTTTTGTAAGAGAACACATTAGGTGAAGGGCCCTCGGGTGCAGTCTGCCGCTGTGGAAGACAAACTCTAGAACCTCGGATTATTGCTGTGGGAATAACGCAGAGTTTACCCCAAAACAACCCCCTGTTTATATGACGCACACAAACACGCGCACACACAAACACAAACAAATGAAGTCATACTCAAATTGCATTCACGGATAAAAATACTGTCTACATACATGCTGCATTGACGGGCAGACACACGAAGAGACACACTCACGCGCAGCCTGCGTAACATCAATAGGAGGGTGTGTCTGGCAGCTTTTTTTAAATGAAAGCACATGAAAGAGAGTTGGGGGTTGCAGAGAAAGAAGCGCCGTACAAAGACATGCGCGCAGTGAAGAGTCAGAAAGACGGGGAGTATAAAACACCACTCTGCAGCACAGAATCATGTTCACACAGAAGATACTCACCTGCCTCATCTTCATACCTCCGCTGTTAATAGCTAGCCGATGATGTTGCATCGCATTAAAGATGCTTAGTACAACATTGTACAACAATACACCAACATATATCTACTTCTTTTTCAATTCATTCTGCAATCAGAGTTACTACTGGTTTAGTCTCTGAGAAACCAGTAAGCAACCACCAGAAACCCTCAAGACAATTGGTGGAAATAGAAAAGTTGCTTCTATTAATTCAAGTCAATTTGACTTTAGATCTGTTTGTAGGCTGCAGTTCCGTTTTAGGGTACCAGGGGGCAGCGGAGAGAGGCCCAAAGCCCAGCAGCAAATGTATTTCTTGAGAGAGTCTTTGATCAGAATAATGCACATGTCAGTAAAGCTGTGTGTGTCTGTGCGTGTGTCTGTGTGTGTGTCCATCCAAGGTCAGAGGAGGACTCCGAAGGCAACCGGGACATCTGCAGTGAGATGCTGCAGATGAAAGCTCTTGAGAGGCTCACTTCTACGGTCCGTGTGTCAACGTATCATATTGCTGCTTCATTGACCATGTATAGATGTTTACATTCATCCCGTCAACTGACGCCTTCTCTCTCCGCCAACAGGTACAAAATGAGTTGGCGGCTGCTCTTGCCCGAAAGACTCGCAAAGCTTGTAAGTATACGTTTAAGCTGAGTTGCGTGTGCGTGCTTTCAGGCGAAAGCGTTGCCGGTGACACAGAGTGACAGCACAATGACATAAGTGAGTTGACTCTGCTGGTGGTCGGTTGCAGTGTCAGAGCAGGACTCTGAGTCGACGGACACGAGCCAACAGGAGCCTCAGACACCCAGCGAGGAGAGCAGCCCGGTAATACACACACACACACACACACACACATGCATGGAAACACACTATAATAAATATCGTCTTCACAAAGCCTACAAGCCTGATCCTTCACTTTCAGTCCGATCCCGGTTTCCTGAGTAATCTGGACAGTGCGTAATCTTCTTAAAGTAGAACTACAATAGCCTAAGTAAAGCCAATCCAATTTAGGACAGATATCTCCGGAGGTATTAAATAAAGCTCATAGTTGGGCACAATATCAGTGCAGATAGTCATTTGGGGAATCGTTAAAGGGATAGTTTGGCTCTTTTTGAGGTGGGGTTGTTTGAGTTACTTAAACATAGGCAGTTAATTGCTATTTCCTTTTGAATGGTGGCTTTGGCGAGAACATTAATGAACACAACGGCTTCAGTTCTTTATCAGCAACGGCCGTCTCGTATTATGACCATAGCAACCATTTAAAGTGGTTTTACTTGTTTTAGGCGGTGGCCTTTCTTTGAGGCTGCTGCGATACGTTATTCTTCTGTTCTCCGTCGGCAGCTGAACATTATTGTGCTCATGTGCGCTAACTCCTTCCCACCTTCTCCAAGCTAAAGGCGCGCCGGCCGTCATCTATAATGCACCGGTACTGGATAAGTTCCACCTACACATGGAGTAGAGCGGGTGCGCCGGGAACCCCGTGTCAAAGTGTCCCTGAGCAAGACACTCGACCCCTAACTGCTCCCCGGGGGCTTTACGGCAGCACACTGCTCCGGGTTAAATGCAGACAACAATTTCCTGTATGTGTAAAAAAAAAAATGGATTCTTCTTCTACAAACTGTCTCTTCACAATAGAGAGTTTTGGACGACCTTTCCTTGTGTGCGGCGCGAACAAAAAAAGGAAAAGAGGCTTTGATAAAGACGGCACAGGAGTTCTGCATAAACATGAACATATATTTCACAGCCACCAAGAGACGTTCGGAGCATCAAGCTGAGAAACGATGCTGGAATACATGCAAAGCCGATGTTGTTCTCAACCCGCACACACATTTTGTCGCGGTGAATGTCATCATTTGGCGGAGCAGCGTGCGGCTCCACAGTTTACCCGCTTGTTGCAGGACTCTGCATTTGGAGGAGATTAATAGTGAATAGTTAATGGTGAAGCCTTTTCATAGCCCACGTAACCAGATTGCTGTAAACAAAGACCTGGATAAGGACCAGACTCCATGTGGCCGACGCATCTCATCCCCAACACGGGTTGGCTCGTTGGAACATCCGTAGTAACGGATCATAATTGTCTTGTTCTGACTACCTCGCTCGCTGGTAAAGGTCACCGGGGGGCAGGTTGTGTGTGGACGCGCGTGGGCCTCCATGAAATGGCTGCGTGCAGAAAATGAGGTCAGAGCAGAGTGCTGAGGACGGCCTGTTTGCTCTCTGGTCCCATCTCTTTACAGCAGAAACCTCCTTTTATCCATCAATAATTCATTCTCTGATCACAGCAGAGAGAAGGAGAACAGGAGAAAGTCTGCTAGATAATTAAATATACAGTAATACTTTATAGTGCAACCGAAGAGTGATTTTCTCCTATCAAATTAGTGTTAAACGATTATAAGCCTGAAGTGTTGCAACTGTATTATTTTAGGACAGAAGAAGCATAAATATTCTTTTCTAAATTGAGGTTGATTACATCTTGGTTGCGCTGGGAATAGTCACACCGCTGCTGTGGTTTCCGTGTTCAGCCAAATCTATAATATAATCATTTCGCTGACACAGCTTTAATTTCAAATGAACATTTTCAATGCATTTGCAGCTTATTCAGATGTAGTAGCCGTTGCTTTGTTGCTGTACCTAAACATGACGACAGTGATTATTTCCTTTACATATAAATACATCCAATATCATGTTTTTTTCTTATTTTGGCTGCCGATGTCATAATCGGGTCATACTGTCAGCCGCTCGGGAAGCTGGTTAATATGTTTAACTATTCATGAGCCAAGATCAATGATATCTTCATTCGTTACAGCTATTTTGCTAATTCAGCTGCATTAATACGCAGCCTCAGACGGTCTGGTTCCCTCTATCTCTCTCTCTCTCGATCAGTTGGAACGTATAATTGCAATTCATTTAATTTCGATTGATATTAATACAGGTATTTATATACATTTACATGTAGATTTCCCGTGTTAGAGACAATCTGCTCCAAGAAACACAGACCTGGTATGTGAAGACAGCAGAGGGATTGCTCCAGCAGATATGAACATAAGGCCGTAAGATTGATCCTGCAATGAACCCTTTGAGGGTTTTGTGAAGCACCGCACATCACAGTACTGTTTTGGTTTGGTTTGACATAATGAGAAGGAGGATAATAAACCACACACAGCTACCACTTTAGTTTCAGTTATCCATCAGCCCACTGAAGGGTTTCGCTTTGTCACCAAAGAAACATTAAGGATACAATGGAAGAGAAAGGGAGATAGACGAAGACAGACGCACAATAAAAACACTTAAACAGGTTTATCTTGGAGGGGAAGTTGAACGCAGGTTAACAGGAAGTAGCCAGGAGCAGGGGGCTATGGCTCTGATATAATGTGTGTGTGTGTGTGTGTGCGGGTCTTTCTAGCAGATAAGAGTTTTTCTCGTAACAAAATGCGCGGGAGTATGTTATCATGTTGTGCGTGTGTGTGTGTGTTACCCTCTGTCACAACATGGCAGCGTGGGATAGATGAGCTCACAGGAAGCGTTAACTCTGAGCCAAATGCCCCTCATTCTACCTTCTCCTACTAGCAGCACACACACACACACACACACACACACACACACACACACACACACACACACACACACACACACACACACACATGCTTTCTGTCAAGGACGAAGCCGTTTAAGTTCTGCTCAGATCAGTTCTCCTCCATCTCGTTTGATCAAATCTGTTCTCTTTCATTTCTTTCGCTCTCCTCGTGTCCTCAGGTCTCCGGGTCGGCTGCCGTGTTTCTCGTTTAAGACGCCACTGTTAGATAATCACATTTACACACTTCCCATCTACTTCGGATGGTTAAAACAAGTCCCAACTGTAGAGGGGAGGAGACAGACACCACACACACACACACACACACACACACAGCACACACACACACACACACAGCACACACTCTTCCCTCACAGACAGCACACTCCCGCCCACTTATGCTACTAATCACACACACTCACTCTTTCTCAGCCAGATCCTGTGACTCGCAGCAGTCGGACTGAGACAAAGAGAGAAGTGCAACAGATAAAACTGTAATAGATAAAAGGAAGAAGAGATCAGGAAGAATTAGAGCGAGAGAACAAGACAGGCGCGTTTCCTCTCATTCTCCTCATATAAAGGGGGCGAAGGAGGAACTTGTTGGAAGTTTTTGGATTATGCCCAAACTGCCTTCGGTCTCCGTTGGAAGAAAAACACTGAACTTTCTCCACGTCCACCCCACCAGCCCTCTGTGACCTCGTCTCCACCATGTCTTGGGACTGCGGCTTGAGATATGTCTTCATGCCACCTGTGTTGCAGCTGAGCGGGGTGTCTGCACTGCGTGATGGCGGCGGCGTTGGCGGCGGCGGCGTTGGCGGGGGAGGAACGGGGACCGTGTGCGGCCGCGAGGAGCTGACCGGCCGGCTGGGGCTGGAGGCCGTTCAGCGGCTGGCCAAGGACGGCTGCCGGCTGCTCCAGAACCACAACTACCGGGTGCCTGACAGGACCCAGGCGGTGAGTAGCACGCGCCGTATGCTGTCATTACTGTCGCCACTTTGAAGCACACGCGCACGGGGCCTGAGCTACTCACAGGTTCAGGGTCAGGGGTCGGGTGAGTAAATCTTCATCAGTGCCGTCGCATCAATCTAAAGGACACATACAAACACACACACACACACACAGGTTTACAGCATGTCTGGTTACTTCTGTACATCTTCTGAGTACTTGAGGACATATCAGCTCACCGTCACTCTCACACACGCACAGATATCGTTGCACACGCACACGCAGAGCTTTGCCTTTTGCGTTTCACTGCAGATTAAATAACCACCGGCTCTCTGGCTCGTCTAATGTGGGTGTTAATGATGGCTTAGAGCAATGTGATCTCACAACCTTTTTACAGTCTGTAAAGTACTCTGCGTCTGTCCTCACCTGTGTGTGTGTGTGTTTGTGTGTGTGCGTGCGTGCGTGTGTCATGCACTGCTGCCGCTGCGGCAGGCTGCGTCAGTGGGTGAGTGGGGAATTAGGGAAGCGTTGTACTGTATAATCCCGCTCCACACTGAACCTGAGGGCAGGAAATGAGGCGAACGCAGTCTGATTTCCCCCTGCGTGTCCGTGTGTGCGTGTGCGTGTGCGTGTGTGTGGTTGTGAAATCTACCACATAGAAGAAACATGGCGAGTACCAGCCTCGGGGATTTTCCAGAGTGCACATGATTTCTCTTTCATTGCTTCCTATAAAAAAAGTAGAAAGATTTTATATCTTATAACAGCATTGCTTCTGTTTGAAAATACATTTAAATATTTATAGTGTTGTTAAAGCAGAATTGGGTTCAACTAGACGTCTCTTCAAACACCACATACAAAGCCTTTTAATTTGTAAAGCAATTTGCCCTCTTTAATAATATATGTAGTGTAATTTCAAGGCCAATCGAAATGAAAGGTTTTCTGGATAAGACTTTCCCTTCATAAGACTATTAGTATTATGATATTATGGTTTACTTTGGATCATGATAAATCATAATGACTTGTGGCGGGGATTAGTCCTGATCAGGAAGTTTCCCAATGCAAACATTTTGTGCCAAATTGCAGGACAATGTGAATGAAATGATGCATGACATATTGTAGTTTTTTAGGCGTTCATATATAATTAATCATGCTTTAAATAATTTTACAACAGCTAAATTAACAAGATAAAAAATGTTTGTTGAGCTAAACGTTATCTTTTCTTTTTTTTGAAGACAGATTGGAACTAAATTTTGGGGACAGTGATCATAAATTCATGTTGAGAGGTAAATAGCATAACGGCCGTGTGGTTCAAAGAGCCGTCACTCTGCTGATGCTATGTTAACGTTAGCATCGGAAAGTGTGCCATTTTATTACATAGATGCTTATGTATTTTTCTAATAGAAACAACAGCGCATGCAGAGATCATTGATATGCGCACCTCCGTTTTCACATACTAATTGTCGGAGGTAGGGGAAAGCAAATTAAAGTCATGGTATTGCTAACAATAAAAAGTATTGATTAACATCACCCGGGGGCGGAGTGGTCATGACTGTGATGGCTCTACTGTGCCTCGCCGCTTAACAGTGCTTCGTTCTCCCGATGTCATCTCCTCATCATATGCAACATGTTGTTAACGTTAGGCCGTCCTATCATTTAAAAATCATGTTGCATTAAGCAGCACTTATGTTCCCCGAGGGCGCCAGTGGTCACAGTAAAAGTGTAAAAGGAAATCAATCAAAGGGCTCTCGCAGGCTGATGGGCTCAATAAGAGGCTCTTGTCTGATCCATATTCATTTCTGAAGGGGGGGTGGGGTGGGGGGGGGGCATCGGAATGGCGTTTCTCAGTGATGCAGCACGAATGAAAGAGGACGGGTGATTATCATGACGTAACAAGCTCATGCTCCAGCTCAGGAAGCGAAATGTGGCAAAAACAAGACCAATCAACTACCACCAAGACTAATCTCCTTTTACTAGGTTGTCATGGTGACTTCGTTTTTTCCATCACAGACATGCTCTGACAATCTGGTGAGGGCTGTTTCCATAGTGATGTAACTCCTGTGTCAGTGCGGTGCATCGGGTGCATCTCTGCCTTCTAATCACTTCAGACTCGCATCCGCACTTATTTGATTCAGCCATCGGAGTTTACAAAAGGTCAACCTGCACATGGGATTATGCAAGGTCACAGAATACAGGAAACACACAGACACACACAGACACACACACAGGCAGGCTTGTCTGGTCTCTTGTGTTACTTTCTAATCCTTGTGGAGAGGACTGCTCCTGTGTTTTCCTATCCCTATCAATTATGTTCAGGAATCAGACCCCGAGCTATCATAACACAGATACGGCATGGTCACTGTGAACACACACACACACACACACACACGGGAATACAAAGGGAACAGAGAGTGCTTCCTTTAGGCTTTCCGTTAGGCCCACCTTTCCTCTGTAAAATACGTCATTTTGTGTGTGTGTGTGTGTGTGAAGTTCATGCCCTCTGGTCTCTATTTTCTCTACCCAAATCTCTTAGGCATGAAGTTAGAGACAGAGAGAAAGCGAGAGAGAGAGAGAGCGAGAGAGAGAGAGAGAGAGAGAGAGAGAGAGAGAGAGAGAGACTTGGCTTAAGCATGGTGCGGAGAGAAAACAAAAAAAGGAGACCGTGAGGAGGAAAGGAGGAAAGGAGGAAAGGGTGTTGATGTGGTGGGAGTGCAGATGGAGGAATTGGAAGTAGGTTTGGACCTCCTGAAACTCAAGTGCTCAACGTGCAGCCCGTAGTTTTAGAGCGTCGTCGGCTGCATAGCATAGTACCGGTTTTGCCTTCATGTTAAAGCCTGATGTATTTTGCTCAGACTTAAGAAACTAATGAATCAGTTCTTGACTTTCCAGCTGATGGATCTGGGCCCTTTTGGCTGAAGCCGGTTGGATTCGGACGTCTCCCTCACGCTGCTGTTGCGTTTATCACTTTTGCCAACACTCCTCCGCGTCTCTCGCGTTCTGTCTCGGCTTCTTGCCTTTCATCTCTTTCTTTCTGTTGCATAACTATCCGACACCTCCTCTCCACTGTATCCGAGTGCCTTCTTTGTATATTCTTACTTTTCATGGCTTGCATTCTTTCTCAGGCTAAATTCATGTTGACCCTTGGAGTTGGTGTTTGCACTTGACCACAGATTGTGTGTGTGTGTCTTTGTGGTAATAGGCATACAGTTTGCATAGTGGGAATGTGTTTGTTTCGGTTTATTTCCGGACAGCCTTTGATCACCAGTGTGTGTGTGTGTGTGTGTGTGTGTGTGTGTGTGTGTGTGTGTGCGTGTGTGTGTGTTGCCTTCCTCCGCGTTTTTGGCTGTAAGTTGTTTTTCTTGGCATCTGAGTAAAAAGTTTGAGTATCCAAAAAAATCAACCTCTGCAAGTGTATCAGGAACATCACAACATTTTCTTTGTCTTTTTTTATACCAGTTATGATAAGTTACATAATCTCTTTCTATTTTTCTAACATTTTGCTTTATAAGAAAGGAAAGGTCAGACGATTTACAGATTAGGCTTTCATGTTCATAATTGAAGCCTAGATGAAGCGGTGTAAGAGTACGTCCCCTTTGCACCGCATAGCCCCAAAACTCTTATAATCTTGATATCTTATCTGGCCCAAACTGTATTTAATGGCTTGCAGTGTCAGATCTCTTTACATCCGCTGTCCCTGGGTTATTTATCAGCTGAATGCATCACTGCCTTTTCTAATTCTTGTGAACATTTCATTTCAATCCGTTGGGACCTGCTGGTCTTTATGACACATGACTTTGTAATGCAGGGAAAATCAACATAGATGTTTGTCTTAAGTCAGTGCTAACTGGACAGGAGGAGGGAGACATTCACAATCAAGACATTTTAAAATGGCCGCAATGTACAATTTTAAATAAGCTGCTGTTATCTTACTAAGTGTAAGATGGTCGGGACAAGAGACTGTGCTGCGTTCAACACCTCTAGTTGTCATTTTCTGCTATTGCTCAGCATAGATAGAGGCTCTGCATTATTAGGCGAGTTCTTTTAACCCATAAACCATCTGAAAGCCCAAACAATACATTATTATAACATGGCAATAGGAATTAATAATGTTCTGTGTTGCCGTAGCAGGTGTTACTCATCATTCTCCTTCAGCTTTGAAACACGGACAGCCAACATTACATTACATTACATTACATTAGGAGTCAACATGGAGCCAAAGCCTGACTTCACATACGTAGCCCAAAATCAAGCGCTATGCAACTTGAAAAAAACAAATTCCAAATGAACTCCAATGAAGAAAAACATTTAAATTAAATTGTATGTGAATTAGAATCAAGTTTTTGGAGCAAATGTGACCCACAAATACACACACCTGAGGTAGAGGATTCAGCGACGTCAGTGCATTCAACATCTGTATTATAGCACACACACAATCACTTTGGCAAAATAGTTTTGTCTGACCAAAGTAAGACCTCACCCGCTGTCTCTCAATACCAAACAACTCCTTTTCACGGGACGATCACAGAGATACAGAGCCTACGTGTGTGTGTGTGTGTGTGTGTGTGTGTGTGTGTGCGTGTGTGTCGGCCTGTCTATTGGATCTTTCGTTGCCTGTTACAGATGTGCGTCAGTGACTCCATCTTTTTAACAAGCCGAGGTTGATGCACGACCACAACCTCGGCCCCGTGACGTCCTACGTGATAGTGTGTTTATTAGGACGGGACCCAGTGCGACAGCACAGAAGGAGGAGAGACGCCCGCTTCTTCATCTCTCCCTCCTGCTCCCGTCTTCTGCCTTTCATCTCCGTCTCGCCTCTCCCCCCTTTTCTCTCCTCTCCTCTCCCCCGGCTGTTTTTCCATTGTGCTCTTTGTCCACCCGGAGCTCCGTTCTACTCTCACTGCAGGTTTGTGGCACAGATCGAGTTTTTGTTCATTTTTGGAGCAGGATGTTGTTTTCGAGTGTCGGCCTCCGTTCCTCGATGACTCCGACGTTGCTCACCGTACGATAGCGTTAGTTCTGAGGGCGGGAAATGCAGCAGAGTCTGTGCCTACAAGCCTGGACTGGCGAGTGATTTGATGCGCGCTGCAAGTGTGTGCAAGTTGGAGAAACTTTGTAATATTATGTGAAATGTTTTGGACACAGAAGCCTGTTTTATTCTGTATGTGGCCTTTAAACGTGTCAATGCTCTTTGGGGTACAAAAGGGTTTAGGTTTTTCTATTAGCATGAACACATCTTTGCCATTTCGGACACAGAACATTAACACATATACGCAGAAACCGATGCACATGAATAGGCCTGTGATAGAAGTTCTGGCTAATGTGTCAGTTGCCTCTTTTGACAAAACCTTCGACAGATTTGTCCTTTTTTTCACTCTGTGTGTGTCTCTCTCTGTCTCTCCGTCCCTCAGGAGGCAGTGGGGAGGGTTTGCCTGAAAGAGAGAGGACGGGATGTGTTGGTGTTGCGGAGAGTGACATCATCAGTGACGTCGCCGTCGGACCGGCCCTCACCCACGTCGTCAGGGGGCGGGTCCAGAGAGGAGGATTGCGACAAGAGGTCAGTACCCCCTGCTACACAATAAGAGCTCTCTAAACCAACAGTGGCAACGAAAAACCGCCATCAAGGTACTCTTATGTACTCCCTACTTTGGGATCTCAAGTTGCAGCCACACACTCTTGCGCGTACATACATACGGACCCTGTCGACCCCGTGTGTGGATAGATAATGTATGCTTCAGCTACTGGCACAGAAGAAGAGAATGGCTTTTTTGTTTTCCGCGGGAGGAGAGACAAGCTCCCCCCCCAAATTTGTTTTTGTCCGGGCCAAAATATTGTAGTGGTGGGCGGGGGACGCAAGACCTCAGGCACAATGTAGGGAGTGTCAGTGACAGGCAGGTTAAGGCTGTGTGTGTGTGTGTGTGTGCGTGCATACAGTGCTCAGCATCTGCAGTAGCAATCAGTTCCCTCCACAAGCTGAGGGAGGCTTTCAATCTCCGGAGCTCTTGGCCGACCGCGAGGCGGTTCAGCCCACAGGAGAGCCCCCCTCGCGGGTATGCAAAACTTAGATGAGGGTGGAAGTGTTTCGATATGAGGATGACTGCCGAGCTAGCCACGCTTGCAGAGGCAGAGGAGGACATGCGCGATGAAGACGAGGAGGACGATCGAGAGGATGACGTGGGCAGCAATGAGGATGAAGACCGCGGCAGCTCAGAGATCAGTGCGTTCGATGTTGCCCATTTTCGCTACATCGACGATGACGACGCGGGGGAGCGCGAAGAGGACGAGGGGAGGGAGGGAGGATGGAAGCGGGGAAGTGGTCGTTCTTGGTGCCCTGGTGAGGAAGACTGTTGCAACTCTTCGTCTTACAGGTACGTGGTGGTGTCCGGAACCCCGCTCAAGATCCTGGAGCATCTGCTGAGTGACCTGCGGCTGGACGACCAAAGAGGGGCGCCAGAGTGCCGGGAGAGCGGTGAGTGTGTCCACACGAGCGTGAGCGCACATTGTCGGTCAACACACGGCTAAAAGGGCATCGCTGGGGGCAGCGTGTAAAAAATATAAGCGTGAAAGAACGGCTGGTGGAAAGACAGCCTGTCGCATAAATAAAGGAGCTGCGACGTTTGTTTTGGTTGTTTGTCTAAAAGCACGTTTAAAGCAGAGCAGCTGGCTGCCCGCTCAATTCAAAGGAATTTCATTTCATTTCACGCAACAAGTTCCAACACAGCCGAGCCTCTACTTCTCTCTGTCGCTTTCATTTTCCACACGGCGGGATGAAACCTGGGAGGTATGCACGCTTTGATCGTGCTGCGGGCTTGTTTATGTGTGTATGTGTGTGAGTGTGTGTGCGTGTCAGTCATTGTCTATAAATCTGTAACTATCAGGAAAATCCAAGAGGTTAAATGGTCTAATGAGTTAGTGAAACAGTTCCATTGAGGCACTGTAGGCATCTCTGCTGAAAAGACTTGAACTGTCATATCTGTGTATGTTTTCACAATCGCCCTTAATGCTACCGGGTCCTGCAGCCGTTATCTGGGAACGTCTCGTCATTTCTTTTACAGTGGCGAGTTAGCCGGTAAAAGTAATTATTTTCATCTTGATTCAGTCTAAATGTTTTTTTCAGCGGATCGTTTAGTCCGTCAAATGTAAGGAAGCAGTGAAAAGGTTCACATTGATTTAGTCAAATCCAAATATCCTTTTACCGTCCTGCACGCCTGCGACAGCTTTGTCTCGAGTTGTCTGGGTCCCAACCTGTGTGTTATAAAAACCTGCTCTCACCATTTTAAAACAAGGCGCCTTTATGTATCAAGTCCTCAGCACCACCAGTTTCCAGCAGTTCACAGGGAGCCATCCTACCAGAGGAAGAGAGAGAGAGAGAGAGAGAGACAACTGAGATGTTCTTTGTTGTGGAGAACCGGCTGATATTTATCCAACAAAAAAAAGAAGTCGCACTTGAAAAAACAAAATTCAAAGTAGGCAGAAGCAGGGCTGTAGAACAAGAGCGTATGCGCACGTTTCACGGTTTTTATCTTTGTATCTATCTTTTGGTAAATTTGCCCTGAATAATGTGTGTGTGTGTGTGTGTGTTTGTGTGTGTGTTGGCCCCCCTGGGGTGGTGCTGAGCATCAGTGGGCCGTTTTAGTGGCCTTAACTGTGCAGTCTGTTGAACAGGCTCGCACATGCTTCGACAGAGAGACAGAGCGAGAGAGAGAGAGAGAGAGATTAAACCATCCACTCCTCCCCGTGTACAAATAAAAAACACACACACAAAACAAAAACAGCAGATAACTGCGATTAGTTCAGCACACACACATGTTCCCCCTCTTTCCTTTCCCTCCCACCAGAGATAAAGACCCCAAGGTCAGAATTGAATGAGTTATTCATCATGGTGTGTGTGTGTGTGTGTGTGTACTGCTGTGTCTATGGGTGCACGTGTTTGACTTTGTGTGTGCCAGCGGGCAAATGCAGAGGGCATATGTTGATGATGAAAACGGGTATTCATCATCACAGGGAGCTGAGAGAGGGTGCGAGCGTAGGACGAGACCAGTAGAGGGAGGGAACGTAATCGGGGAGAAGGAGAAAGAGAGCGAAATGGGGATGCAGGGAGAGAGGGAGGAGGAGAGAGAGAGAGAGAGAGAGAGAGGAGGATGGGAGAGAAGGATGGAGAGTCAGAGAGGGAAACAGAAGTCTGCTAGCCGGAAAAACAAGGAGCTCTGCAGAAAGTAAGACTTTTGCAGAACCGATAAGCTCAGTCAGGTCTGCCTGAAAGAATTTCTTGAGAATAGTTGTAGTTTCATTTCTAAAAAGCAGATAGTTGATCAAATATTGATGCCGAAAATTCGCTCAGCTTTCTATAATTTATTTCTTTGCTCTCTCCCCGGCAGAGCCATATTTGGGTCATACATTTGACACAACACACGTGCACACACACACACACACACACACACACACACACACACACACACACACACACCACAGCTACCTCACACCAACAATGGCTCATTACCCATCTGCCACGGGGGGTTGTTTATATTCAGTTCTTAGCCATTGAACACCTGCTGAGTGTCTCTCACAGTCACACACACACACGCACACACACAGACGTGCACACACACACTTTCCGTCTCGCAGCTTTTCTCGCTCTACACTGATGAATTTATGTTTTGAAGTTGTTCTGAAATTGAGCCAAGAGAAATACATTGATTGCTTTTCTTTATTCTGAAGAATTTTACTATAATATATTTTTGACAAAGCAGTCAAGGATCAAAGCGAACATTTGTTTCGGGATAAATAGGTCAAATAGTAATTTATTAAAATGTACGCTCTGAAAACTTTCTTCATCACAACTGTGTGGTGTATATAGGAACTATTAACAGTGTTTGGCACAATTAGCAAATAACATTTACCTCTTTAATTCCAAACTAATGTTTAAACCCAGAGAACCTTATTTTGACTTTACCGGAGAAACCAAAGTCTGCAAAAATGCTAAATATGAGATATTTACACACAAAGCAGCATTAATGTTCTTTATGAGTAATTGAGTGAAATGTTCCTTCTGTTAGCTCTGATTTTGCTCTTTAGCTGCTGAAGTTAACCAGCGACTAGCTGACTTTGTCCATTAGCAGCCACATTCAAATTACGATCCGAGGTGAAGAGAGAGACAAAGGACAAACATAAACACACATTTTCAAATCTGCGGGGCCTTGGAGGTGACTGATGGTATGTTTCCTTTGTTTCAGAAACACTGCTGGATGACTTCCTGTTGACCTACCTGGTGTTCATGTCCACCAATGACCTCTGTCAGGCTCTGCTGGGACAATATCCTTACTGGCAAACACACTTGCATAATCCCCTCCCCACACACACACACACACACACACACACACTAACACACACACACACACACACACACACACACCCTTTCAGAGTGCTGCACGCTGTTGCTTCGTTGTCTCCTTGACCCTCTCACCTATAGCAGTGACCGCTGCAGGGGCCAGGAGGAGGGCAAAGACGCCCTCTTCAGGAAGCGTAAAGTGCTGCAGCTGGTCTCCCACTGGAGCAGACTCTACAAGGACTTCCTGAAGGAAGAGGAGCACGTCAGGAGCTTCATGAAGGTACGGCCCTGCTCTGTCTGTTTTTCTTCTTTCTTCACCTATCTTGATTTGTCCCTCTGTCTTATGTGGGGTTGCCTTTTTGACAATCAAGCGCTGTGTTGAGAAGAGTAGAGTACCAAAAAAGTTTGTGTCTGGTCCTTTTGTTTGCTGCATCTGAAATGTGTTTTAGCTTTCTCCCAGATCAGAGTCTAGTCGACGTTTTGATTTCATCCTTCTGACAAAGCAGTCAAATAGGTCAGAACCAGTACAGAGGAACCTTAATCGTGTATCATTTGAGGGATATGAGCGATATAAATAACATGTTGCTGCATGTTCTTCTTTCAGAGTTTAATACAAGATACCTGATAACAAGTAACAACTAACACACACACACACACACAGATTCTCAGTGTATTATCATCTTTCTTACGACAAACAGGAGGCCAATACTAGAGGCAGGAATTGCAACCGCCGAGAAGGAGAACACCCAAAATGTGGATGTAGAAATACAAACACAAGTGCTGCTTGTACCAACCGTGCTCCTGCTGTACTTTCACATGTTCGGATAAATTGGATTCGAACCCCCATGACAACCTCCACACATCACAAGCCTGCTCATCCGCCCGTTTACCCACAACAACACACTCACCAATCACGTGTGCCTCCGTGACCTGGCGTGCGGCGACATTGCTCGCTGCCGGGTTGCCATGGAAACCAAAGTGCAAGGGTTGGCATCGGTATAATGATCTCATATGGAGTGCGTAACCTAGGTGATAGTTGCCTAGTAACAGAGGAATGAGTGGGGAATTGAGATGGGAGGCTGCGGTGGGTCAATGACAGCAATAGGCAGGTGTTTGGAGACCGGTGTGTGTGTGTGCGTGTGTGTGTGTGTGTGTGTGTGTGTGCGTGAGTTGATCCTTGCGAGTTTTCCCTGTCATGCTGGTTACTTATTCTCTGCCCTGTACAAAGACACAGAGCGTGCCTCATCAAGCATTAAGCGTAACCGGCCTAGGCAGCATATAAATGAGCTGCACAGACTGATGTTTTGTTGTATTTCTTACTTTATCTTTAGCAGTGTTGATGTGAAGTCGTATTTGTCGACACTATATGAAATCAAACCTTATGGCGTACCTTCCATTCACCTTCCATTCACCTGCTCCCTCTAAATTTAAAAAATCACATTTTCTTTTTTTACTAATTTCCGTTATCAGTAATCAAGATATTGTTTCACTCCAATATTAATTTATATGTAAGAAATTTAATTGATTTGGGTGAATTAACCGACTTGCTTTTTTTTAGCCATAACAATTCTGGAACGATCAAAATACGTGTTATGCCACAGCTGTGTTGTGACAGCCAGCTAATGTACAACGACGGTTAGAGATTGAAGCTTTGGAGAACATCCAAAGACGGAGGAGTTTCAATGCTATATTCTGCTGTATGTTAGCAGCCTTCCTATTGGACCAAACAAACACCTTTGACCATCAAACCAAAAGAAAGAAAAAGGCCAAAATGAATGTTTTCTTTCCCTCTCTGTTAGACGTTGTACAGGTGTGTTTTAGAAGATCTGTATGAGTTCCCCACACTGGAGAAAGACCTGAAGGAGTTCCAGAAACTTCTACGTCGCAGACAGTAAGTGTGTTTGTCTGCACAGGGTTCTCTGTGACTGTGTGTGTGTGTGTCTGTGTGTTTTTGTTTTCCCATGCCTACCTGCGTACCTCTTCACCGTTGTGCTCATTTCTGTCTTGTAGCACTGTCGATGACTGTCCTCCGAACCAAAAGGTGAGCCTCTTAGTTTGTAACGTACCGATCCCACCATTTAAAAGTCAGTTAAGCAATGGCCGGAAATCATGAAAAAAACACACAAGGGTCTTCATTGCCACACCAACAGCTTTTTTTTTTAACTGCATTTGATACCAATGTGAACATGCACATTCATTTGCATAACATTTCCGCACCAATATAGTGACTTTTTTCAAAGCCAAATATGCTAACACTTTTGATTTCACTACGACACCTTGCATGAAACGTTCCTGCTGCACTGTGGGCCAGTCACACGCCCTCTGCAATCGAAGAGAAGCATACAGGGCATTTTTTGCAGCTCAAAGAGGATCGATCGCAGGGATCGATTGCAGGGATTGTTTGACTGGAAGAGTTCTGATACCACTTACTGAGTAATTTCAGCCCATAGAAGTTCGACTGCGATATTTAAAATTTGAGCTGTCCGATACAGATGTTATCAGCCCACCCTTATAGTATGAATACAGTCACTTATATCTATGTTTCTTCTGCTCTCCGTCAGAGTAAACAAATGTATCAGCAGTTGAGTTTGAAGGAAAACTGTTTGCAACTCAGAAGTCCACCGAGTGAAACTAAAGAGGGTGAGTAACACACACAAAACACACTCGTACACAAACACACACCGCCAATGAAGGTACATAATTTATGAAAAATGTCAGACTATGACTCATTTTACTGTGCACATGCAAATTGCTAAAATACAGCATGTTTTGATGTTGTTTTGTTTGAGTACCAGACAGTAATGAAGTGAAATATCTTTCAGTCATCTGTTGCGTGCATGTGAGCGCCGACTCCTACCTGAGTGTCCACACGCACCACTCACTGGAGGGCCACGAGCTGCTGAGAATTGTGGGTCAGAAGATGGACCGAGCAGAAGAGGACATGGTGCTTGCGGTGGCGTCGCACACTGGAGGTACACACAGACTCACAAAGAAATGCATGAACATGTTTCGGTCGGTTCGGTCAGCTTTGGCATGGCAGGAACTGTATCTTTCAATTACTTCTTGATTACCTCGAGGCTATTTCAGCAGTTCTTCTAGTACCTCTGTCTATTTTCTAAATGACCGTCCGTCATTTCAACTATTTATCTGAACTATTTCAACTATTATAAAGTTACTTAACTATTCGTTCATTAGTTTTTAGCTGTCTCATTTATTCACTTATTTTTTCACTAGATGAGCTATAACTCACGCTATTAAAAAAAGCACACCCTGGGCGGTACAAGTGCCCCGCGTTGCGAATCCCCGTCAGACACTCTGGGCTCTAAATTGTCATCACTATCTGTCCTCTGCAGAGCGGCGGGTTTTGCAGCCCAGCGACTGTGTGTATTCAGAGTCTATGACCCCACAGGGAAAGCTTGTGGCCTGTCGCAGGGATCTCACGGAGATTCTGGTATGTAAATACGCTCCCGTCTTTCTCTTTCTCACCCAATCTCAGTTTCTCACAGAGGCCAAAGATGCAGATGGCGGGTTTAAAGCGAACCTCTCAAATACGTGATTATTTTGGCATTCGCTGCCTCTGATATTGTCAGGCTAAATCCGGCGTGAAAACAAGGATTCTAAATCACGCACTGACACATTTTCACAGCGTTACGATGCCTCGTCCATGGTAAGCAAGCCGGTAAGACTCAAGCCAGGTGATTGTCATTATCATGAGTCAATAAGGAGCCGCACTTATTGTGTTGTTTGCCCGACCGTGACAGCAGGATTAGAAAGTGTTGTATCAGGGCAGGGTGTTATTTTGTAATGGCATCTCTTTCACAGTGGAGCTCCAGCTGTGTATTCTTGAATAGATTTTCAACAGTGGGCCTTTTGGGAGCTACATTACAAGGGATTTTTTTTATTTTTTAGGATAGGTATATTTAGCAACCACTATAGGCCCACATTTGACCTATTTACTGTAGTACCCTGGTAAGCAATTTTATTATTATATTATTATGAAGGGGACATATTGATGCTATTGCTCATTCAGAGATGCTCTATTCCTGTGAATAGACAGCCCCTGTGTGTGCATGTGTATTGTATTTTTGTTGTCTTCCTGCGTTGATGCTTAACGTTCCTTTGTGTGCGCAGCCTCCTTTAACGGACAGTGCTGAGCTCAGCAGGAGGCCGGTGCGACTCCTCGGTATTAACACCTGTGATGTTGCAGCTGCTCTCACACACCTGGACTGGAGCCTCTTTAAATCCATCCACGAGGTATACACGCATGATGCTCTACAAGACTTGCTGGATCACAAGTACAGAAAATGTTCTTGGAGCTAAATATAAGTTGTTGAAACGCTGAAGCAAAGCACAGATGAAGAGAGACCAGCTGCATCTTAAACTGCTACTTGAAAGTAACAGTTTATTTAAGAAATCTAGATGATGTTTTTACATTCTAAAATACTTCTTTTTGTGATTGTAAATGGGTTTTTTAAATTCTGCTGGTCGAACTAAAAGCAGCGATACCAAAGTGTCCCTTTGGGAAAATGCGCCCCCGAGGATGCATTCGTTCGTTCCTCTAGAAAGCTGTATGTCCTTCACTCACACTCTCCACCTCCCTCCACGTGCAGCAAGAGCTCGCCTATTACACCCTCAGCCGCGTTCCTGGTACCGGCCACACGGCGGCGCTCTCGGTGCTGCTGCAGCGCTGCAACGAGGTCCAGCAGTGGGTGATGTCCGAGGTGCTCATGTGCACGTCGCTCAACAAGAGGGTGCAGCTGCTCAAGAAGTTCATCAAGATCGCAGCACAGTAAGATCACTCAGACTCAGAGATCCGAAAAGTGCCTCAAACACGTTGAGATTTCTCAGCGCCGTGATGTATTTGTTTAAAAATGTTCGCTTGTGTCCGTAGCTGTAAAGCCCAAAGAAATTTGAACTCTGCATTTGCCATCATCATGGGTTTGAACACAGCAGCCGTCAGCCGACTCAACCAAACCTGGGAGGTAAGTGTTTGTGTTGCTGCGTTTAGTGTATTTATACAAGTGCTTCCAACTGGATTCTGACCCAATGCCTTCCTTCCAGAAATGTCCGGGGAAGTTCAAGAAGCTTTTCTCAGAGTTGGAGCTCATCACGGTGAGATTTACGCAGCAGAGAGGGAAATAAAAGGAAAGCTAGAAGTGCACTCCTTCTCCTTTTACAATGCTTTCTTTTCACTATGTTTTTTCTCTCTTTTGCATCTTCCCCCTCATCGTTCTTCAGGATCCATCTCTGAATCACAAAGCCTATAGGGAAGCCTTCAAGAAGATGAAGCCTCCCAAGATCCCTTTCATGCCTCTTCTCCTGAAAGGTATCATCTCTAACTCCTACACACACACACACACAGACACACACACACACACACACACTTAACTGCTTATGAAGAAAGCACCGATGTTAAAGCACTTGTCTTCTGCTTCTAGATATCACATTCATTCACGAGGGAAATAAGACCTTCCATGACAACCTTGTCAACTTTGAGAAGCTGGTAAGTTGAGTCAGTTTATTAAAAGTCTTTTAGTGTTCGAGCGACCCACAGACAAGGCCACAAATTACTTTGAGAGATTTATCAAAATTAGATGAGTTAAGCGATTGTTTCTATTGTTTTTTAATAATTACATTCATAACAAGATGAGTTGCATCAACAGGTGACTGATTGATCACCTTGACTTGTTGGATGCAGTCATTTGTAGCCCTGTGCTGCGGTTCACATTCAATCCACCCATTCACACACATGGATGGAAGCATGCTGAGATGCAAAGACCCTCGCTGAAATTATCAGTTCAGAGTCTTGCCCGAGGGTACTTCTACATGTGGACTGGGGATTCAATTGGCAACCGGGCAATTATTGGAGGAGCATCTCTACCTACTGAGCCACAGCTGCTCTCATCACGTGTTGGCTTCCCGGAGATTAATCAGAGCCGAATGTCTCCTAAAAGAACTGTGAATCAGTGAATCGTGAAAACAATCAGCAGATGAATCAAAGGTTTCAATAGTATATGTATATATATATATATATATATATATATATATATATATATATATATATATATATATATATATATATATATTGTGTTATGGTGCAGGACCATTTAGGTTGTGACTGTTTGGTATTGTTCTGATGCAACATGTCTTCTCCTAAACCAACAGCATATGATCGCAGAGACAGTGCGGATGATCCGCCACTGCCAAAGCGACCAGCCAGGTGAGTCTTCCCCCTTCTTAGGGAATTTTGTTGCTGGAAGGATCCTAACACCACCAAGTACAAGAAGGACTGGCCCACAGGCTCCTCCCTGTTCATTTAGAATGGGGAGATTTATTGTCAGGAATCTGGCGCTACCTGGCGCTGAGTCACTGCACTGCACCTGCATCACTCAGTTCTCCCTCAGTTTCTAAGCAACCATTTTACAGTCTGTGTTTGTATGCGTGTGTTCCCCAGCAGTGGAAACTCTTCTGTGTGACTAATGTGCGTGTTTTCTGTCGGTCTCTTAGGCAACGAGGTAATTGGGGTCGACAGTGCGGAGGTGAGGGCGAGCGTTCATTACCTGCACATTATCGACAATCAACAGACGCTTTTCGAGCTGTCTCACAAACTCGAGCCCCGTGCTTGAAGACGGACACACGCACACACACGCACACACACACACCCTCACAGACGCACAACAACAAACTCACTGGGCACCGTGGAGATGCCACCACCGCGCAGAACGCTTTTCACGGCATAATTCCACACACTGACACACACACTGCAACAAAGTCACACCACCAGCCGGGGTGCCGAGAGGACAATAAGCTGCCACGTGGACCCGTGAAGACAGAGCTGCACTCCGCCTGTGCTCAAGAGGCGTTACGACGTCCGTGGACGCTGTGTGAAGAGATGAATCAGCGAGACGGAGGGAGCCAAACTGAGACAAAGAGAAGAGGCTGTGTTTTGTGTGTATAGTGTCTATTGGACTGAATTGTTTTGTCACTGTGACACGTTATGGGCCTGTTTAGCAGTTTCTTTTCCTCACTGAGGCTTTCCCTGAAGATCTACAGATGTGTGGCTTCAGTAAGCGACAACAGGTGAAACATCATCAGCGTCTGGTACGTGAAGGAGGCTTTGTGAGGTTTTTATTGACTGACTGTGATGTTGGAAACACTCAAGCTCTCCTGAAGGTGCCAGAGTTCATAACCAGTTGATGTGAATGTCTTTGTCTTTTTGTTCTCCCTTCCAGATCCTGGTTGAGACTCCTCGTGCACTCTTTGCTATGATGTTTTTGTGTGGGCAAATAAGGATCATTTTTCATTGTATATAATGTGGATCTATATATATATATATCAGTGCCAAACGTAATACCGAGGCCGTAGATCAATTGGTTTGTTTAGGAATCTGATGTCTTTTTTCAGCACATTTTAATGTCTTTAATTGAGCCCTGCAATGACGTCTAATCCGTGATCGTGTACATCAGATCTGATGATCCTTCTGACATCAAGACGACTGATTTCATGCTGTGTGTATTGGTATCACGCCCTTCTCGTGTTGCTATGGAAACCGCCCCATCACAGAGCTTTTCTTTTATCAACAAATAAGTTAAGCACCGCAGACCTTTGTCAAGACATCACTGACAGAATAATGGAAGCACAAGGGCAGAGTAAGGCCGAGTTTGATCTTTGGTTGACTGCAGCATTTCAAAATGTACATCCTTTCTGCTTCCATCCCCATCTGGTAGAACTTTTTAGTGTTTGTGTTATTTTGTCCGTGGCCTATTTATGAGCATGCATGGCCAGTCACTTGAGAGGTCCATTTCTGCTGAGTAGCAAGATAAACCCTAAATGTTATGTAGCAATGCATATGCTGCATTGGTCGAATAGTTTGCTAGAAAACACGGGGCCAAAGTGCAAAACGGGGCGGAAATGTTGTTGCCACGAATGTCGTCACGTCAACACCGAGCCTTTCAGCGCTCATGGCTGCTTCCTTCTGATCATCATGAATCTAATGCACACAGGAACACTGGGAGTTCCTGGGGAGCTTTAGTGCCAAAAACACCTTTTGGGCCATTATAGGAAGAAGATCAGAGATGATTTTCTTCCTATGACGGTTGATATAAACACTCCTACAGATAATTTGTGTGATGGGAGTCACTGTGCTTTAAAAACACAGGCTCTTGCCCACCAACACACCTGATGCTCTGACAATGAATGCAGGGACAGTTCCATTGGTCACAGTTACGCATTTGAGTAACTGGCCCGAGGGGATTAAGGGTTGAATGTGAATCTTGAGGTTGTTTCTCCCCGGGAGTTACGCATATCTCCAAATATTTCATAAACATTGAAGAATGACATTCATGAAGACTCGTGGACTATGTAACTTTTGCTATAGGTTTAAATGTTGCTAACAGTAGCCACCATCGGTTGGAGCAGACAAAGTGAGGCTGTGCTGTGTCCGTGTCGTGACTTCAGCAACAAGTCCTTTCATTGTAACAGTTCATTTTGGACTGATGGTCAGAGCCGTGCTGCAAGTGTCATAGAAAGGCCTTGTGGTCATTTTGATGAATAACCTGTACATGACGTGCACGCACACACTCCTCTGCTCATTGTGTTTACAGACTGGTATAATTGTGCTATTTTACTTATTTATTGTAATATATTTATGTATTTTAAAGGTGACAAAAGTCCATGTGCCATGTTCAAAGGTTCAAAAATGTGTCGTTCATTCTTGAGAAGACATGTTTGTGGTTTAAAGCTGCAGCTCTAGAATGTGAAAGTACTTGTTTGTGGCCACTTGAGAGCAGCAGAAGAGCAAGTTGGTGTGACGACGCGCTTCTCTTTCCTCTGGTGTCCGATGCTGTGACGGACAGGAGACCAACGGGAAGATGTATTAAGGGTTTTATTGGCCATATTCAAGACTGTAAAGTTATTTTTTTTAAAGCAATGTTGTTTAAAACCTGTTTGCATGTTAAAACAGAAAAAAAAGTTCACAATGCGAGATAGGACACATTGAAGGCTTTGTACTATTGTAATATTGTTGATGTGTAAATATATGCCCGTGTTTGGTTTATTATTTATCAGTTGTAAATGAAAAGATAGTCAGTCACAAAGCAATATGTCTCCCCTTGTGTTCTACTTTCTGACCGCTGAAGCCACGTGTCTTTTCTAAAGCAGCGTTTTATTATCAATATTTGACTAAAATTAATAAATTATAGGTTTTATGTGACGTCTGAGTGAGCTTGTCTTTCTTTCCTTGGTGTGTGATCAGGTGCTGTGTAGACGTTGTGGCAACCAACGGCTGTTGGTGAAATCTCCGGACTCGGATACACGTCTGACTTCATACAAAAACGCTACGATTTATTGTAACGTACAAAGTAAAGGAAAAGGGAAAAATAGGATCTTCCTCTTTTGAGGGTTCGGTTCAACGGGTTTTTTTCAGCCTTCAGTCTCCTTCCTGCAGGAAGCACAAAAAACCAGGGATTTAACACTCATGCAAACCCCCCCCCCCCCCCCGCGTGGAGGCCGCTTTCACTCACGTCTAGTCCAGTTGGGCCTTTATAGGGGGGCCAACCTTCATCAGCCTTGTGAGCTGCACCTGGGCCGCTCGTTGTCTCCTGAGGGGGCGGGGTGTTTCCCCTTTTGGCCACCTGACCTCTTGCTCGTTGGTGCCCCTGCCCTTGGTGCAGCTCTGTTGAGGCGCTGTCCAGAGTGCTGCGCCCGTGGGTTGCCACAACGTGTACAAGAGAAAGTGTTGACAAAGCACATTTGACATTTGATATCTAGTCAAAGTGAAGCTTTCAAAATGAGGTTAATTGCCTGTAACTTACAAATATTCATGTGTAAAGCACATGGACTGATCCAATCACTTGATTCTTGAGACCTTTGAACAAACAGAACTCTGGCATCATTCGGATGTTGGTGAGTTCCTCAGCCTGGTTTTCTTGTGTTTGTCTGTCTTTCCCTCTCCTGCCGTGTCTTCAGTTGGGGTGTGTGTGTGTGTGTGCGTGTGGTTTTTTTTTTTGACCTGCTGTCCACCTGGATCTCCGCTCTCACTTGGAGCCAACCTGGTGTCAATCCACAGTCTAGAAGAACACACGTTTGTCAAAAACTCTTGATAATCAAAAACGTTTTTCTTAATGCTCATTTCGGGAGTCACTGTTTTATCCTGGTTGAGGAGTGCAAGGTCAAAGGGCAAAAGCAGAAAGTGCCAACCAGGCAGACACAGTTCTGATAAGGATGAGAGGACACCAGGCACCATACAGCACTCCACCATTACATTACTATAGTAATACTATACTATTACTATGTCTTCATTCATGCCAGGAGACCACACATTGTATGTGATTGGATCTTGTATTGCGGCGGGAGGACCTGCTCCTCCCAGACGCCAGTTTCGGGCAAATCTTTCCTTTGAAATCCAACAAGAAGTACAAACCGTAATGTTCTTCCTGATGTTGATTAGTTGTTCTTCCCGCCTGCCGGCTGCCAGAACTGCTCACTGCCTTTGCAAATGCAGCGCTGATACTTGACCTGTGATCTGACAAATCTGCCAGAACGAGAAAAGTTGTTCAGCTGAATTCTTCCAGATGTCCCCAACCGGGGTTTCAATTTTGATCACACATTTTTTCACCCTGATCATAAGCTTTGACCCTGCTGAGGGAAACACCTGCTTTGGACTGAGTGACATTCACAAAGGCGCATGGATGTGGTCTGAAGGGGCGAAAGTCAACTACACATTAGGCCCAAGGAGCGCCAGACAACAAATATGGAAGTAAACCACTTTCCCAGCTTGAAGAAATGGAACGACTGCCCCTGTTCACTTTTTGTTTTGTTGCCATTCATTTTGGCCTCTACAATAAATATACAAACGTCACTTATGTGTGTGTAGACTGTTTCATGAACATTCATTTTGATTAATGTTGGATATTCACAAATGGAACTCTTGTTGATCCAAGGGAGAATTTCCACACCTATTTTGAATGTCAATTTGAAAAGCAAAAACCCACATAGGCACACATAAATCTTTTTTCTTTTTCAGGATAAATGGACAAACCTACAGCGCTGTAGTCTCAAGAGTTGAAGTTTCCCAATGAGAATGGATGTGTCAAAATAACAGGCTTTGAATCAAAGAGCAAACTTAATTCACAAATGATTGTCATGATTTTTTTTTACTATCCAAACACTCCTCACACCTTCCATATTACTTGATATATTTTTTACAATATGTTTCTATATCGCAACCTCTAATACAGAAATGAGAACTTCTAATGACATGCAATTTGGCCTCTGCAATAAAGACATGAATGCTCACTTGTGTGTAGACTTTGTTTCACAAGTATTCGATTTGGATTAATGTTGACTATTCACAAATGGAACTCCTGTTGTTCATCAAATGGAGTATTTATATGGAGCAATAAAGTATGATGTTTGAGGCCTTCACAGCAGAGAGAATTTAAAACAAAAATCTAGATAAATAATAAAATGGATCATTCATTTCATGTGAAATCTCCAGGTGAGCCTGTTGGTTTATTTTGGCTTCTATCCAGATACTGTGTGCGATCTGAAAGTGTTCGCCAAGTTCAGCTGACCAACGGCATCGTGGCGACAGTGAAAACACCCAATCTGGATCTTATAAAAGAAAGCAGAGACATTGGTCTCATTAATTTTCTCGATCTCGTCCAACGTTGCAGATCAACTCCTAAAGAGACACCAGCATGCTCCTGTTGCTCTTCTTGTTGGGTCTGGCTCTGGGGGCCGTGCGTCCTTCTGATGACCCTCCATTTCAACTACAGCGGGGCCAGTGTCCCATGTTCTGGTACAGCTTCAACGGCCGATGCTACAAGTACGTTGCCACAAGTGTGTCCTGGGCCGATGCAGAGATCCGATGTGTGGCAGATGGAGCCAATCTGGTGTCAATCCACAGTCTACAAGAACAGATGTTTGTTGAAAACCTGATCAAGAACTTCGACCCTGCTTATGGACGGACCTGGATTGGACTGAGTGACATTCACAAAGAAGGCGCATGGATGTGGTCTGATGGATCGAAAGTCGACTATACCTATTGGGGCCCAGGAGAGCCGAACAATAGCCGTGGAAGGGAGCACTGTGTCGAAATCAACGATCCTGGCACAGTGAAATGGAACGACCACTTCTGTTCTTATAATGTTCCCTTTGTTTGTGCATCTCATCTAAGTTGTCCTTAGGAACTGAGATGTTCTACATGTCTGATTGAACCTGGTCACTGTTCACTTGTTGTTCTGTTGACATGCATTTTGGCCTCTACAATAAAAACATGAATAGTCACTTGTGTGTGTGTGTGCGTGTAGACTTTGTTTTGATTAATGTTGGATATTCACAAATTAAACTCTTGTTGATCACATTGTTTTGACATTGTTGGGGGAGAGTTTTTGATCTGCACATTGTGGGTTTCTCAGAGTGTGAACTTGTTGGGAAACCTGTTACCTAAACTCTTATTAGAGCTGGAACCGATGTACGCTTTTCCTTCTTTCTGTTAGCAAATTATTGCCTGGATCACGTTAAGGGAGGGACAAGGTGATTTCTTACAACATCTGGGTTTCCAACTAAAATTCCCTTAATCTGCAACTGCAGACTGGATTAAATTAATTTTTGTGATAAATCACAATTAAAATTTGTAATCTTTATACAGCAATAGTGTAAATATATTTCTTGGGGTGTTTTGAATTTCTGCTCCAGCTGTCTATCATCAACTGCGTGTTTGTGTGTCTGTGTTAAATCTGGGAACAACACAGCATTCTTGGTTTGACATAAGTATAACCACTTAGATCATGTTATATGCACATCTAAAAAAATCTACAAAACCATAATCAATTGTGATCAACCTATAATAACATCAGTATCAAAACCAAATTCCCTGCATGATGACTTGAGTACTAATGAATAACACCTCAGTATTGGGACTCAAATACAGTAGCCATCACATGGCAGTAACTCTTGTTTCAGCGAGAAAGATAACTGTCTAGAGAACATGATGCTGTAGCGTCCTCCAGTGGACAAAACGGCAGTGCTTTCCTCAGCTGCTCAAATGTCTCAAGCATTAGTTGTTGGATGTCAGTGTGTTGGAGGCAGCTGTTACACATTGCAAAACTGTTCTGTACTGTTCATCTGCAACAATCTTATAATGATATATTATGCCGTTCAGAGTAGATTGAGGACAAGGTATGTGGTCAGTAGTCTGGTTTCTTTCTTTGTTGCTTGATGTTGTAAACAAAACTGTGGTAATTTTAGTGTTGTGTCTAGACTCTAGACGCAACAGTAAAATTGCCTAAAATTGCCTCTGTCTCATCTCGCTGATTCCAGCTGGCATGAACTGTGGTAAGCAGTCAGTAATTGGTCAGCGGTGTTTAGTGCCCTCATTATTCACTTGAACTCATAGCTCAGATCATACTGAATCAAATGGTCAGGGGAGACGAGTATGTATCATCTTAAACACCCTCATTGATTCATCACAAGACTGAAGTCAAAGATGGCTCGGAGGATTTAAACCAAACTTTTGTTCTGAGAAACTTCCTCTTTGCATTAAACTTTTTCTATTTCAAAGTCACAAAGCAAAATGTCTCCCCTTGTGTTCTTTTTGACCGCTGAAGCCACATGTCTTTTCTAAAGCGTGTTTTATTATGTCAACATTTGACTCAAATGAATAAATTATTCATTTATAATTAAAGTTACAAATTAAAGTTTTATGTGACATCTCTGAGTGAGCTTGTCAGATACCTTGTTTGACCTCGGCCTCAGTCCTGTGACTGTGCCTGATGGTGACTGGCATCGTCACAGGACTGAGGCCGAGGTCAAACAAGGTATCTGCCGTAACCCGTTTCTCCTCCAACTATGCAACATAGTGGTTTCAATAAAAATGTGTCAAAATATAAATACAAATTTAATTTTATCTACTGCTTCTTAGTTTCGGACTTTTTTCTTTTTATTTCATTTTTTAATCCAAGCATTTCTCACACCTTCCATAAAACTATGACGTTTTCGTTACTATAAACTATCAAACTATTGTGATCAATCTGTATTTTGCGAGTGTACTAGGGCTAATCCAAATACTGGTAAACCGTATCCAAAACCTTTTATTTGTTATTTTATTTAATGATGGCAGCTGGTATACTAGCTTCCGAACCAATTTTTTAAACACGGTTCCAAAAAACATTTCAACCACTCTGAAATAACTGTAAACCTGTTAAAAAGGAAAATGTTCCTTTGTTATAATCTTCCTTTGTTGTTATTTTTTATAAAAACACACAATTAAAATGATTAGGAAATAAATCATTTGATTTTTATTGTGGATCAACTCTGATCCTTTACTCCACCAGTGCATGCGCACAAACATAATTTCTGCACATTCACTTTTGCACCAAAAAGTTTAATTCACTGAGTAAATACTCAGAACACAGAGTGGACTGAAAACAGTGACAAACATTTTAACATCAGGATGGGCACATCTGCATTGATATATGGTTGTGTATAATGGATTTAAATCTGTTCCATGGATGGAATACATATTGCATGAGCACATTATGCATACTTCTTGTAGGGAAAAAAAGGCTCAAACTAATGCTTGAGACATTTGAGCAGCTGAGGAAAGCACTGCCGTTTTGTCCACTGGAGGACGCTACAGCATCATGTTCTAGAGCATCTGCTGCTGCGTTTATTCCAAACAATGCAAACGAGTGCAACCACAGTCCGACCTGCAGGTTATTAAATACCCACTGGATCGAGGACCCCCGTATGTGATCGGCCAATTTGGGGATAAGACTTCATTTCATTCTCAACAAATTTGCTGCCATTACATAATAATGTGAATTCACCCACTCCTGTGAGATCCCCTTATGTGTAATCAGTCCATACAAATACATCAAGTGGTTTTGATCAAAAGAAAAACCAAATCCACAACAACAAAAATGCTCCAATTTCGACCTCCAAGATCAATCAACATTAAAGCCATTTGTCGTGCAGATTGATGTGGCTGGTTTTGCGTCTAACCTCATGTTGGGCCCGTCTGCTTATGAGCGCACACATTTCTCCATCACCGGCTTCATGTTGTGCTACAAGGTGCATCATTTTCTCCAATGAAAATCACAGCCACTTGGAATATTTCCCTGCGAGCTTTGTGAAATCTTCGGACCACCACAGAAAATAAATAAAACTTCAGAGTGCTCCGTGACCCAGCTGTCAGCCAGCAGAATATATTTGGTTTTGATTCTCCTGCGGCTGCTTATTTGTCCGACGATGCAGAATGACAGACGGGTTGGCAGAACCGCCCAATGAAGGAGTGATCTGTCGGTCCACGTTTAGAGATAATGTTTTGTACCATGAAAGAGGCAGGTTTAAAGCTAAATTAATGAGTTTAAGATGAAGGAACTGTGCAGTCTGCAACTCTAGTGAATCACATGTTCGGTGTATTGAAGCAGTTTAAGTCAATGATAAAACATAATAAATAAAGCCTGACGCAAAATTTCCACAGAGAAAGTCCTGTTTAAGCGAGAGTAGAAGAAGCGGGGGAACTAAATAAATGTCCAATAAAATCAGTGCTAAAGGTTTTAAGATCATTCACTTAGGTTAAAGTAGTAATAGCCTACATACTTAATTTCCTTTTTATAATAATGTTGTCAAATTGGAATGTGGCATTTCAGTTGCAGGTTGCTGTTCACATCTGTCTCCTTCCACACAATCAAACTTGGTTCTCAATTACGTTCTGAGGGTTAGAGTTAAGGTTTTAAACTTTCTTAGGTGTGGGGCATGTTGCGACCAAAGAGAAGAGTTCATGGAGAAGGAAAGAAAAAAGTTTCCCTGCGACTGCTGGATGTTTAAATGAAAAAACAGGGGATGATAGATATTTTTAATCTCTATATGATGTATAAATTCTATGAAATTGATTTTGTAATTACAATGGTATTGTTACGGAACTGAATCTGAACTGACTCGCTCCCTCTTTTTCTTGGCTTCCATTGTGAAGCACGACGTTGATAGACGTTCAAATAATGCCATTATTCATTGAAGCGAGGCTCTCAGAAGATTTGTCTATTTATGTAGGATTTTCTTAAGTGCAATACTCTCAACCTAGTGTGACTTCAAAACCTCCAACCGTTTTTTCGATCCGGCTGCTTTGTGAAGTCAAATACAGGCTGCCACTAAAGGGATAGAGACGTATATATGTTGATGATACACAACGAGGAAATAGATGTGGTCTGTGATGTGCGACTGCTTCTGAAGGCAGAATGGACGTTGTCTGATGTCACTGTGATTCGCTTGTCTGGCTCGTCTCTAAATCGAGTGTGACACATGTTTATACGCTGAGCAATACTTCGCCATCTTTGCTTTTCCTGTTACCAAAGGTCTTGTTCAGTCATCCAAGAGTCACCAGGAGACTCCTCAAACAAAAGAAAGCTTAATCTGCATACATTATAATTGCAGATATACTCAGTTGCTCACGACAGGGGCCATACATAAAGATTAGGTTTAGTTTAAGCTGCAAGCAGCTTTTGTTAGGCCGTCGCACATGCACACAAATCGAGGGTACTCGCCAGACTGGTTGACGTTGACATGTAGTCTTCTTATGACCGTCAGAGGCCGCTGGCGCAAGTTTAGACGGTATTTCCTGCGTGTACCAGCAGAGTAGGCAGGTTTATTAGGTCTTAATACCCTGAATATTTCTTGTGCATCTTAGAATATTATGGAATATTATCATATATGTAAGCCGGTAAAGATGGGCAAAAAATGTATGTGAATACGGCGTCGCGTTTGTAACATGACAGACTGTTGAAATTAAACGCACGTCTAAAAAAAACAACTGCTTGTGCAGCAGCTGGGAAAATCACTGCTGAGTGAGCGGGAAGAGTGCTGAAGAAATGGCAGATTCTAGATTCTAATATTTTTTTGGAGAATTAAGTTTAAGCCAAAAGGTGAGATCCGGATGTGAAATGAAGTATGCTGGGTGACCATTGATTTGATTTCACAAACTCATCACATTAAATTATTTCACATTACGGCTCTAGAACAAGCAAAAAGAATTCCCTGTGCTATTGATGTAATTATGCTTGCGGCCATAGATGTCAGTAGACGGTTACATGACTACCAGTTGATATAAACATGCCTCAGACCATGACTCTAATGAAGCTTCTCAAGATCGGGATGGTTTTGACAAACTACTCGTTTCACTGCAGATGAATGTATTACAGTAAATCATGTAAAATGATGGTGTGTAGATTATAATACTCAAGTTTGAAGTTTATCTGATTAATTCCCTATGAGTAT